ATTGGCGCTGGCCCGCGCGCGCGAATCTATACGACCGATGTGCACGGGATGGCGTCCGCGACTCCTCGTGTTCGCGCTTGTCGGGCGCGAGCGTACACCTCGGCGCCGCTCCGACGGGAGCGCATCTAGACAGCCGCGCCGTTACGTAAGCGCGCGGCTCGCGCGAGACAACGAAAACAAAGCGAGGAGGGACGAAATAAGAGAAAGAGGAGCGATCGGACGCGAGGCGCGGGCTCGCGCGCCGCAACGACGTTCGCCTCGCGAAGGCTCTGTCGCGAGCGCCGAGGCGCTGCACGTTGGCATGACATCAAGTCGGCTCGCGGGGGAAACCTGATATCGCGTCAATTGTGTAATATTTGGCCGCCATCGGCGCACGAGGACACCCGCAGCTCTTGTCCAGCGCGCGCTTATCGCCAAGGGCCGTACGCTGCCTGTGGCGAGCGCTGCCGCGTGTGAACCTGACCTCCAACGGGGCAATCGGGAGTCGCGGGCGACACGAGAGCCGGGCGGAATCGCTCGGCTTGGAGCGACCGCGAACCGCCGGATATAAATAAAAGAACATTGTGACAGTTTCGCCCCGGAGCGGCTCGACTCTCTTTCCCAATCTCCGCCAGATCGATGCCGCGGCGGCGGCGGCGGCGGCGACGACGCGCGCGCGCTTTTACAAAAATAAATGGTGGCCGCCGACGACGACCAGCGACAACTGCGATTCAATGCGCGCAACGCCCGGCGTGGCTGGCCTACGCAATCCGCATTGCACTCGGCACAACACGGCGACACTTTTTTCCTCCCCCCCCCCTTCACCCGCGTGAACGGGACTCGATGCGATCCGCGCGTATTTTTATATCCGAAAAATCGGTTTTGGATTTCACACACCGCGCCGCTTTTATCTCGGCGTCCCGATCGGAAATAGATCTTTTCACTTTCCTCTCCGCTCGTTCATTCAGCTCGTCGTGTTTTATTTTCGCGCGAACGCCGATGTAATAAAGAAAAAAGAAAATCGTCGAGAAGCCCGCGGAAAAAAAAAAAAAAAAAAAAAAAAATCCACGAACGTTCTTCGGCGAGCGTCCCATTTACGACGATTTACTTCCCGTTGTTTCGCCGTAATCTCGGCATTTACGATTGCGAAAGGCGAATCATCGAGGCCATTAGCATTTCATTTTTCTTTTTTCACGAGCGACACTGTTTATTTTGAAAACAAGCGAGTATTTTTCTCTCGTTATGTAATGGGACAAGTAGCTCGCCACCGCGTGAAGCGCTTAAGAGCGCGCTAACGATCCGAATATCACCGAAAGAAAATAGGCGAAGTTATTTTTACGGCGGCGGAAAACAAACTCCGCGACGTATTCGCCGCCGAGGCGCAGAGCCGACGAGCGCGGGATCCTCGGGGCGCGGGAAACGACAAGGCTGGCCGATAACGCAAGTGAACCTCGTGTCATCAGGTTGCGTGCGGACGGTGATGAGAGACGGCGTGCAGCCGTAGATCCAGGCCAGGGAAGCCAGTCGCTAGAGCCTCGCGGGACGAGCCGATCGCGGTCGCAATAATCGCGGCCTCGACGATAAAGAAGACGGTCGGAGCCTTTAGTGGTCGGAGGCCCTCCCGACGATGGGGGTGGCGGACGACTTCGCGCCGAGCTTCACGCAGAAGCCGCAGCTGCGCCAGGAGGACGAGGGCAACCGGCTGATCTTCGAGTGCCAGCTGGTGTCGTCGCCCAAGCCCGAGATCACCTGGTTTCGCGGCGAGACGCAGCTGGCCGAGGACGAGCGCACCAACTTTAAGATACAGAGCATCGCCGCCAACAAGTTCCTCGTGGTGCTCGAGCTCGACGATGTCATCGAGACCGACGCCGGCCTCTACAAGGTCAAGGCTAAGAACAAGATGGGCGAGGTCGCCGCGTCGATCAACCTCAACTTCAGCCGTGAGTATCGCCGCCCGCCCGTCTCCCTCCCCTCCGCCGCCACCTCGCTCCTTGCCGATCGTTCGATTCGGCACTTTCCGGAGGTTTCGCGCCTTCTTTACCTCAGACCTTCACGTGGGTTCATGTGTGTGTTACAGCTGTGGATGAGCCTAGAGAGAAGTAAGTGCGGACGAGCCGCGGTATCGTAGTACCAACAATTTCGTGCCTCGTTTATTTCTTTTCTTTTTCTCTTTTTGTTTCTTTGCAATTCCGCTGATAGCCGCTTTTCTTGTCTTGTACGCTCGCATCGCCCTCTCGCTTGATCGCTAATCCGCCTGCCTGCCGCCTCGTCCCATCCTTGCCCGCACCAGCTTACCTTCAGCTGTCGCGCACGTAACGCATTGCCTCTTGTGCTTTTTGCTTTCTGGTTTTAGCGGCTGAACCGACGCCCGTACGGTGAGTTGCTTTGCGGGGGCATCTTTCGCCTTGACTCGGCGATGGGAAAACTCTTTGGCAGCCTCGTTGCTCGGAGGTGCTTCGTTTCGAAAGTAACGGTTTCAATGTCGACCGCGTGAAAGCCATCGCTTGTCCGATTGTCGCGATGAGATCTGAGCAAATCCGAGAAACTCGAGAGTTTTTCCGACGGGATGTTCGAAATAATCGCAGCTTCGTTACTAACCACTGTTTTCTATTCGCCAGCACCCGATACGTTAAAGAGACCAGAATGTTTATGAGTGACGATCGATTGTTAATGGCTGAGAAAAGATCGATCATTAGGTCAGTGAAAGAGAAGAGTATCAGTACGTAAATATTGGTCGACTTCTGGGATTTCTGTCCACGCGATCACACGGGACCGCGTCACTGGCGCGGTAGCGCGCCAGCGCAGTGCCGCCAGTGATGCAGGTCAACGTAAAACCTGACCATTCCCAATAACACTTGACCAATCTGCATCGGCGAGTTTTGTTTGCGTAACCCAGGCATTTACGTTGATAACCGAAAGCTCGCGTGGCAGTTGGCAGTTTTTGGCGTGCAATGAGTAGGCGATTTCGCGCGAGAGTGTCGTATGTTTGCTTTCCTCGGCAGACAAATCGACGGCATCGCACCGACTTTTGCGAAGAAGCCATCGATCAGGCAGGAGGACGACGGCAAGCGGCTGGTGTTCGAGTGCCGCATAACCGCCGATCCGATGCCCAAGGTATCATGGTTTCACGACGGCGATCTGGTGGCAGACTCCGGCAGACACAAGGTAAATCAACGGCACGACATAAAAAAACTTGCGCGCGAACCGCTTTCGAGATGATCGGATACGCGTAACGAGCATCGAGGCGGGCGATCTATTTTCGCGTCGCGATACAAATGGCCAGGACGGCCGATGGGACGCACGATGATTACTCTGACGTTGCGTTTTCGCAGCTGAAAATCGACAAAGACGGCCACTCGTACTTCGCCAGCTTGGAGATCCAGAACGTGACGGTCGAGGATGCAGGCAAATACAAGGTCACGGCGAAGAACGAGCTCGGCGAGTCCAACGCCACGATATCCTTAAATTTCGACAGTAAGTTGCATCCCGTAACTCGGCGTAACCAACGTCTAATTTACAGCTTGTTCACACTGGATCACGCAATATTAATGAGAGTACATTGAGAGCAGTCGTACATGTGAAACGCACACACCTTAACCCTTACATACAGTCGACGTGTCAATTAATATCACATCTCAGTGTTGAATTCATACAGAGCATCGTTCTCTTCAGACGCGGACCGTTAACTCGCGCCGTTTCGCGGGCAAACACGAGCAATGATAAGAGAGACGCGCGTAGACTTAGGTGGCAGCCGAATCAATACGCCACGAGCGCGCGCAACGGGTTGCCGACCAGATTGATCAGCGCGGCAACGGCCAAACCGCATTGCGACAGCCAATCGCAACTTGTTGTTTTCTCGCAGCATATAACCCGTTAACGCAAAAGGTTGACTGAAACGATGGGTAACTTGTTTAACGCGTAGTTTGCGTACATAACAACACGTTGGTTTTTCCACCTTGATTGCCATAACAACAATTAATGAATTCTGAGCGCTGAGCTAATTCATTGACAAGCACACCGCGCGAGGACTTCCGAGCCACGAGTCCGCGAGGTGCGAAACGATCGACGGTCGATCCGCGCAAGGGAACGGCGTGTGTCGCTCGTACGCGACGACAACTGCCTCGCGTCGCGCTGCCGATCCACCAAGCAACATGATCTTTCTTGAAAATAATTACCCAGGCGACGAAGCCCCGGTGCCCGACGACGGCATCAAGCCGACATTCACGGAGCGACCAGTCATCAGGCAATCGGACGACGGCAACACTATTACCTTCGAGTGCCGACTCGTCGGCGATCCTAAACCCAGTGTCAAGTGGTAAGACCCTCCCTCGCCCTCCCGCCGAACCACCCTACTGTCGCCAACGTCTTTCCGCGCGGTTCTCTTTCTTTTCTTCGCCGACGCCGAGTTTCCCGAGGCTTGGCACCGCAGATGAACGAGAAATTCGAGCCGAGATGACGAATGCATCGTCGTACAACTCATTGGACCCGCCGGTCAATTATCGAGCGCGCACCGTTAATCAATGCTACCGTAAATTTCACGGATCGAGCTCCGTTCGAGAATTCAATAATAGAAGCGCGCGACGCGGCGAAACGAAGATAAACAAGCGCAAGCAGCGGCGAAGCTCTGGCGCGCGCTTTCCGATTCGTAACGGCAGATTTAACTCGATGTTATTAAATCAAAAGCGAAAACTCGCTGCCAAGGATCCTTCCGACCGGTCGGTCGCGAGAATACTTTCGATCCCCACCTCTTCGCACGCCCGTGAGCGAAAAGCGTCGCTGAGAAAAATGCTTGAATAAGGTATCACGGCGCTGAGGAATTGAACGAGAGCGGAAAGTATCAGATGTCAATGGAGCTCGATCAGAAGCTCTACTATTTGGTGCGACTTCAAATAGCCAAGGTGGCGAAGATCGACAGTGGAGAATACAAGGCTATCGCGCGTAATAAACACGGTCAAGGCGTTGCCACGATCAACCTTAACTTCGAGGGTGGCGATAGGCTTAAGTACGTTTCTCTCTCACTCTTTTTCTCCCTCTCTCTCTCTCTCTCTCTCTCTCTCTCTCTCTCTCTGTCTCTCTTTCCCTCTCTTCGTTAAGACAGCTTTCACTTTTCTTCTTCTCGTTTTGTTTGTTGATGGAGCTACGCAGTCTCGACAATGAATCCGAGGAGAGATTCCGTGAAATTTATTTTCGCGATAAATTCACTCTCTCTCTCCCCTCTCTCTTTTCTCGTCGCACGCGCTGACGTTCAATTTTCTCGCGCTTGGGTCGCAAGCCAGGACTGCAATGAAAATTTATGCTCGACTATAAATACGAGCGGTTTTTAAGGAAAAAGATGATCACTCCATCAACTTCAAAATATGAAACACACGAGCCCTCTTCTTGAAACTGCCCCTCCCCCTCTCGCTCCACCTCTTTCTTCTCTCGTTGACTGTCTCTATGTCCGTTCGAGATGCGAATTCGGGCGATTTAACGCACGTCTACTGAATACGATAGAATACCCGACGGCAAACCACCACGTTTCCCGAAGAAACCAACGATACGCCAGGAAGGCGACGTGCTGATAATGGAGTGCATCTTGGAGGCGAATCCAGTGCCCGACATCACCTGGTACCAGGGCGCCAAGGCCATTAACGACAGCTCGCGCATCAAAATGTCGCGCAAATCCACCGGCAAGGATACTTACCTGCTCACTCTAGAGATCATGAATCCGAGCAAGGCCGACGGCGGCCACTACAGATGCAATGCATTTAACACCTTCGGCGAGAGTAACGCCAACATCTCGCTTAACTTCCAAGGCAAGGAAAACATACAAAGATCGCAAGCCCCCTCCCCCCCTCTCTCTCACTCTGCCTGTCACCTTCTCTGTCTCTGTTATTGAGCGCGGTGTCGCACTTCGAGCGAGTGACCACGGCCCGCGCCGAGCGACAGCCTCTGCTGGGTCAATGAGCAGTTGCGCCGTCCGGTATTTCGCGACGAGATTATCACTGCTGCCTGCACGACGCTCGTTCCGCAACACCACCCGTCTTCACTCTAACCGCTCTTTTTACATCGCTTATTCGTCATGTCGCCCTAATCCCGAGCTTTCTTCTCACGTATCCTAACGCACGCTGAAGCTTTGTGTGACCTATTCTAAAAGAGAAGCCCGGGAGAAAGACGCGCGTCGAGCATTGTGAGATTCACGGAGATTCGTGTAAGGTGCAGAGGACCCGGCGGGCTTCGCGCCCTCGTTCATCGAGAAGCCCCGCATCATACCCAACGAGAGCGGCACGCTCATCACCATGAAGTGCAAGTGCCGCGCCAAGCCCAAGCCGGAGATCAGCTGGTTCCGCGGCAGCAATGCCATCGGCGAGTCGGCCAAGATCAGCCTCAAGTGCGTTGACGTGCAGGAGGACATTTACGAGCTAAGCTTGGAACTCAAGGTAATCGTGAGTCTTGATCTTGCCCGAAAACCGGGTTCAGGGATACTCGGTCCGAGGCCACCACTCTCCGACAGTCGCAGTCACTTGGATTTTTCCTCTGCAGGATCCATCGGGTCCGGACGGCGGCGCGTACCGCTGCCACGTGAAGAACGAGTTCGGCGAAAGCAACGCCAACTTGAACTTGAACATCGAAGCCGAGCCCGAGCAAGAGGGCGACGGGCCGACGTTCGTGGAGAAGCCGCGCATTCAGTCTCACGACAACGGCAAAGTGGTCGTCATGGACTGCAAGGTCAAAGCCAAGCCCAAGCCCAACATCGTTTGGATGCACGCTGGTCAAATCGTCAAGGAATCGTCCAAAATCTCGCTCAGCGTTGTCGAGGAAGCCAACGATGTCTATTACATAAAGCTCGTACTCAATGATCCCGGCGCGGATGATTCTGGATTGTACAAGTGCAATATCAAGAATAATCTCGGCGAGCTCAACGCCAATCTCACGCTCAATGTGGAGAGTAAGTCCAAAGTGTCCTTTTCACTCGTCGTCTTTGCGATCCGAACAAATCAGCTCAAAAATCTACGCTTCGCTTCCCAGTTATCCCCGTGATCAAAGAGAAGCCAAAGGTCATCAAGATCGTGAAGAAGAAGACGGTGATGATCGAGTGCACTGTGCTGTCCAAATTCGCTCCGGACTGCACCTGGTTCAAGGAGACTCGAGCTGTCGCCGAGGACGAGCGTCACAAGCTCCACGTGGAGAAGATCAAGGAAGGCGAGTTCGCCGTTAAGCTGGAGATCGAGCAGATATCGAAGGCTGACAGAGGCAAATACAAGCTGGTGGCGAGGAACGAGAAGGGCGAGGCTACCTCGCAGGTCGTGGAAATTCAGGAACTGCCCGAGGAACCCGATCCACCGAGACTCGCTTCGGGACTCAAATCTATTGTACGTGTCATTGCTGCGTCGGTCTTCGAGTCTTTGATTTTTGCTTTGCGACTGATTGCCATTATTTCGTTTAGACTGTCGAAGAAGGAAAAACCGCCGAATTCTACGCGGTCCTGGTCAAGTCTGACACGAAGGTCACGGTCACGTGGTACAAGGACACGACGGTCATCAAGTCGTCGGAAACTTACAGCACCAGTTTCGACGGCAAGGAGGCTAGGTTACTCATCAGTAAGACTACTCAGGAATCGTCTGGTAGTTACAAGATCGTTGTTACCACTGAGCATGGAAAGGACGAGTCTTCCGCTGTATTGACTGTTGAGGTAATGGGGGATGACCCTGACTTACTTGTTCGGAGCTACTAACTGTATTTATTCTTCACTAATGTTTCCCACATACGATTCTTTCACGTGATAATTTTCATCCTTGGCTTCATTACGAGTAACAACCGAACCTCCTGTAAATTAACCCCTTCGTATGAAACATTTACATACATAGAAGAAAGAGAAAAAGAAGAAGAAGGACGAGGAGGAAAAAGAAGAAGAAAAGGTAGAAAAAAAGAAGAAGGAAGAAGAAAAGATAGAGAAGAAGAAAAAGGAAGAAGAAAAGAAAAAGAAAGAGGAAGAAGTCGTGAAGAAGAAAACGGAAGAGCAGAAAACGATCGAGGAAGAGAAAATCAAAGTCGAGAAGAAAAAGGAGGAGGAGAAAATTATCGAACAAAAAAAAATCGAGGAACGTAAGAAGATCGAAGAAGAGAAGAAGATCAAGGTATTATAAGCTGTACACCACGGAATAATCACTGCTTCGTAAAACGCTTTTCTAGAAAAAAAACGTGCAATAACCAACAAAGCTGGCTTCGCAAGTGTCGCGCGAATCGATTTATTTATTTTGTTCACTGTTTTTTTCAAGGAGGAATCCAAACCGAACGGTATCGACAAGCCTCCTTCCAAAAAGGTAAAACAACAGACGAAAAAACAAATCCCGCCAAAACAATTAACGCACGAAAGCTATACATATACAACATTCCATGTGTGTCGTAATTCTCATTTTGTAATATTTATAATTAGTACATGCTTGATTACGCTTCAATGCTATCTAATTTCCACGAGCAGTGCCTTGACAGAAATCGATCGATTTATTTGTTGCAGGTGAGTCACGCACAACGGGAATGCACTAGGCCTTACGCAAAGTCCGAGCGGCTGACTCATCTCTGCGCTTTCGCAATAGTAGAATTCAGGCTGAGAATGGATACTTCGCTTGCTTTGTTGGCTCATTATACACATGTCTCTTTCGTCGCAATTAATTCAGCCGATTTGTTGTTCGCTCGCTTCCGCTTTTGTATCGTATTACACAGGAACTCAAGTCTTGGCTTTAGGCTTGAATTTAACGCCTCGACGTAGCGCCTTCCAACTTTTTAAGCGAATCAAATTGACAAACGAAGGTCACACGCATGCAATCAATGCTTGTATTTGCTTCTGCACTTCCTCTGTTTGTGTTTCTATAACGATTTCTTCCTTTCACCTTGTTTTCTCGTGCTTTGCATGTTCTGTTATCGTGTTTTGTGTTAGGACAGTATTAATTTCTTTTTGTATTTCGTCGATGCAAGAACAAGGACAAGGAAGATATCATCAACAATGTCGAAGAAGTTCAAGAGAAGGTCCGTACCGTTAAATCAATATTTTCCTTTATGAAAAACAATCACAATAAAAAGAAACTCATCTTCGTTTTTATAGAGAAAGTCCATCAAAAAGAAGGAACCAGCCTCGCCACGAGATTCGACCCCCGAGAAAAAAGTCGCGAGTCGCAAACAATCTGTCAGCCGCGTAAGTAAACGAGTTTCAATCCATTCATTTGAGCACCAAATACCAATTACTCAATGGAATAACGTTCGTTTCAAGGTGGAAGAACTCAAGTCAGAAAGCAGACGAAGCTCTGTGAGCAGGACCGAAGAAGCGGTAAGATCGTAAAAAAATCAAAGTTGCACTATGAATTGGCGCCTTATGATTCAAATACGTACCTTTCAGATACACGAGGACGGTGCTGTCACTCCTCAGAGACGAGTTTCTATCCAATCATCGGTGAGCTCAAACAAATTATTTTTCCGTCAACAATAATGTTGCTTAAACGACGCGCTAATAATACTTTATATTTTCTTACAGATGTCCGAAGAAGAGAGTGTGACAGAGAGCAGGAGATCGTCTATAACCAGTCAGAAGGTGAGTTGTTAAAATTCCATTATCGCACTGATGAATAAAGGTATTTTTAAACGGCGTTGTACAACTATTTGCCACATTTATATAGGAGGAAATTATTTCGAGAAAATCATCGAGATTGTCCGTCAAAGACACTGAAAAGGTACACGAAAATCAGTCTTCGCTAATAACGTATTTGATTACACTAACGAGAGCCGGAATCCATCGATTTCGATGGCAAATTTCAAGTGCTCGCACTTTAACTTACAAGAAAAAGTATAACAAATTCATTCAAAGACTCAATAGCAGAAGCAGAGCTTAAATTTACGCGCTAATTTACATTCCACAAATTGTTATACATGCCACAAATGCCCCCGCATTCTTTCAGGACTCGATTTCGGCAGATAGGCGTGATTCCGTGAAAAGGAGCCCCGTTAAGCGAGATTCTATTATCAAAAAAGAGGAGGTAAACTATACTGTGCCCTACATACCTACCTACACCAGTTGTCACGCATCACACGTAACATTGTAATAAGCACGACACAAATGTTTTTTTTAGACAATCCCCGAAGAGGTATCCAACGTCCCGTCGCATTTCTCAATAAAGCAATATTACAGTAGAAAAGATTCCATTACTAATACGGAGCAGGTAAACAATAAACCTCCCAGATGTTACTTTGAAAATCGTGTCCCCAAATATTTATCGCACATCCCAACCCATTTTACAGACCGTTAGCCCCGATGTTAGTGACATGGAATTTGATACTGACAGTATTCATTCCATGCAAACTGATTGCTACGTCGTAGATGAGGTAACCATGAAGTTTGTGGGAGATCTTGATCTCGGTATTTTTCCGCGCACTTACTTACCGATCCTTGACCCAATTTCAGAAAATCGTGCCTGACGAACAAAGCGGTATCGAAACACACTACACCATCAAAAGACGTTATGTTACTAAAACAGGCGAGGTAAAACACATATTACAACGAAAACACGATCATTACACCGAGTACATGTTAACAATGTAACATTTGTAGAAGGTTTCTGATGACGAATCCGACACAGACACATATAATTCAATTAGCATTCAAGAAATTACCGATACCACTATGAGACGAGATTCTGTAGTCAGGAGAGGCAAGGTATGCAGCTACTTATCTCACCATTCGTATCAAACACTAGAACTCACTTATGACAATCTTAATTGATTATTACAATTGCAGAATGAAGATAAACATGTACATACGCGTTTCGTCATTCGTAAACAATCGTTTAACACTCAAGACGAGGTAAAATATTAAATTATCTCTCGAACTCGCTTATAGGGGGAGTGTGTTTATATATATATTTATCTACGAAATATTTACAGACGATATTTCCGGACGATGCGTCTGAAATAGACACTTACGGTTCCTTAAAAAAACACGCTATTACCGATTCGGTTTGGTCAGACGCCATGATTAAGAGAAATAAGGTATTATAGTAAACTGTAGTGAACGCGCTTTTATTTCGTTTACTCAATTGTTCTTTCCAACGCGTAAAATCTTGCAGAAACCTTTCATTGAGGATGATTCTGACACAGATACGTATAACTCTACTAATCGACGTTCGGTCAAAACTGAGACGATCAGACGCGACTCAACAAGTAGAAAAAATAAGGTATAATAGTTTTACTACTCGAACAACTACATTATTCAGAAATATTTTGTTTTAATTGTCAATCGATTTTAGAATACGAAACCTGAAGATGAACATGACATACACACACGTTTCGTGAAACAAAAGAAAACGTATACCATTCACGATGAGGTAGTTGATAGTACTCCCTATTCTTCTTGTTATCCATTAATTTTTACTTTTCAACATATAATAACCTTGTAGAATCCCTACCCCGAAGATGATTCCGATACAGATACATGCAATTCAACTAGTAGAAGGTCTGTTAAAACAGAGTTTGTAACAGGAAACTCTTCTGTCAAAAAAGATAAGGTATAATTCACAAGAATACTGAATTACATTGTTTGGTATATCAACTCTGTATTACCCTTAATTTTCTAGAATACTCCCGATGACAAACCTGATATACATAAACAATTTACAATTAGAAAAGAATCAATTACCAAAGCAAACAAGGTACCTGTAATAGAAATCGTTGTAGATTTGTAAATGTCAGACCCAACACACTTGCTTAATTACAAACAACTCATTTTCAGAAAACGATTCCTCAAGACGAATCTGATACTGATACACACAATACCATCTGCAAACGTACATCAAAAACAGAATCGATCAGACAGGATTCTCTCGTTAAAAAAGATAAGGTACATTGAAATCTACACGCATAAAACGATGTTTTTTATTTTTTTTTCTTTATTCAATTTTTTTTAGACACTTACTTCCGAAGATAACAATGATACCCATATACAATATGTCATAAGAAAACCTTCAGTTCCAAAAACTGATAAGGTAGATCACGTCATGAATACACATTGACATTTGATGATATTAATTTACACTCAATTATACACATACATTTACAGAAACAGGTTCCCGAAGACGAGTCTGACACTGAAACAATCACCACCAGTAGGCGATCATCTAAATCAGAGTCTATCAGACATGACTCTGTTAAAACAGACAAGGTACATAAGCTTTCAACATATACACAAAAACAATAATTATAAATAACACAACCATCAATCCATTTATAGAAAACGCTCCCTGAACATAAACCCGATACACATACACGACACACATTCAAAAGAGAATCTATTACTGCAATACACGGGGTAAATGTCAACACTTACACAATGCTGTATGTTTTAACAACACAATTATTCTAATCTGATGCAACACTTTAGCAGGGAATTCCTACCACAGATGATTCAGATGAAGAATCATCTGTCTCTTCGACAAGGGATTCTGTAAAAACAGTCTCCCACAAACAAATCTCTATTTTTGAAAAAGTTGAGGTAAACTGCGTACTAACATAAACTTGAACATCAAATCAACACTATAAAATTACATAACACTACACATTCACAGAAAACTCCGAACGAATTTAACGAAGTTACTGATACGCCAGTACCGGTAAATCCAAATTCTGTTAGAAAAGTTTTTAAACGGCCTGACTCTATTTCTCATAAAGACGAGGTAAAACATATTGAATCAAACTTTTGATTGTCATTCAATATCCGATCTATTATTCACTTTCTCGATTTATATCGTAGCAACCCGAAAAAAATACTGTACAAAACCTATCAAAAACTCCTTGTAAAGATTCAATTAAGAAAGATACTGTAGTAAAAGTAAAGGTAATATACCACAAATTTTTAGAGTTCGTACGCACTATATTTAATAAATCCTAATCACTTGCATCAATACACTACAATTTTTACAGAAACACACACATTCAAATGCCACTGATACAATTGATGCCCCCAAACCACTTTCTTCAAAAAAAGATGAGGTAACGTGGTTAATTATTACTAAAAATTTTATTTAAAAATTTTTAGTTTTAGTTTTATCTCAATATAGCTTCGACAGGCTTCTGTCAAAAAAAAATGAAGAATCTCTGACTATGTCGTTCCCTCTAAAATTTCATGTAATGATATTTTAGAATCCAAATAGCCTTCAAAAGAACTTTTTAACTCATAATTGAATTCACCAATCAAACATCATTACTCAAAATTATTCGAACCTTTTCCAGAAAACTACTGTTGAAGACAAAAATGGCACAGATACACACGACTCTGTCAAACGAAGTTCCGTCAAAAGAGACTCGGTTAAACGAGACTCTATTAAAACAGACGAGGTAAATTATGCAAAAACGCATCTTAATAACGAAACAAATGCTTAACTCTTTTTCATAACACACCCACTTTATAAAAGTTCCTACAATTACAGAAACATATTACCCCAGATGAGAAAGACGAACCAGTTAAGAAAAGTTCCGTTAAAAGGGATTCGATTAGTAAGAAAGATGAGGTAAATTAAATAGTACCGGGTATTTATACATGTTTCAAAATACTCACACAATTTTTAGCGATAAAAACTCACGTTCCAAATACTTAAAAATTTCCAGAAAATTATCCCTGAAGACAAAGCAGAACCCACTAAAAAGAGTCCTGTTAAAAAAGAACCGGTCACCAAAAAAGACGAGGTACATGCGTCACAACAAAAATTTTTTATACTCAGTCAGAGCATATCAATACTTATTAACAATAACACAAATTTGCTTTCAAAGCATTTATTGATCAACGTTAATCCAAATTTCCTAATCCTCAACATTTACAGAAACTTACTCTTGAAACCAAGGACGAACCGGTTAGGAAAGGCTCTCTTAAAAAAGATACGATTACTAAAAAAGATGAGGTATAGACATCTAACAAATTTTACTACTACGTTTTGAGTCACTTTCGTATACATTTACATTTATCTACATTACCTACTCCTTCCACATTTACAGAAAATTATTGTTGAAGAAAAAGATGAGCATCTTCAAAAAGATTCGATTAAGAGAGATTCTATTAAGAGGGACTCAATAAAAAAAGATGAATCTAAGACTACCGCGAAAGTAAGAAATTAATTTTTTTAGTATTAGAGTAAAAGTCAAACTTTACATAGTTTTACAATTTACATTCAAAAATTTCAATTCCTGTGTTAAAGTCATACCGTTCGCGTATCAATGTCACTAACATTTAAAATATGTGTCTAACCTGTTATTAAATGTCTTAACATCTATTAATGAAACTGAAAAGAATTGATAAAATTATAATGTTAGGAATGCTACTAATAATTGACATCGTTATATTGAACAATTGGTTATTTTTAAATAGGGTCACATAGACTCTGAAAAAGTCTTCATAGTTCATATAAATGAATGTGACGAAGAAAATCAACCAAAAAAATCTTTAACTAAACCAAAGGATAAAGACAACGTTACTCCTAAAACACATTCGCACAAGACCTTTGATGATACAGCAGATTCAAGTCAAACTACTGAACTATGTACAATTGCACAAATATCCGTCGATGATTCATTCTCTTGGCCAACAAACGATGACGACAAATCTGTAAAACCTAAAAATATAGACGATATCAGCAAAAAATCAGAAGACTCCACTGACTCCAAAGCAGTCGATGTCATGAAGAAAGATAAGCTGAAATTGGTTAAAAGCAAATCCAAAGATGTAACACCTGAAGATTCTTTTTCATGGCCACCCAACGATGATGAACAGAATGTACCTAAGGCAATGAACACAGGTGACAGACATAAGAAAATCGAAGAATCTGCTGTTGCCAAACCAATTGACATCGACAAGAAAGCAAAACCACGATCGATCAAATCCAAACCTAGAGAAAAAGATACTACGACAAAAATTAAGAGAAATTCACCCAAACCATCCGATGTTAAAGACTCTGAAGAAATGACTGGCGTGTATGAAATTGAACAGAAATCCGCCGACGATTCATTCTCTTGGCCAACTGACAACGAATATGATGTACCGAAGCCGATTAAAACCAAACCTAAAGACGAAACACTAGAAGAATTCTCCTGGCCAACAAACGACGATGACGGTCACAAACCTAAATCTACGCTACCTAAAGACAGAGAAGATATTCGCAAAAAATCAGATGATTTTTCGGCCTCTAAACCAGTCGATGTCGCGATGAAAGATAACCCAAAATTTGTTAATACCAAATCCAAAGAAGTAACGCCGGAAGATTCATTTTCATGGCCACCCGAAGATGACGAACAGATTGCACCTAAGGAAATGAACAAAAGTAATAGCCATAAAAAAACCGAAGTATCTGGTATCTCCAAACCAATCGATATCGACAAGAAAGAAAAACCAAAATCGATCAAAATCAAACCTACAGAAAAAGATACTACCACAAAAACTAAGAGAAACTCGCTCAAACCATCCGATGCTAAAGACTCTGAAAGTATTACTGGCCCATATAAAATTGAACATAAATCCGTAGGCGTTTCAGTTTCTTGGCCTAGTGATGATGAATATGATACACCAAAGTCGATTAAGACCAAGCCCAAAGACGAAATACTAGAAGAATTCTCTTGGCCAACAAACGTTGATGATGGTTACGTACCTAAACCTACGCAACCTAAAGATAGAAACGATATTCGCAAAAAATCAGAAGACTCTACTGACTCCAAACCAGACGATGTCGTGAAGAAAGATAAGCTGAAATTGGTTAAAAGCAAATCCAAAGATGTAACACCGGAAGATTCATTTTCATGGCCACCCAACGATGATGAACAGAATGTACCTAAGGCAATGAACACAGGTGACAGACATAAGAAAATCGAAGAATCTGCTGTTGCCAAACCAATTGACATCGACAAGAAAGCAAAACCACGATCGATCAAATCCAAACCAAGAGAAAAAGATACTACCACAAAAACTAAGAGAAACTCGCTCAAACCATCCGATGCTAAAGACTCTGAAAGTATTACTGGCCCATATAAAATTGAACATAAATCCGTAGGCGTTTCAGTCTCTTGGCCTAGTGATGATGAATATGATACACCAAAGTCGATTAGGACCAAGCCCAAAGACGAAATACTAGAAGAATTCTCTTGGCCAACAAACATCGATGATGGTTACGTCCCTAAACCTACGCAACCTAAAGATATAGACGATATTCGCAAAAAATCAGTTGACTCTTCGGCTTCTAAACCAGTCGATATCGCGAAAAAAGATAAACCAAAATTAGTTAAAAGCAAATCCAAAGATGTAACACCTGAAGATTCTTTTTCATGGCCACCCAACGATGATGAACAGAATGTACCTAAGGCAATGAACACAGGTGACAGACATAAGAAAATCGTAGAATCTGCTGTTGCCAAACCAATTGACATCGACAAGAAAGCAAAACCACGATCGATCAAATCCAAACCAAGAGAAAAAGATACTACCACAAAAATTAAGAGAAACTCGCTCAAACCATCCGATGCTAAAGATTCTGAAGGTATTACTGGTCCATATAAAATTGAACATAAATCCACAGTCGATTCAGTCTCTTGGCCTAGTGATGATGAACATGATATACCTAAGTCGGTTAAGACCAAACCCAAAGACGAAACACCGGAAAAATTCTCTTGGCCAACAAACGATGATGACGGTTACGTACCTAAATCTGTACAACCGAAAGATATAGACGATATTTGCAAAAAATCGGAAGACTCTACTGACTCCAAACCAGACGATGTCGTGAAGAAAGATAAGCTGAAATTGGTTAAAAGCAAATCCAAAGATGTAACACCTGAAGATTCTTTTTCGTGGCCACCCAACGATGATGAACAGAATGTACCTAAGGCAATGAACACAGGTGACAGACATAAGAAAACCGAAGAATCTGCTGTTTCTAAACCAATTGACATCGACAAGAAAGCAAAACCACGATCGATCAAATCCAAACCAAGAGAAAAAGATACTACCACAAAAATTAAGAGAAACTCACTCAAACCATCCGATGCTAAAGATTCTGAAGGTATTACTGGTCCATATAAAATTCAACATAAATCCGCAAACGATTCAGTCTCTTGGCCTAGTGATGATGAACATGATATACCTAAGTCGATTAAGACCAAACCCAATGACGAAACACCGGAAGAATTCTCTTGGCCAACAAATGTCGATGATGGTTATGTACCTAAACCTACGCAACCTAAAGATAGAAACGATATTCGCAAAAAATCAGATGATTTTTCGGTCTCTAAACCAGTCGATGTCGCGCTGAAAAATAAACCAAAATTGGTTAATAGCAAATCCAAAGAAGTAACGCCGGAAGATTCATTTTCATGGCCACCGAATGATGATGAACAGAATGTACCCAAAAAACCTGAATACTTGATACCTGTCATTGTTACACCTGAAAACACTAATGGCTTCGATTCTGAGAACTCAAAGGTACATCGATCCATCCCGTCCGAACGGAAGATACCTTTGCCTATATTCTACGTCTATCTTGTCTATCATCGATAACATTTCTACACTAAACACACTCCTACACTATTCTTTATTAACTATTTTTTATTTCTACACATTCATTTTAAACAAAACAAAACACGATAGCATAAAAGCGACAAGTTCAACTGTGAAGGAATGGATTTAAGCATACGAGAATTCTGCTTTACTATATAAGAATGCTATTTATGATTACTTTATTAAATTTCAGTTTTCTTCAATATAATATTGGTGTGGATTGCAACAGTAATAGTGTTTCATTTTCTTTAATATTATATAACAAACATTGATCGATCAAGTTTAACTATACTATCGCTATTTTAACTGAAAAATTATCATAACAATAAATCATTGTTTTCATCTCATTTCTTACAGATCATAACTTACTTTCATAAAGCTTCACTTACAATCGCGTATAAGTGCAAGTTATTTGGAGTCCGAATCTTTTCTTGACTAATTATTTTGCTTGGGGAAGGGAAGAACAAGTGGAGGAAATCAGAATAAACTGGTGCAACGCTAAGATTCAATATTGTTTATAGTGTGCACTTTGTAGGTTACCGAAAATATTTACAGGGAGCGCATAACGACGGAACAGCTCAAAAAGCCAGTTCCTCGTTACAGTCGATGATGAATAATACAATAACTTTATTGACAGCTCGAGCGAGTTATAACTACGGCATCACTAATTCCATCATCATTACAGCACAAACCATCATATAACCCTTAAGTCCATAACACTAAGCCAACAATCAATAAAAACATCTCTCTAAACTTTCAGGATAAACCAGTCATCAAACCAGTCCAAGATAAACCAGAGGTATACACCAATGACTCTACTGTTTTTTATTACATGTAATTGAATACGTTAAATTCTGCTGTTGATGTTTACCAACCGTGAGCATAAATGAATTGGAACTTAACGTGTACAATTATGTAATCTGCATATTACACAGAAAAAATTACATCACCATAATATCACTCTCAAACAGGAAAAACTATCCATCACACCAAAATCACCTGGCAAACCAAACGATTCTAAGGTACACACAAACACTGATTATTAACTGCCGTATCTCTCGCCGTTGAGCTATATATATATTTTCGCAAAATGACCGATCGCCAATATGCATTGTTAAGTTTGTGAGAAATTAGCAACGATTTAATGTGTTTGCAGCTGAAGCCCCAAGAATCTGACAGCAGGCGATCGAGTCTGAAAGTCAAGACTAACGACGAGAGGAAGGCATCCATAGATAAAGTGGAGCTCAAGGTAAGTGTCACATTATCTATGTTGGCTGGGCAGCTGTTAAAGCTAATTTTTCGTTTATTTATATATGTCGTGGTAGGGGAAAAGTAGCAAACCGAGCCAAGTGGCCTTTTTTGGTCAATCACTGATACGTTAGCTTGTCAGAAAAAAAAAAACACACACATTCACTCTTTTTAGAACTTATGACATTATTTTATACACATTGTACATATGTAAAGAAATGGTTGCTCGCGCGAAATAAGTTCTGCCTGTCTCTTTAATTTTGTGTACGACTCGTTACCCGCACAATACAGCCCACGGATAGCCCTCGATCCAGCTTGAAATGGCGTAGACCAGAGAAATTGGAGGCGAAAGTTGTCGAGAATTTCGCAGACCTTAAGAACCTACTCAAACCCGTCCAAAAAGCTGGAAAAGAGCCCCAGACAGCCGAGAACGGCATCTTGGGCAGTGTCGAGTTAAAGGTATCCCCGTGCAAGACGGACAACAGCAACAAAGCAATGCCCTCTTCTCAAAGAATTTGCGCCTCGGAATGTCTTTCTTTTTCTCTCTCTATAGCTCCTTTCTTTAGAATTTTTCCTCTTTTCTCTATTTTTTTCTTTGTCTGTCTTTCTATGCACTATTACCGATGAATTTTCTTCTATACTTTCCAATTTCTACAAATCGTTTTTGCACCATAAACGACCTAACTATTTTTCCTCTTTTTTTAACTTTTTCTCTCTCTCTCTTTCTTTCTTACTCTCTCTGTATCTTTCTCTAGTCCTCTCTCTATTAGTTACTCTTAGAGCTGTTCTCTCAAAACTGTTCATCTCATTCGTTACTCCCCTTCTTCAATTAAACTTTCTTTCAATTTCTTTCCCCTCGTCTAATATCCATAAATCTACTGGAAATCTTTCTTCTTCTAAATCTAAGCCAAAAAATTTACCTCTGAAGATTTCTTTTTAGCTAGTGAATGCCAAAGCGTCTCTCTCTCTCTCTTTCTGCTCGTAACCCCCTGAAATAACTCGTTAAAAACAACAATCTGACAGATAAGTCGAATGAATTAAAGTCATTGCCATGTACATCTAATAATCACCATCGACGTAATTGCAACGCATAAAAAATATTAAGCACTAATCCACGAGAGTATTTTTACCTCCCCCTACTCTATCTTTCACTATGCAAATCGGGACATGGATAAACAACAAATAATAGCGCCCGACAATAATATTTCTCTATTCCCTTAATTGAACGACAATCATCGAACTCATGAAAATCACACATTACAACATCGTAATCATCGGCAACCAAACATAACTACCATGCGTTAGAACAGAATCATGCGACTAATCCAACGAAGGGCCGATGGGAGAAAGCTTGACTAAAGAAAGAAAATGCGTGAAATTTAGAAAACGGATAAGCCGGAGAAGATGGACGCGAAGAAGATGAAGGCGAAGAAGGCCGACAAGGAGAAGAGCTACGACTTGCCGGAGATCCCCGATTACGAGCGCCCGGTGCTGGAGAAGTTCGAGAAGCCGGAATTCAGCGAGTACCAGCCGCGCGACAAGACCAAGCTCGACCGGCCGCAGTCTCAGGTATAAAAGCAGCCTTCGAGCGCGATAAATCAGCGCAACGAGTGTTCGCGAGCGCGAAATTGCGCGTCGCTGGCTCGATAAATCATTCGCTCTCTGATTTCATATTGCAACGACGACAAACGTCTCGACTCTGCTCTCCTTTGTGGCCGTGCACCCGCTAGAAATTCGAATCCAAGGTGCGTATGATTTATGCTTTTTCTCTATCTCGCGCTTCTCTCCCCCTCTCTCTCTCTCTCTCTCTCTCTCGCGCGCGCGCGCAAACGCACGAGATTAATTGGGCAAGAGGCTTGCGAGCATAATGGGACCTTGGGTATTTTCGGCGAAAATTAGTAACGAATTTTCGCGCTCTCCCCCCAAAAATGAGGGAGAGGGAGAGAAGCGCAGTCGAGCTTTCGCCTCCGTTCCGATCAGCAGTTGTTTGTGTGAGTGAGCCGTCGAGTTTTGCCGCTGTTTACAGCCGAAGGTACCGGAAATCAAGGCACCCGAGCCCTACCAGAAGGCGGACAAAGCCGAGGCGCCCAAGATCGAGGTCAGCAAGGACGTATCGCCGTTTGGGAGCAGACGCAGCTCGATCGTGCCTGGAAGTGGACCTGGCAGCCGACGTGGTTCGCTCATACCGCCCGAGGAGCCTGGACGAAGGCCTAGCCTTATTATCAGCGACGAGGTATCGCCTCTTTTACTCGTATTTGGCTTCGAGATAGCCGACAACCTTCTCTGCCCTTATCTATCATCTGTCGCCCCTTTTCTCTTTCTCTCTCTCTCTCTCTCTCTCTTTCTCTCTCGTTCTACCTGTCTCTTGCGGGGATCGCGCGTCGACGTTCCGATCGCTCTTCTCCTCGGCGAATCGTCCGATAGCGCGATAAATTTCGTCACGCGGACGAGCCTGAACTAGTTCTGCAGCTGAATTTGTCGCGAAACTCGCGGATGTTTGAATTGCCTTTCTCGACGGTGCCGCTGCTGTCGCCGGACTTCAACCCTTTAAAGGACACCTCTACAGCTGTGAATCTCCTTTGTTTGTCGCTCGAAAATAGCTGGACTGCGTTTTGATGGATGCTCGCGAGATGCGCCCAGCGGGAAACGGCGATCGGATCGCGCGCGCGATTCCCCCGAAAAACAAGAGAAAGACAACCTGAACGTTGCGACTCACTTCGCGAAGCCTTCTTGTTAGATTTAGTGTGTCTGGATTTTGATCAATTAGACAGCACATAGAGAGTTTTTGTTTTTTCATTTGATCTTTTGTTCAATTGTTTTAGTGGGATTGAAAACTGACCTGATCAATCAATTATTTATCCCCATCTCCTTTACGACTTAGCTGATCCCTCATACGAACTATTCTCTATCTCTGTCCGTCTTCTCTCTGCGCTACCGTTTCTTATTTCCATCGTTATTCGCTCTGATGCGTAGCGTGTAATTAGGGCAAACTCCGAAGGTATATCGATATTGTCTGGAAGTAACGAAGAAACCGTTCTCCAGCTGATCTATCTCTGTCTGCTCACAGTACACTTTAATGCAAGCATCGAGAAAGAATGAAAGATTTTTTTTCTAATGAATGCAAACACAAAAATTATTCGTGCTCATGACAATTTGGTCCATAGGAACATAGAAAGCTGCGCCCCGGCGAGGTGATTGACGACAGGAAGGTGAGAGACTTTATTATCCTCCTCGTTTATCTACGAGAAGGAAAACGCCAACTCATAACCAACAGATAAATAACGGCCGAATTATAAAAAATTAATTTATTAATTAATTCTATTTTTTTAATTAATAATTCTATTTTATTAATCGACGGTAAACTCAAATTAATAATCAAATAACGATCTCGCCAATTTTATAAATAACCCAGAAGAAAAATCGAAAATATTAAAAGAAAATAACACACCAACAACATTTGTAACATTTATTATGCAAGTTTATCTCTTTCTTGTCTGTCTCTCTTTCTCCATCTCTCTTTTTCATCATCTTTCCCCGTCAAACTGCACGTCTACTACATCAACTGACACATTTACACTTTTATCATATAGTTTTTCTCTCTCTGATTCTCTCTCTCTCTCTCTCTCTCTCTCTCTCCCTCTCTCTCTCTCTTTCTTGCACACACACACACATTTACAAGTAAGAAATAGCAGAACAAACAACTACACCTTGATCACTTGACCACATAGCCTAAAAACAGTACTTAAAAAGCCAAACCATAAAAATGAAACAGGTGAAACAATTCCACGGTCAATTCGCGTGTCGAAGCTGCCTTTCTCACGATGAGAGGGGAGGGGAGAAAAGGGAGCAAAGAGCAGAGAACAGCCACGTCCATGGGGCTGGTCTCTCGGCTGGAACGAGCTCAAGATTCTCGGATAATCTTATATGTTAAATAAATTATCGCTGAAAATAAGCAGGCGTCCACCTTAAAAATAGCAAAGGCGGCTCTTTCGCTCTCTCTCTATCTCTCGCATTAGCAAATGTATGCCATCTGGCACGTACTTAGTTACGCGCGTTCTTTCGGCTATATAAGCCTGCGGCGAGCCGCGCGCGGCCCACGGGCGTCGCCTCGTTTTTTGCACTCGATCGAAGGCGCGAGCGCGAGGTGCTCGCGATCGGGAATAAGACGCTCGCGACGGGCGCCCGTCTTTTCCATCCTCCTCTATCGATTCGCGCCCGCCGCTGATAAATCGCGTCTGCGCGCGGCCGCCGCCTCGAATAAGGACGTGCCGCTTGCCAATTCTCGCCTCGCCTCTGCGTGATGTACTGCTCGCAATTAAATATTAAGTTATTCGCGCGCGCGGCAAAATTAGCAAGCTCTTCACTCTCTTTCCACCTCTGCTCCGCTCACCTCGCACGCGCACACACGCACACACCAAATACCATCATTCTCTATAAAAGACACGTTGTTAAAGCGAAATGCGACTGATAAAAATGGACAGATTAATAGCAGAGATTAATAAAAATGAGCAATACCAAAGTATGTGCTGTATGTTTATGCGTCATCCCCATTGCTGTAGAGGTAGAAAAAGCTATGTAGCAAAGAGTTGGAATTGCCCAGTTACAAGTCCCCCCCGCCCGCCACTCACCCACCCGCCCCTTACTTTATCCCCAAGATATGCGACCAAGCAAATCAATCTAAATGTCTCTTTTTTTTTTCTCTCTCTCTCAAAACAATCTGTATGTGTGTCCGCCCGTGTGTCAACGTGTACATGTCCAAGCCTCATGTTCGTCTCTTGTACTTTTTCTGCAGGTTAGATTACGACCCGGCGAAGTGCTGGACTCCAAGGTGAGATTTGTGTTGCGGCATATGTCTAGGGATAACACAACAGCACAAAGCTTGCCTGCGAAGCAAACGAATGTTTTGTCCCGCCCCTCCACCTTCTTAGCCCACTCTCAAATTTTTTTTTCTCTCCAGTCTACTATTGCAGTCGCAGTTGGCGCTGTTAATATAATAATTCCTCTTTTTACGTACTCATTCAGAAATAATAATAATAATAATAATAATAATAATAATAATAATAATAATAATAATAATAATAATAATAATAATAATAATAATAATAATAATCGATTTATTAATAATAATCATTGTCGTACAGAGTCGAGTTCGCACCAAAAAATAAGCTCACTAACTTAAGCAGCGTTAGGATTAGGGATTTGCGTGCGGAGCGGACGTCGAGAATTTCAACGAAGAAGTCTGCTAATTTTTTCGTCACGAGAAACGAACTGTTTTCACAAGCAATTTTTTTTTTCTGTTTCTTTTTTCTCGATAACAAAAACAGAGATACGGGAGACCCGGCCAACTCGAGGACGACAAGGTTAGATATCTCTCTCTCGAATGTGTCTGTTGTACGTTTTTTTTCTCTCTATATATATGGGCGGTCAATCAACCGGCCGCTGTGATTAAAAATCTCGTGATTAACGATTATCTATGAAATTATATTCATGTAGTTTCTCTATATGTATACCAAAGTACTTTGTTTTTTACAGACATCTGTGTATAATCATACCTTTTATCTGTGTATATATCTATCTCTCACTTTTTCTTAATCTTACATGTATATGTTGAATTATATGTGGACAAATCTAGATTAGCTAAGTGTTGGCGGCGAGAGATCATTTTTTTGTTTTTTCTTTGTTCCGAAATAACCGGAGCAGCAGCACCTTTTGCACATACCTGTGCTGATTTTTTTCGTTTTTTTTTTCTCGCAGTCATTCGCACTTTTTTTTCATGTACAGAAGCGATCGTTGTTACGCAAATGCTGCCACACGTTTGTTTTGCTAACGTACGTTCCCACGCTTAACCAGTGTATCACGCTGATCGAAGATTATCCTAATGTACATACGTGTGTCAAATGTATGTGACGATATATGTATAATTTATGCTTCATGTTGTTCGCGAAAAAAAAAAAAGAAACCAACCTTTTGATCTGTGTTTGTGTCGCTTTTTGTCCTCTATGTGTATACTATAGAGTCTCAAAACAAATATTTCCTTTTTGACGCAAAAAATAATCAATGGAAAACTAAAAGCAGTGGTGAATATAAAAACGATTAACAGTACTGAAGATTATACATACATATATATACATATATATGTGTGTGTGTGTGTGTGTCTATGACAACGATGAAAAAATATTATATCACATCACTCATATAAATATCCTGTAGTAAAATCTTTAAAACCTCCCCAAAACTAGCCCAAAAATTACCCTCACGGTGATATCCCTTAATTCTAGGCATGGCGTACGAATTTTTTTTCTCTTTTTTTTTCAAAGATTGTGTTGATTAATTAATGACTAAAATGAATTTTGAAAAGAAAAAACACTGACCAAAACACCAGTGAATTGACCGCAGCTATTATATAGTACCTAACAGCACTTATGATTATAAGGGTGATTAACAACAACAACAACAAAATCTTCATCTACTATGCCATACGTTAATCTCAATCTTCGTTTACCTAATACCTCGCCTCACCAATTTTCTTAACTTATGCTATCTCTTGATCTAAGATAATCTAATTCGTTTTTTTTACTTCAATATTTTGTACTACTTATGTGATTTACAATTAAGTCAATAATATGATAAGCAGCTTTGATTTTCGCTTCAGTATATGTAACAAAGATAATATCTCTAAATGGTTCCAAGCAAGGGTAAGTTGATAATAAGCAATAACATCGAGTGAAAATCAAAGAGGCTTGAGAAGTCGACCAATCGAAAAGCTCGTGCTAATTGAAACCTCGTAATACAGAGACGGCGTCCGAGTACGGACGCGCGAAGACAAAGCGTGGCGGATCTCGAAAACCTCGCCGCTCAACCCAGCACTGCACTCAGAGATGTCGGCGATCCAGGACCTCCACTCTGCGATATGGCGCCGAAAGTATCCTTCGTACAAGGTAAGCATGACAACATACACTCGGTCCTGAATTTTGAACGTTGATTTGAAAACAATTTACTTTTAATTCAGGTACAACAGTCGTGCTGCAAGCTTGGGTGGAAGGTACACCTGCGCCCACCTTCAAGTGGTACAAGGGTATGAGCGAGCTCTTCGAGAGTAACAGGCACAAGTTCACCACCGATGGAGCCTCCAATTCCGTCCTTTTGACAATACTGAAAGCTAAGCCAGATGATGAGGAAACGTACAAGATCGTCGTCACCAATGAGCATGGCTCGGATGAGACCCAAACGAGACTTTTCGTCACTCCTCCAGGTTCTTTCATTTTCTTTTGCTTCTCGAGTTCCGACGCTCGTGCGCAATTGTAGCGATTGATTATTATTCCTTCAGGCGTGACGGACTTCCGTGTTCAATTGCAAACTCGCCAATATGTGCCATGGGGCAAAAAACAGTCGAAACTAACGGAAGTCAAGCTCAAGGAAGCAGAAAAGCCAAAGCCAGCGCTCAAGAAAGTCGAAAGGGTTTGTTACGTTCATACATCTTGTTTCGATAAAATATTTTTTCTATTTTTTTTCACGCTAGGTGGTAATTTGAATTTATTATTTGGAGGTATTATGTTTTATCAATTGCAAAAGTAAGTTTTATGTTATTTTTGTGATTTTCCCCGTCCCAAAGTTTTTGGTACCTATACCCTTTGTCAAAATGCTATTTGAAAATCATGTGTTCTAATAAATTATTTTTGAAACAGTTTTTCTTTTTGTTTGATTCCTATTTTTCATTGATTAATGGTAAATCGTCGTTTGTCATTTTGATTAAAAAGTATCATATGAATATTTTTGTGAATAAAAAGGTTGATTGACGAATTATTTAAATGACATGCAGAAGCAGGATGACTTGGAGTCAATAAGCGAAAGTGGCGAGGTCAGTGGCCAAAATTACTTTTTCGTAACTGCTCATGCGTTTGCGGTGATATGTAGAGAAACAGCTACTTCACTCTTCCTCTGTTTTTATTACTTTTTATTGTTACAGCATTTTTAAATAACGATTTAATCTTTTTCAAATGAATCCAGTGGTTTTTCGAAGTCAATTTTTACAGTTTGCGTCAGATTTTACGACAGATAACTAGGATCTTCGTTACTTCTCATCTCGAATTTTTTAATAGATGAGTGTTTTTAAACTAGTTTTAACCAATTTTTGATTTTCTAGATACGTTTTGCCCCTTTCAGAACTACTAGCGTAAGTCCATAGGACTATGCCATTCTCGAGTTAATTATTATTTATTCTAGTACCGTGGCAGTTGCTCACGTAGACCCTCACTTGCCGAGTTAATTCCCGATTGGCCAGTACTTCATCACTTCACCAAGACGGAGGTTGGAGTTGTGGTTACCAAGTATACCGATGTTATTGTCACTGTTCCAATAATTTACACTATTTTATACGTCTCTTCGTCTGGCGCATATAGAAACAAAAAAAAACGCTTATTTATTTCCTTTCTGAGTTTCATTTTCTACTATTCCTATACCGATTTCGTTTGACTTTAGAATTATATCTCTTTCTTCATTTTCAATACAAATGCCTAAGTGTGTGCTTGGGGTTCAAATAAATGTTATGCATTGATGTTGTTCGTGTTAGAAGAGTAATTTTAAAAGGCTGATATACCGACAAAAAAGTTTTTTGGTATTTTTCTTCCCTTTGTTCAAAGTATTTCAGACTTTTGCAAGTTTTTAGAAAATTCCAGTATTTTTTATCAGCGATGAATTTTTTCATTTTTTCAGTTTGTTCATGGATCCAATGTTTTTCGATCAAGTCATAAAAGTGACTTCAATTTTTCAATCTTTAATATTTTCTTAGAAGTTTTTGTATTGCAATTTTTTTAGAAAATATACTGATACGCTTTTTATTTATTGACATAGAAACCAGAGTCGTTCTTGAAACCTATGATCGATCAGTATGCAAAGGAAGGCAAAGACAAAAAAGTTGTATTCCAATGCAACTTTTCGAAACCAAAGTGCAAGCCAAGGTGGTATTTCAGGAAAGATGTAAGTGACGATCAAACAGTCAGATTTATTTATGAAGTTCATGCTTTTTCAAATATTTTTATAAATTCTAGGAACTCTTCTCAACGAAAAAATATGAATTTAAAAACGAGGAAGATTCTTACGAACTCATCATTTACAACCCAAAGGTGGAAGATACGGGCAAATATACGATCGATATAAATGGAATCTCTTGCACAGCTTTCCTCACTGTCGATGGTATTATGAACTATTTAGTAATAAAGTTACCTGTTACCTGATTGTTTCGTTCACCGTGAATAACAAAATAACAATTACTTCTTTAAAAGAACCCGATCCGGTATATCACTTTATCAAACCGCTTAACCAACAAACAAGTGGCTTTGACAGGCATGAGGTCGTATTGGAGTGTGTGGTCAATAATAGTCTGGCAGTAGTTACTTGGTATAGAGGACCGAAACAAAAATTAGAGGTGAAGTAATATTTTTCTGCGCGTAATTTTGTACGAAACTTATCCGAATTAATAAAAATAACAATTTTCTCCTATATAGGATGGTGATTACTACCAAATTTCAAAAGATATGTCTGGTACCTGTCGACTAACTATTAGAAAAGCGAAAATTGCGGATAGTGGCGAATATTATTGTCAAATTAAAAAACAACCCGACAAAACCGAAACTACCCTTTCAATTATAGGTAAATTTCTTTCGCAGTAACCAGTCTTCGCAAAAACTTTTTAAACGGATATTTTCTCATCTGAATCGTTTGATTTCATAGAATATCCATACAAATTCGTCAAAGTACTAAAACATACAACTGCTACGGAGAAGGAAACAATAACTTTATCTTGCGAGCTTGACGATGAAGAAGGTGATGTCAAATGGTTCAAAGGGGATCAAGAAATCATTCCTGACAAACGAGTTCAAATCAAAGTTGACGGTCGTAAGAGGAAACTCATTATTAAAGATGCCAAAGTTACCGATGCTGGCATGTATTCTTGTGTCAGTAACGCTGACAAAACCGAAGCTGAACTCATTGTCAATTGTAAATATTAAACATTAAAACTTTTTTAATATTGATTTGAAAACACACATTATTTATTTTACGTCGAATTTTTCACAGATGCCAACCGTTTCAATAAGAAACTAAAGGACACTGTTGCAATCGAACGTGAAAAAGTTGTACTTGAAGTAGAGCTGCAAGACACAACAGCTCCAGCTAACTGGTTCTTTAATGGTAAACCTATTGAGCCAAGCGAACGTGTTGAGATCAAGAATCTTGGTGGTGGCAAACATCAATTGGTATTTAATCGTGCTGAAATGACCGATGACGGCGAAATCACTTGCGAGAGTGGTGAACTGAAGAGCTCTTGTATGCTTTCGGTGAAGAAGGGTGAAAGCAAACCGATCGCTGAAATTCCTGATACTATTGAAGGACCATGCAGTGCACCTATTGTTTTCACTATTCCTTACAAGAGTAAAAATTGACTAATCTAAAATATTTATTTTTAATAATATTCAGAGATCTCTAATCAAATTTATATTTCAGTCGAAGGAACAAAACAATCGCAAGTAGAAGCTAAGCTTTTGAAAGATGGAAAGCCATTACCATTAAAGGATGTTGAAATTGTCGTCGGTGAAGACAAAATAACTTACAAAATTAAGAAACCATCACACGATCAAAGTGGCACTTATCAAATAAAAATTAGCAATGCACAAGGAGATGAGGTTAAAGACGTCTTTGTCAACATGCAAGGTAAATAATATATCAAGTGAAATTTAAATCTTTTACTAGTATTTGCTCACTTTACTCATCACTTTCTGTTATCTACAGACGTTCCGTCGCCTCCACTCGATGTTGAGGTCACTGACGTGTTTGCAACAAGTTGCATTGTCAAATTCAAGCCCAGCAAAGATGATGGTGGCTCACCTATTCTTAAGTACGTTGTTGAACGTCTTGATATGAGCTTGAAGGCACAATGGGATAGTGTGGGTGAGGTAATGCCTGGTGAAAAGACAGTCTATAAAGTGGAGGATCTTGTTACGAAGAAACAGTACAAATTCCGTATTCGTGCTGTCAACAAAATAGGATCGAGCGAACCGGCAATGTTTGCTAATCCAGTTTTAGCTAAGGATCCTTGGGGTAAATATTTATTTTTTAAGGATTAAATGAAATCTTCATTTGATTTTGATGATCGACTTAACTTATGAATTATAGACGAGCCGGGAAAACCAGGAAATTTAGAAGTTGTCGATTGGGATGTCGACCATGCCGATCTTACATGGACAAAGCCTGAAAGCGATGGCGGTGCACCAATCACGGGTTACATCATTGAATACAAAGAAAAGTTTGGTAAAGAATGGGTTAAAGGCAAGGAGATTGAAGGTGATGTCACTAAAGGAACAATCGATGGCCTGAAAGAAGGCCAGCAGTACGAATTCCGAATTCGGGCTGTCAACAAGGCTGGTCCTGGTGAGCCATCCGATGCTACAAAGCCAATTATTGCTAAGAGTCGATTTGTTAAGCCTTTCATTATCGGGGATGGATTGAAAAACTTGGTTATTAAAAAGGGACAAGTTATAAAGTACGATATCAAGTACGGTGGTGAACCAGAGCCTGAAGTCAAATGGTTCTTGGGAGAAAAAGAATTGGTTCAAGATTCTGCTGAGAGATTAACGATCGATAGATACGAAAGAAATACAGTATTAACAGTAAGAAAAACTACAAGACCAGATTCCGGAAAATATAAATTGGTTCTGACAAACAGCTCGGGAACAATTGAAAGTGTAGCTGATGTTGTCGTTCTTGATAAACCATCTAAACCAATAGGTCCGCTAGAAACAGTAGAAGTTCGATCAGATCATATCACTGTTAAATGGAAGAAACCAAAGGATGATGGTGGTACCGATATTACTGGATATACACTTGAGAAGATGGATATGGATACTGGCAGATGGATACCTGCTGGTGAAGTTGGTCCAGGTGAACCACATGAATTCAAGTTTACAGGATTGACGCCTAAGAAGAAATACAAGTTCCGTGTCAAGGCACAAAATAAGGAGGGTGAATCTGAACCTCTTGAGACTGATGAGGCTATTTTGGCTAAAAATCCTTATGGTAATGCATAAATTACTTATATTTATTAGAATTGCAAGAATATTTTATTTAATGATTTTTCATTTAAATATTTTAGACGAGCCTGGCAAACCAGGAAAACCAGAGATTATCGATTATGACAACATGAGCGTCAGTCTGAAGTGGGCTAAACCTGACAACGATGGTGGTCGTCCAATCACTCACTACACTGTTGAAATGAAAGATAAATTCTCAGCAGATTGGGTTGAAGTGGCTAAAACAGATGATGACAGGGCGGAATGCAAAGTCGAAGGTCTCAAAGAAAAAATGGTATATCAATTCAGAGTCAGAGCACATAATAAGGCTGGTCCAGGTCAACCTAGTGAACCTACTGATAATCATCTCTGCAAACACAAGAATCGTTAGTATTATACTCCTACTTTTTCTTTTTGTTTAAAACTATTATTTTAAACATAATGTTTTTTCAAATTTTGCAGTCAAACCAAGAATCGATCGTGAGACATTTAAATCGATCACGATCAAGGCAGGCAGAACGCACAAATGGTCGGTTGATGTTATTGGAGAGCCACCTCCCGAATGTAAATGGGTTTGGAGAGATAATTTACCGCTTCAAAATTCCGAGCGTATTAAAATTGAAAACGTTGAATATCATACCGAATTTACTTTGATTAATGCTATAAGAAAAGATACAGGAAAATACACACTTATTGCGGAAAACGCTAGTGGCAGAGATAGCGAAACTGTTGAATTAATCGTACTTGGCAAACCCGAAGCACCAAAGGGACCACTAGTAGTATCAGATGTCACTAAAACAAGTGCTAAAGTCAAGTGGGAGAAGCCAGAAGACGACGGCGGCTGCCCGATCAAAGAGTACGAAATCGAAAAGATGGATACAAAGACTGGCAAGTGGGTACGTGTTGGCAAGGTACCAGCAGACGGAAAGTGCGAGTTCGATGTCCCAGGATTGAATCCTGGTAGTGAATACAAATTCAGAGTTACGGCTATTAACGACGAAGGCGATTCTGAACCGCTTGAAAGTGAACGGGGAGTAATTGCTAAAAATCCATTTGGTAAATAAAAATTTTATGAATGATATCTCAAAACAAATACTGAATATAAAATGTAAGATTTATATTAATAATGATGTAATTATTTTCAAATAGACGAACCCCTTAAACCTGGTACTCCAGAGATTACTGATTACGATAATGAATCTGTTAGCATCAAATGGACTCCTCCAGAATATGATGGAGGTGCTCCAATTGAGAAGTACATCATTGAAAAAAAAGACAAATTAAAGCCCGAATGGGAGAAGGCTATTGAAGTTCCTGGAAACGTTTTGGAAGCTAAAGTTCCTGGCTTAAAGGAAAAAGGAGAATATCAGTTCAGAGTTATTGCTGTTAATAAGGCTGGTCCTTCACCTCCATCAGATGCATCAAAGATGCAAATTTGCAAACACAAATCTCGTATGTATTGACGTGAAATTAAAAGTTATTCGGGTACTCAATAACCAAGTTATTATACCAATGTTATCAATTTCTTTTTAGTTAAACCAAGAATTGACAGAACTAATCTCAAACCAATCATTGTCAGAGCTGGTAAACCCATAAAATATGATGTTGATGTGCGAGGTGAACCACCTCCAGAAACTACATGGTACCACAAAGGTACTGAGGTTAAATCAGGAGGTAACATTGAAATCGTCAACGTTGAATACAACACAAAGATTAGCATCGTTGATAGCACAAGAGCCAATACTGGTGTTTGGAAAATTAAGGCTGTGAATGCTCACGGAGAAGACGAAGCTGAGGTAGAAGTTACTGTTTTATGTGAGTATTTTACATATATCCATATTAGTAAAGTATGGATAAGTAAAAGTTACAATAAATTTATTATCATTATTCACAGCGGCACCGTCGAAACCTAAAGGACCATTAAAAGTTTCCGATGTTACTAAGAGTGGTTGTAAATTGAAATGGGAGAAGCCCGAGGATGATGGTGGCAAACCAATCACTGGCTACCAAGTCGAGAAATTAGATAAATCTACCGGTCGTTGGGTACCGGTAGGACGTACCAATGATACAGAAATGGATGTCAAAGGATTGCAAGAAGGTCACGATTACGAATTTAGAGTTAAGGCTATTAATGAAGAAGGAGAATCTGAGCCTCTTGTTACTGACAGATCCATCACTGCTAAAAATCCATTCGGTAAATTATCATTTTTAAAATAAAAATATTTCTTTAGCATGATGTAAATATGCAACTCATTTAACCATATTTGTACAGATCTTCCCGGCAAACCAGGGATACCTGACTTCGAAGATTGGGATGTTGATCGGGTTGACCTTAAATGGGAAGCACCAAAAGACGATGGTGGTGCTCCTATTACTGGATATATAATCGAAAAGAAAGAAAAGCTCACGAGTCACTGGGAAGAAGCAGTTACGACGACAGGTTCTCAACCAAGAGGTCGCGTTACTGGTCTCAAGAAAGGTTCTACTTATCAATTTAGAGTTCGAGCTGTTAATAAGGCTGGTCCTGGTGAACCTGGAGAGCCAACAAAACCACATGTAGCTAAAGCACGATTCCGTAAGTTTGTATTATACATTATCTTGCAAGTAATATTGTCTTTATTATAGTATTTATCAAAATTAATTTTTTATTTATTTTTGATATAGTTAAGCCACACATCAATCGTGAGAAGCTAAAGACTGTAAAAGTAAGAGCAGGTCAACTAGTGAAATTAGATGTAGATGTTGAAGGTGAACCTCCTCCAACCATTACCTGGAGCAAAGGTATTAAGCCACTCACTACGAGTACTAACGTTAAAATCGACAATGAAGATTACAACACCAAAGTTCAATTGTCGAACACTACTCGTGAAGATACTGGCAAATACACAATTAAGGCTGTGAATGATTCAGGATCTGATGAAGCTGAGGTAGAAATAATTATACTTGGTAAGTATGCTAATGCTAAATGATTTAAATTTTTTATATGCTATTTCATAAGCGACGTCATAATTATTTTATTTAATTTTTAGATAAGCCAGGTAAACCTGAAGGTCCTCTTGAAGTTACCGATGTTCATAAAGAAGGATGCAAACTTAAATGGAAGAAACCTAAAGATGATGGTGGCCTTCCTTTATCAAGTTACATAATTGAAAAAATGGATGTTACCAGTGGACGATGGGTACCTGCTGGAATTGCTGACCCCGAGAAAACAGAACAAACTATTGTTGGTCTTGAACCAGGAAAAAAATATGAGTTCCGTGTAAAGGCTGTCAATGAAGAAGGAGAATCAGAGCCATTGCAAACCGATACGGCTATTCTTGCTAAGAATCCATATGGTATCTAAACATAAAATTATTATTCTAAAATATATATACTTTTTTTATAACCAATTATTAACTTATAGATACACCTGCGGCGCCTGGACTACCAGAAATTGTCGACTGGTCTGAAAATATGGTCAAACTTAAGTGGGAGCCACCGATCAGAGATGGTGGCGCTCCAATTACTGGTTACATTATTGAGATGAAAGATAAATTTGGAACCAGCTTTGTTAAAGCTGCTGAAGTTGAAGGTCCGGTTTGCACTGGAGTAGTACCTAAATTGGAAGAAGGTAATCAGTATCAATTTAGAGTAAGAGCAGTCAATAAAGCAGGTCCTGGTGAACCTAGCGAAGCTACCAACCCACATACTGCCAAAGCTCGTTGGCGTGAGTATTATAAGTTACTAAGCAGTAAAAAATACTTTAATATTTTTAATTTGAATTCAATGCATTTGCTTTGCAGTTAAGCCGTACATCGATAGAACGAATTTGCAACAATCTACCATAAAAGTTGGCCTCACGCTATCGCTGGATGTCAACATTATTGGTGAACCAGCTCCTACAGTCACATGGTCCTTCAAAGGAAAAGAACTATCAACCGATAATGAAATACGAATTGACAATGTTGACTATAACACTAAATTCTTAATTTTGAAATGTAAAAGAGCACATACAGGCAGATACACAATTAAGGCTAAAAATGAAGTAGGTGAAGATATTGCAGAATTCGATCTTTTAGTATTAGGTAAACCAAGCAAGCCTAACGTAAGTATTCTTGTTCTAAATGATGATTTCATTTAATTCATTTTCTTGCTAATTAAATTTTTATCATATAGGGACCTCTTGAGGTAACCGATGTTAACAAGCATGGTTGTAAACTCAAGTGGAAGAAACCTGATGATGATGGAGGCGCTCCAGTTGAATACTATGAAATTGAAAAACTGGACCCTCTATCGGGACAGTGGGTTCCTTGTGGAAGATCGACGGAACCAGAAGCAAATATTACTGGTTTGTTAGAAGGTAAACCTTATAAATTCAGAGTTAAAGCTGTTAACAAGGAAGGCGACTCCGAGGAACTAGAAGCCGATAAGTCTATCATTGCTAAAAATCCATTCGGTATGAACGCTATTGATTATAGTTTATTCAAGACTTGGACACTGAAAATATTTTCTTAATAATATTTTCAATTTTTTATTTACAGATGAGCCAGGAAAACCAAGTCGTCCCCAACTTACAGACTGGGACAAAGACTTTGTAGACCTTACATGGAATCCACCTACAGATGATGGCGGTGCTCCTATTGAGCAATACATTGTACAAATGCGCGATAAAGAAAGTAGACAATGGGTTGATGCAGCTAAAGTACCAGGAAGTCAAACTAACGCTAAAGTTACTAATGGTATAGAGGAAGGACATGAATACGAATTTAGAATTGTTGCTGTAAATAAGGCTGGACCAGGAGAACCGAGCGATGTATCAAAGAGTGTTGTAGCAAAACCACGTAACCGTAAGCATAAATACCACAAATATCAACTTACCTTGTATTTTAATAAATAATACAAATGTCAATTAAATTAATTTTAATTTTTACAGTTGCTCCACGCATCGATCGCACTAATTTACAGAAAAAGACTATGCGCGTTGGTCAAATATTGCGAATGGAGGCTAAAATCACTGGTGAGCCAGCACCAACAGTGGTTTGGAAGCTCAAGGGAGTTATTTTAAAGACACAAGATCGTCTAAAGATCGAAAATGAAGATTATCATACAAGTTTCACTTTAACTAAACTAGAACGTGCCGACAGTGGCACTTACACTGTAATAGCCACTAATGATAGTGGTACAGATGAAGTCGAAATTGAACTTTCTGTTGTCGGTAAGCCAGCTAAACCAAAGGGTCCACTGCAGGTATCTGATGTAACATCTGAAGGTTGCAAACTCAAATGGGACAAACCCGACGATGATGGTGGTGAACCAATTGATCATTACGTCATTGAACGTATGGATGTTGATATGGGACGATGGGTTCCATGTGGCGTAAGTAAAGTGCCAGAGGCTGATGTAGCTGGATTAAATGAAGGAAAAGACTATCAATTCAGAGTAAAAGCCGTTAATAGCGAAGGAGAATCTGAACCTCTTGAAACAACCATACCAACAACTGCCAAAAATCCTTACACTGAGCCTGATGCTCCAGGTAAGCCTGAAATCAAGGATTGGGATAAGAATCATGCTAAACTTAAATGGACTGCGCCTAAGAATGACGGAGGAGCGCCAATTGAAAAATACATTATTGAAAAGAAAGATCAATATGGCAAATGGCAGAAGGCTGGTGAATCTCCAGGCTTGAGGACTGAGGCAAGAATTGGTGATTTAGTAGAAGGACAAAAGTATCAGTTCCGTATTAAAGCGGTCAATAAAGGTGGTCCTAGTAAACCTAGTGAACCTAGTGATACCATGGTCGCCAAAGACAGATATGCTGCACCCAAAATCGATCGCAGTAATCTTAAAGATATTACAGTCAAAGCTGGTAATCATATACGATTGGATGTTAAGGTTTCTGGTGAACCTCCTCCAACGAAAACATGGTCACTCAACAAAAAGAAACAAGAAAGTAACCAGAATGGTGTTATTATCGAAGAAGAAGATTACAGAACCAAATTCTCTATTGGCTTTGCAACTAGAGCTCATACCGGCGTTTTGCAACTTAAAGCAGAAAATGAATCTGGCACTGACGATGCTACAATTACAATAACCGTATTAGATAAACCAGGAAAACCAGAAGGACCATTGAAAGTCGATAATGTACATAAAGAAGGTTGTAGCTTGAAGTGGAATCCGCCATTAGATGATGGTGGTGTGCCAATTGATCATTACATAGTTGAAAAAATGGACACCATCAACGGCAGATGGATTCCGGTTGGTCGCACATTAGAACCAAAGCTTGATGTGGAAAATCTAGTACCAGGACAAGAATATAAGTTCCGAGTTGCTGCTGTTAATGCTGAAGGTGAATCAGAACCATTGGTTACTGAAACCGCTATTGTCGCTAAGAATCCATTTGATGAGCCTGGACCACCTGGTAGACCAGATGCCGTTGATTGGGACAAGGATCATGTAGATCTGAAATGGACACCGCCAATGAATGATGGCGGGTCACCAGTTACTGGATACGTAATTGAAAAACGCGAAAAAGGCAGTCCTCGATGGATTAAGGCCGTCGAGACTGTAGGACCTGATTGCAAAGGTAGGGTAGATAATCTAGATGAAGGCCAAGAATATGAATTTAGGGTCCGTGCTATTAATGAAGCTGGACCTGGTGAACCATCTGAAGTTAGCAAACCTGTTACTGCCAAATGCAGAAGGTTACCACCAAAGATCGACAGAAAGAATCTTAGAGACATTACAATTCATGAAGGGGAGCCACTCAAGTTTGATGTTAAAGTATTTGGAGAACCGCCACCAGACGTATCATGGTCATTCAATGGCAAAGTTATTCACCAAACAACATACCGCCGCATCGAAAATGTGCCTAACAATACTAAGTTCTTCAATGACAGACCAGAACGTAAAGATACTGGCATATACAAAATTAGTGCTAGTAATCAATATGGCTCTGATACTGCCGAAGTCGAAGTTACTGTCGTTTCTAAGCCTGATAAACCAGAAGGACCTCTTGAAGTTAGTAATATCCACAAAGATGGCTGCACACTGAAGTGGAAAAAACCAAAGGATGACGGAGGTGAACCCATTGATGGATACATCGTCGAAAAGTTTGATGTTGAAACTGGAGTATGGCTACCAATTGGTAGGTCACCTGTTCCTGAAATGAAAGTTGAAGGTTTAACACCTGGCCATGAATATAAATTCCGCGTAAAAGCTTTGAATAAAGAAGGAGAATCAGAACCACTTGAAACAATTGGCTCAATCATCGCTAAAGATCCCTTCAGTTAGTTTCTATTTATTTATTTTTATGAAAAATATACTATATTTTTATATCTTCATGTATTTAATTGTTATTTTTATTTATAGCTATTCCTTCGCCACCTGGTGCACCTGAGTTCGTTGACTGGACCGCCAATCAAGTTGACCTCAAATGGAGCGAGCCAGTTAGCGATGGAGGTACTCCCATTACTGGTTACATCATTGAAAAGAAAGACAAGTACAGTACGATGTGGGAAAAGACTATGGAAAGAGATCTGCCAGTATGTTCAGCGCTTATTACTGGACTTATTGAGGGTAATGAATATCAGTTTCGTGTCATAGCTGTTAACAAGGCTGGTCAGTCAGAACCTGGTGATTCTAGTAGAACATTTATTGCTAAACCAAGATTCTGTAAGTATACATTAAAAAATGAAAAAATGCATAAGTATATTGTGAATGTTTTGTTTTGATTTGAAAAAATTACTTTACAGTGGCTCCAAAGATAGATCGCCGTACTTTGCGTGATATCACGCTCTCAGCAGGATCAACGCTCAAATATGACGTCAACGTTATTGGAGAACCTCATCCAACTATGAATTGGCGTTTCGGTGCAATGCCACTCACTCCAAGCAGAACTGTTAACATTGATAACTCAGAGTACACGAGTAAACTTACAGTTCGTCCAGTAAAGCGTGATGACAGTGGCGATTATACGATTATTGCCACAAACTCATGTGGCAAAGACCAAGCAACTGTCAAGGTTACCGTTACTGATAAACCATCACCACCTGAAGGACCTCTTGCAGTTACAGATGTTCATAAAGAAGGATGCAAACTCAAGTGGAAACGACCTCTCGATGATGGTGGTATTCCTATTGAATATTATCAAATCGACAAGATGGATCCAGAAACTGGATGTTGGGTTCCATGTGGTCGTGCTCTTGAACCAGGCTTCGATGTTACTGGATTGATACCGGGCAAAGAATATAAATTCCGTGTATCAGCTGTCAACCCTGAAGGTGAATCAGAACCACTTGTGGCTGAACAGACAATCATTGCAAAGAATCCTTTCGACGAACCTGGTAAGCCAACTGATCTTGAAGCAACTGACTGGGACAAGGATCATATTGATCTTAAGTGGAATCCACCAATGAACGATGGTGGTGCTCCAATTACAAGCTATGTTGTCGAAAAGAAGGACAAATACGGTGAATGGGAAAAAGCTCTTGAAATTCCAGCGTATGGACCAAGCGATACACCTGTCAGGGCCACTGTTGGTGATTTAGTTGAAGGACAACCGTACGAATTCCGCGTACGTGCTATTAACAAAGCTGGTCCTAGTGAACCATCTAATCAGACGCCAATTATTTATGCTAAACCTCGTAACATGGCACCTAAGATTGACAGAACAAACTTAGTCGACATCAAGATCAAGGCTGGTCAAAACTTTGACTTTGATGTTAAAGTTAGTGGAGAACCTGCTCCAAGGACCAGATGGCTTCTCGATAATAGAGATGTTAAAACAGGCGATCGTGTTAAAATCAAGGACGTTGATTATAACACTAAACTAAATGTTCGAATGGCAACAAGAGCAGAATCAGGCAAATACCAATTAATTGCCGAGAATATCAACGGCAAAGACGTAGCTTATGTAAAAGTCACAGTCTTGGACAAACCAGGAACACCCGAGGGACCACTCAAAGTATCCGACGTTACTGCAGAGGGCTGCAAACTTTCATGGAAACCACCAGAAGATGACGGTGGGACACCAATTGAGAAGTATGTTGTTGAAAAGCTTGATGAAGCAACTGGACGATGGGTACCAGCTGGTGAGACTGATGGCCCAGAGACATCTGTAGCTATCGAAGGACTGTTGCCAAATCATAAGTACAAATTCAGAGTACGAGCAGTTAATAAACAAGGAAAGGGCGAGCCTCTTGCTACTGCTACGAGCATTGAAGCGAAGAATCCATTCGGTTAGTGCAAATAAATGGATAATTACTTAACAAAGATAAAATATGAAAAAATTAAATTGCTGATCACACTCTTCGATATTTTTACAGATGCGCCTGACAAACCAGGTACACCAAACATCAAAGATTACGACACCGATTTTGTGGAACTGGAATGGACCAGGCCACCAATCGATGGCGGTTCACCAATCACAGGTTACATAATTGAAAAACGTGATAAGTACAGCCCAACTTGGGAAAAATGCGCCGAAGTTGAAGGTGACGTTACCAGCGGTAAAGTCAAAGATCTTATTGAGGGTACACCTTACGAGTTCCGTGTGCGTGCTGTTAACAAGGCAGGACCTGGCGAGCCATCTGATGCGACTAAACCACACATCGCACGACCGAAGAATCGTGAGTATTTCTTGCCAACGATCAATGACCTCGTGCAATTGCTTTGGCTTGTGGCCCGTCATTTGTCAGTCTTAGTTGAGGTGATGAGTCTCAAGCGCAATCTCAGTAGTGTTTTGTTAAGCGCCAGATTGAACGGTTTCATGTTTCGGACGAGAAAGCTGTTAAGATTTTTGTAGCGCTTTGATGATCATACGTTGAGATGGCAAACCGACGAATTTCAATTTTACTAGGTGCATTGTTTCATCAAGCAATTCATTATCTATTCATTAACATACTTATACGAATAAATTTATTCTTTTGCAGTTCCACCAAAGATTGACAGAAAATACATGCTGGATGTTAAAATAAAAGCCGGTGGTTTCTTCGACTTTGATGTACCTGTTACTGGTGAACCTCCTCCAAAGAAGGAATGGTCACTTAAGGGTAACGTGATCATTTCGGATGATCGTATCAAAATTGTAAACGAGGACTATAACACACGTGTCCGCGTTCTCGAGGCACTTCGTTCCGATTCTGGCGAATACATGTTGACCGCACGAAACACAAATGGCAAAGATAGTGCCACCTTACGAGTTATCGTTCTTGATGTGCCTTCTGCTCCTGAAGGTCCATTGAAGATTAGTGATATACATAAGAATGGCTGTAAACTCACCTGGAGGCCACCTAAAGATGACGGTGGTTCTGAAATTCTTTACTATACTGTCGAAAAGATGGATGCTGAGAGTATGCGCTGGGTGCCTCTTTGTGAATCTCAAGGTACTAGCATTGAAATCGATCATCTGATCGAGGGACACCAATATAGTTTCCGTATCAGAGCGGTGAACAAACAGGGAGAATCGCCACCATTGAATGGTCTTGAAAGTATCTTTGCAAATGATCCATTCAACAAACCTGAAAAACCAGGGACTCCATCCATCACCGATTGGGATAAGAATCGTGTGGATCTTGAATGGACAGCACCAAAGAGAGATGGGGGTGCACCAATTACTGGTTACATTATCGAAAAGAAACCTAAATTTGGACAGTGGGAGAAGGCCCTTGAAATTGAGGGTACTAAGACAAGTGCTAGAGTACCTGATCTAACCGAGGGAGAGGAATACGAGTTTCGCGTTATTGCTGTGAACAAAGCTGGACCTGGTGAACCATCAGATGCTTCACAGTCGATTGTTGCTAAAGCACGATATGGTAAATATCGATCAATATATCGAAAATAATACTTTTATGTTATCTATATAAATTGAGTTTCATTGCATCAATTGTTTATTGTTAATTTCAGTCAAACCGTCCTTCGACCCACATTTGCTACATGACATTACTGTTCGTGCCGGTCAAAAGATTAGCTATGAAATACCAATCGAAGCCTCGCCTAAGCCTGTTGCGAAATGGACTATTAATGATGTGCCAGTTTACTCTGACGATCGTCACGAGATTTTCACTACGCATACGAATACTAATTTCGAAATTCCTTTCGCACATCGTTCCGACAGCGGTAGATACGTCTTGACCCTTGAAAATGATCTTGGAAAATGCAGGTAATTATAACATTTATGAGATAAATCAATAAAACATAATAAATTATTACGCTATTTAGGCTTATTAAAATATTTTTTAATTTATATAATTAGACAATTTTTACATTTTATAGCTATAATTTTTTTAAACTTTGTAATGCAAAATTACGCTTCTTATAAAAAGTATTTTTTATGAATCAATACAAATAATTCTGTTTTTCATGTAGTGCTGGAGCAAACGTTGTTGTAATCGACAAACCATCACCTCCACGAAAGCCATTCGATATCTCGAACATCACAAAAGACAGTTGCCATCTTTCGTGGCATCCACCTGCAGATAATGGCGGTACGCCTATTTTACATTACATCATTGAAAAAATGGATGTATCACGTGGTACTTGGACTGACGCTGGTATGAGCATGGTGACATCTCATGAAGTTGCCAGGCTAGTACACCGCAAGGAGTACTACTTCCGCGTCAAAGCTGTGAATAGCGTAGGAGAGTCCGAGCCATTGGAGACTGAAAAGAGTATCATTGCTAAGAATGAATTTGGTAAGCAACACTATTACTTTGATTTTATTTTATATTTCTTAATTAAGTATTTGAAATAACAATAAATCTAATCATTTAATGTTTGCAGATGAGCCTGAAGCACCAGGCAAACCAAGAATTGTTGATTGGGATAAAGATCATGTTGATATTGACTGGCCCGCACCTGAAAGTGACGGTGGCTCGCCAATTACTGGATATATCGTTCAGAAAAAAGAAAAGGGTAGTCCATACTGGACTAATGCTGTACATGTACCACCAAATCAAACAAGTGCGACTATACCTGATTTAACTGAAGGACAAGAGTATGAATTCCGCGTGATTGCGACAAATGCTGCTGGACAGTCTGAGCCTTCGGAGCCTAGTGATCTCGTCACTGCTAAACCGAGATACTGTAAGTTCTTTTGTAATTTTATATCATGCTCATTCAATCATTTGAAGAGAAATAGTAAATTATTTATCTTGTTTTACAGTGGCACCAAAGATCAAGACACTATTGGAAGATATGAAAGTGAAAGCTGGACATATTTTCCATTTGGATGTGGACTTTGTCGGTGAACCAATTCCAGAAGTTATCTGGAGTAAAAATAGTAAAGATGTAGACATTAATAAAAGAACAACCATATCATCTATTGGTTACCATACGATTTTGCACATTGTTGATGCTAAGAGATCAGATTCTGGCAACTACCACTTGTTGCTAAAAAACAGCAGTGGTACTGATGAGGGATCATTCAAACTTACAGTTCTCGACAGACCAGGACCGCCAGAAGGACCGCTTGAATATGAAGAAATCACTGGTCAATCGGTTACTTTATCATGGAGGCCACCGAAAGATAATGGTGGTAGTGACCTTACAGGCTATATAATTGAGAAGCGTGATCTTACACACGGAGGAGGTTGGGTACCTGCCGTATCACACGTTAGTCCTAAATACACGCATGCAACTGTACCTAGACTTGTAGAAGGTACAAGCTACGAGTTTAGAGTTTTCGCAGAGAATCTGCAAGGTAAATCCGAGCCACTTACTACCGACAGATCAGTAATTGCTAAGAATAACTTTGTTGTACCTGGCCAACCTGGTAGACCAGAATGTGTCGATGCCGACAAAGATCATATTAAGATTGAATGGACACCGCCAATCAGTACTGGTGGCTCTCCCATCTTAGGTTACGACGTTGAACGTCGTGATCGTGCGACTGGACGATGGATCAAACTTAATAAGGAGCCTGTCAAACCAATCGAATATTACGATGATCATGTTTCAGAAGGACATCAGTACGAATACCGCGTTACTGCAATAAATGCGGCCGGTGCTGGCAAACCAAGCGAGACTTCTCACGTTATTATTGCTAAACCAATGAAAGAGAAACCTAAATTATATTTGGATGCTCTAATTGGAAGAAGAATCAAGGTTCGCGCTGGAGAACCGATCAATATCGATATCCCAATCTCTGGTGCACCGACACCTAAGATCGAATGGACTAAAAACACACTCAGATTGGTTGAAACTCTACGGGTTACAATGGAGACGAAGAGTGACCACACTCAATTGCTCATTGATAAATCAGTTCGTGAAGATGCCGGAAAATACAATGTATCTGCAACTAACGATTATGGCCGTGACTCAGCAGATATTGAAGTTATTGTAGTTGATAAACCTGGACCACCTGTAGGACCAATTCAATATCCGGCTACATCTCAAGACAGCATTTCGCTCGAATGGAACCCACCATACGACAATGGTGGTTCTGACGTCACCAATTACATCGTTGAAGTCGCTGACTTTGGTTCTGAAAATTGGAGACAGTGCCCTGGCTATTGCCCGACAAATCACTTCATTGCCAAGGGACTCACGGAAGGCAAGCGTTACGTGTTTCGCGTACGTGCCGAGACTATTTATGGTGTATCTGAACCTCTTGAAGGTAAACCCGTGACTGCGAAATGTCCATTCGACCCACCAGATGCGCCAAGCCAACCTGAAATTCTTGGCTACACTCCCAACACTTGCACACTTGCCTGGAATCCACCAACCAATACTGGTGGCAAGCCTATAACTGGGTACATTGTAGAAAAACGCGAGCGTGGTAGTGAATGGCAGAAGACAAATACCTATCCTACGCCAAACACTACATTCACGGTTCAAGATTTGCACGAAGGTGCGAGATATGAATTCCGCGTTATTGCTGTTAATGAAGCTGGACCCGGACGACCAAGTAAGCCTACTGAACCTATAACAGCTGGTCACCAAAGAACTGCTCCAAGTGCACCTGAACAGCCGAAACCTGATCGTGTCACGAAAGACTCTGTTACCCTGTCGTGGCGTCCACCTCGTGAAGATGGCGGATCTAAGATTCGTGGCTACATTATTCAAATGAAGAAGGCACGCGGTGATGATGACTGGGACGATGTCAATGGTACTCCAGTACCTTCCACTACCTACACAGTTCCACATCTTACTCTTGGTGATGAATACTTATTCCGTGTGATTGCTGTTAACGATGTTGGTAGAAGTCCACCGAGTAGAGTTAGTAATCCAATTACAATTGAAGAACAGCCTAATAAGCCTATTATGGATCTTGGTGGTGTTAGAGATATCACTGTGAGAGCTGGAGAAGATTTCAGCATTCATGTACCGTACATTGGATTCCCAAGACCCATTGCTACATGGTATGTCAATGACGTAGTAACTGATGAAGATACCGACAAGCGTATACATCTTAAGCAAGCTGATGACTTTGCCAGTCTTGTCGTTAAAAATTCCAAGCGTTCCGATGCAGGTCAATACAGACTACAACTTCGTAACGCATCTGGCTACGATACTGCCACTGTCAATGTGCGTGTACTTGACCGACCATCACCACCACAGAACTTACGTGCTGATGAATTTGCCGGTGATGCACTTACACTATTCTGGAATCCACCGAAAGATAATGGCGGTGCCGAAGTCACTAACTACGTTATCGAAAAGAAAGAATCTAAAGCGTATGAATGGATCAAGGTGAGCGCATGTACAACATCAACTTTTGTACGAGTACGTAACTTAGCTGTAGGTACTTCATACGACTTCCGTGTGATGGCCGAGAATCAATACGGTACTTCGGATCCAGCCAAGACTACTGATCCTATTAAAGCCAGGTATCCATTTGACGTTCCTGGTGCACCTGGTGAGCCTAAAGGTATCGATTCAAGTGAAGACAGTATCACCATTACTTGGACGAAACCAAGATCTGATGGTGGTTCGCCAATTACTGGATACGTTATTGAGAAACGTCTTATTAGCGAGGAGAAATGGATCAAGGCTACACAAGCTATAATTACTGACACGACCTACCGTGTGGCTGGCTTGATTGAAAATCACGATTATGAATTCCGTGTTGCTGCTTTGAATGCAGCCGGACAAGGTCCATGGAGCGCAGGTTCAGACGCCATCAAAGCAAGTGCACCTGCAATTGCACCAAAGATTACCAGCGATCTTAGCATTCGTGACATGACAGTCATTGCCGGAGAACCTTTCACCATCACCGTGCCATTCGTGGCTAGACCAAGACCAAGACCGGCATGGTGTGTTAATGGCGAAGATATCGTTACAGATGATAGAATCAAGTTTGAAACCAATGATTATGAAACGCAGTTCATCAACAAGAAAGCTAAACGTACAGATACTGGTAACTACACCATCTATCTTACAAATACCGTGGGTACAGATTCTGCTACATGCAGAGTACTAGTGGTTGATAGACCATCACCTCCTCAAGGACCACTTGATGTCACAGATATTACACCAGAATCATGCACAATTTCATGGAAACCACCATTTGATGACGGTGGCTCACCAGTTACCAACTATATTGTTGAGAAACTGGAGCCTATTGGTATTTGGACAAAGTTGAGCAGTTTTGCAAGACGCACGCAGTATGACGTATTTGGCTTAGAACCTAACAGGAAATACAATTTCCGCATTAGGGCAGAAAATCAATACGGCATTTCAGAGCCACTTACTGGAACAGACCCTATCACTGCCAAATTCCAATTCAATGTACCAGATCCACCTGGCAGACCGAGAGTTTCAGACTGGGACTCAACAAGTATTACTGTTGCTTGGGACAGACCTGTTTCTGACGGTGGCTCTCGTATTCAAGGTTACAAAGTAGAATTCAAAGATCCAGCCGATGGCACGTGGCGCGTAGCCAATGATTATCTTGTTAAAGAACTTAACTATATCTGTTACAATCTATTAAGCGGTCATGAATACGAATTCCGCATTCGTGCTAAGAACGCCGCGGGTCTGAGCAAACCAAGCCAAACGTCAACACCATTCAAACTCAAGAGTAAGTGCATGGTACCAGATCCACCACAGAACCCACGAGTCATCAAGGTCGGCAAAAACTACGTCGATCTCAGATGGGAAGCACCAGCTGCAGATGGTGGTAGTCGCATTACTGGTTACATGATCGAGAAGCGCGAGATTGGTAGTGCAATTTGGATGAAATGCAATGATTACAATATTACAGACCTGGAATATACCGTTCTTCATTTGATCGAAAAAGGTGATTACGAATTCCGAGTGTTCGCAATAAACGCAGCTGGAAGATCAGATCCAAGCTCATGCACTGCTCCTGTAAAGATCTGTGAAGTCGAGGGAGGTGAGAAACCCGAATTCATCAGAACGCTACCTTACTCACAAGGTGTTGCACTTGGTAAAACTCATGTGTTCGAGTGCGAAGCGACTGGAAAACCTATGCCGGTATCAAGGTGGTTGAAGAATGGTAGAGAACTAACAATTGGTGGAAGATTCAGATTAGAAGCTTTCGATGGTGTATTCCGGTTAGTGATCACAGAAGTTTATGATACCGACGAAGGTGATTACACTTGCCAGGCGACAAATGCCGTGGGTTATGCCAGCACAACTGGCAGACTAAAGATCGGTTCACCACCACGCATTGACCGTATGCCAGATGATCTGTTCTTACCAGAAGGTGAGAACTCTAAGATCAAGATTTATTATAGTGGTGATCAACCAATCAAGGTATCCCTGTCGAAGAATGGCAGAAGATTACCCGAATCAACAGATCATTTGAAATACACCGTATTCGATGACTACATCATTATCTTCATCAAAGAAGTGGACAGAGAAACCGATGCTGGAGCATACGAAGTTCATCTCGAAAATGAAAGTGGCAGTATCACTGGTGTATTTAACGTTTACATTACTGGACTACCAGGCCCACCACAAGGACCACTGGATGTTTCGCATATTGATAAACATACTTGCTTGTTGAATTGGCTTCCGCCCAAATTCGATGGTGGTCTCAAGATCACGCACTATGTTATCGAACGACGTGATATTACGCATACTCAATGGATTACAATCTCTATGTTTGGCTGCAAAGATACACGTTATTCCGTCCAAGGCTTGACAGAAGGTCAAGAATATTTATTCAGAGTTATGGCAGTCAATGAAAATGGTATGGGACCACCATTAGAAGGTACTAACCCAATCAAAGCAAAGGCACAATTCGACCCGCCAGGTCCACCTGGAATACCAAAGATCACACAAGTCGGTGGAGACTTTGTCAATTTAGAATGGGACAAACCAGAAAGCGATGGTGGCGCAAGAATCCAAGGTTATTGGATTGACAAACGCGAGGTCAAAGAACCCGAGAGCTGCTGGCAGCGTGTAAATCCACAAATCTGTCTTCCAAATCAAATCAATGTAAGCAATCTTATCGAGGGCCGTCGCTACGAGTTCCGTGTATTTGCTCAAAACGAAGCCGGTCTCAGTACAGAATCCAAAGCCTCGACATCCGTACAGATACGCGATCCACAAGCTGCCAAAGCACCTGAAATTCTCAAACCTTTACCAAAGACACTTAACTGCGCTCAAAATCACAATGCACACTTCAAATGTATTATCACTGGAGTACCAGCACCAACGGTATCATGGTTCAAAGGTGCGCGTGAAATTGTCAATGGATCGAGATATAACATCTACTCCGAAGGTGACTGTCACAATCTCATTGTGCACGACGTTTTCGGTGAAGATGCTGATGAGTACATGTGCCGTGCAGTAAATAAGGCCGGCGTGAAATCAACCAAGAGCGAATTATTAATTATGACAGCACCTAAACTCAACGTACCTCCAAGATTCCGTGATACGGCCTTCTTCGACAAAGGCCTCAATGTCGTTATTAAGATTCCGTTCACTGGGTTCCCTAAACCAAAACTCACCTGGGTCAGAGAAGGTGAGACCATTGAATCTGGCGAACACTATGACATCCAAGTTACTGAGCGTCATGCAACCCTTACAATTCGTGATGCCAGCAAAGTTGATTCTGGCCCATACAGACTCACAGCTGAGAACGAACTCGGCACTGATTCTGCCATCATCAAAATCCAAATCAGCGACAGGCCAGATCCACCACGCTTCCCCATCATCGACAGCGTTGGTCACGATTCACTTGCTCTTACATGGAAACCACCAGTTTGGGATGGTGGCAGCAACATTACCAATTACTTGGTCGAGAAACGCGAACATCCGATGTCAACCTGGATTCGCGTTGGAAGTACACGTGTATGTTCGATTGCTGTACATGGCTTGAGCCCTGGACAGCAATACGACTTCCGCGTGTTTGCTGAGAATGTATATGGAAGATCTAACCCAAGCGAAGTTACTCCACTCGTTATGACGAAAGGTGCAGCTAAGAAGAAACATGAAGAACCTAAGCGCAAGACTGACATTGATCCAGTCACTGGCAAAAAGATCAGAGGCACGAGTGACGAGAAGGTCTGGGATTATGATCAATTCGTATCTGATATCTACGACAAATACGTACCGCGACAGCCTGTTGATATTAAACGCAATGTATCTGTATACGATCGTTATGATATTCTTGAGGAAATTGGTACTGGTGCGTTTGGTGTTGTACATCGTTGCCGTGAGCGTGCAACTGGTAATATTTTTGCTGCTAAATTTATTCCATCCCAACATCCAATGGAGAAAGAACTTATCAGGCGAGAAATAGACATCATGAATCAGCTACACCATCCTAAACTCATTAATCTCCATGATGCATTCGAGGATGACGACGAAATGGTTCTTATATTCGAATTGTAAGTTTTTATTTTTTGTATTTTATAAAAATAAAAAAAATTTTCAAATTTTAATTTTTTTAATTTTTCTACAGCTTGTCTGGTGGTGAATTGTTTGAGCGTATCACAGCCGAAGGCTACACAATGTCCGAATCCGAAGTGATCAACTATATGAGGCAGATATGCGAAGCCATTAAGCATATGCATGAAAGAAACATTATTCACCTTGACGTCAAACCAGAAAACATAATGTGCCAAACACGCACGAGCACGAATGTAAAACTGATAGACTTTGGACTAGCCACTAAATTAGACCCGAATCAAGTAGTAAAGATCAGCACTGGTACAGCCGAGTTTGCCGCGCCAGAGATTGTTGAGAGAGAACCAGTTGGTTTCTATACCGATATGTGGGCATGCGGTGTACTCGCTTACGTCCTACTGAGCGGACTCTCGCCGTTCGCCGGTGACAATGACATCGAGACCCTCAAGAACGTCAAAGCATGCGACTGGGACTTTGACGAGGAAGCATTCCGCGACGTTTCCGAAGAGGCCAAAGACTTCATTAGACGATTACTTGTTAAAAACAAAGAGTAAGTATCAATATCAAAATCAAATTTAAAAAAGTATGTATTTGTTGTTAAAATAAAATTTTCGTGATTGTAGGAAGAGAATGACTGCTCACGAGTGCCTTATGCACGCATGGCTCACTGGAGATTCCAGCAGATATACCAAAGAAATTAACACAAGCAGATATATCAACTTCAGGGACAAGATCCGCGCAAAATACGACGATTGGAAGAAGTACGTGCTACCCATTGGCCGGCTAGCTGAATACTCGTCGCTGAGAAAGCTTCTGATTGAGAGATATCAGATCCAAGATACAACCTTCGGTAAGTCTAATCGATTAATCTCTTTGGATTTTCTTATTGCATTCGCATGAAAAACTGAAAATATTGTTTGTTACTTAGATCGCAGACAAGCCGCTCCAAGATTCGTCATCAAGCCAACTAGCGCATTTGCTTACGAAGGCCAGAGTGCTAAATTTACGTGCCGCGTAATTGCCTTGGCTCCAGCAACACTCACGTGGTACCGCAATAATCAAGAACTCAGACAGTCTGTTAAATTTATGAAACGGTACATCGGTGACGACTACACTTTCGTCATCAATAGAGTGAAACTCGAAGACAGAGGAGAATACATCATTCGCGCGGAGAATCATTATGGTTATCGCGAGGAAGTTGTGTTCTTGAACGTACAACGTAAGTATTTGGTTATTTTATAAAATATAATCATAAATTGAAATTGAATTGATTGTAACGACGGCTGAACGTTTTGATAGCTCTGCCTAAGGACGTCGCGCCATACAAGCCAGAGGCTTACCAACCGGTCAGACGACGAGAGCCACTGCCATATCACTTCTGGATGGAAACCAAAGAATCGGCACCTGACTTTACCTTCCTGCTGCGTCCTCGTGTCATGCAAGCTCGCGACACTTGCAAGCTACTGTGCTGCTTGAGCGGCAAACCACCGCCAACGGTGCGCTGGTTCAAAAACAGCAAGGAACTGTCTAAACATGAATACACCATGACACACTCGGACGGCGTCGTCACGATGGAGATCGTTGACTGTAAGCCTGAAGACAGTGGCAAATACAAGTGCGTCGCTACCAATTGCCACGGTACCGACGAGACAAGTTGCGTTGTCATCGTCGAGGGCAGCGGCGAGACCGAGGAACAGGAACAGTTGGCCCATGATCTGTTACATTCCGGAGAGCGCCGATTTATTGAGAAACCTCTGAAACCAGCACCATACCAGCCAGTAACGACGACGATCATAAGGTCAACGCCATTCAAACCAGGTCACACACCAGTCAGCGAAATACCTATTAGCGAACGAGAGTTACATCGCATCACGATACCAGACCCAACTCCAGAACCAACCGTCGAGAAACCAATTGAGAAACCAGTTAAACCTCTAACTCCAGAACCCGAGCCCGAGCCTGTGCTCGAGACCGCCAAAAAGGAAAAGAAAACTAAGGACAAGGATAAGAAAGCAATTAAGAAGTATGGTACCAAAACAGATGCTACTGGCAGTCCGTCCAGATCGAGAAGCACAACGAAAGAACTTATACGTGAGTACAAATGACAAACTTGAAATTCTGTCAACGAAGGAAACCTAAAATTTGAAATATTTCATGGATTTGTAATATAGCTGCACCAGACGACGCAACGATGGGACCGCCGGTCTTTGTGCAGCAGCTCGACGCTGCGCTGACGATCGACGATGGCTCGCGACTAGAACTTTCAGTTGTAGTCGAAGGTGATCCAGAGCCACAAATCACTTGGCTGAAGAACGAGCAAATCGTCACGTCGTCAGACGTCGTCGATCTGAGGTACAGAGGTGGCATTGCCAGTCTCACTATTGTCGAGGTCTTTCCCGAAGACGAAGGCGAGTACGTGTGTACCGCCACCAACAGTATTGGCACGGTAACCACCGCTTGCAAATTGACCATCAAACGTAAGTGAAATTATAGGCGTCTCTCGTTGGGTGAAATTATTTTTTGACGATTTATTACTTGGCTAATGGTAGGTGATTCACATAAATTCTCGCGGGAAACATTGAAATCAGAAATGTTCATAAATTACGTGAGCAAACTTACCGACTAATTAGCAATGCTCGCGTGAAATCGTCTATTTCGAGAATAATTAGTTACTTTTGCAACGTAGTATAAATCGCTGCCGTTCCAAATTAAAATCCATTAGAATAGAGAAAATGTGTGTTTGCCTCATTAAAATACCAAGATGAAAATGTAAAATGAATGTTCAGCGGTGGAAAAAGCACCAGCGCCAGCAGCAAAAGTCGAGGAGAAGGATCACGCACCGCAAATCGTAGACCACGTACAGAGCAAAGTGGTGACAGACGGCGATGCGGTGACGTTAAGCTGCCGTATTATCGGGGCCAACAAATTCGACGTTGTCTGGCTGCACAACAACAAAGAGATCAAACCGAGCAAGGACTTCCAATACTCGAGCGAAGCGAACATACACAAACTCGTCATTGCCGAGATCTTCCCCGAGGATTGCGGTACCTATACATGCGAGGCGTTCAATGACGCAGGCGAAAGTTTCTCGTCTTGTACTCTCAACGTTCTCGGTAAGCTAGCGATCCATCGATTTTACAAAATGAGAAGGCTGCGCTCGAAACGCAAACAGACACCGCATTCTTGGCTATTCTCCAGAACGCTATCGAAGCACATTAATTTTAAGATTAACAGCCCAGACGGACCCTAAGTTGTTGTTTATCGTTGCAGTTCCGAACGAGGAACCAAAGAGCCCGGTGTTCAAGACATTCCCGCAGTCGGCGACAGTAACCGAAGGAGAAGCCGTTAACGTTTCGTGCAAGTTCGATGATGCGCCTCTCAAAGGTATAACAATTTCGGTCAATGTGTGCAAAAATCAACAAGTTCCACGAGTTGTCTAAAATCAACCAAACGATGCTCTTGTTTATAAAGTTACGTGGCAGAAAGATGGCAAGCCAATAGACGAAAAGAGTAGCAGATACCGTTTCAGCAAGGATGGCGACACGTCGTTCAGGTTTGGTGTCAAGTCGACGACGGCCGAGGACATCGGCCAATACACGGTTGAGGCGGTTGGCAAGAAGGGCCAGACGAACGCCGCATTTTCAATAAACGTCGTGCCGCCCAGCGACAGTGTCTAAACAAATACTATTTATAATAATATACGTTTTAATGTTCTCTCACTCTCGAATGTACGCGTGGTGCGCTCGTACATGTTCTTTCTTCTCACTCTCTTTTTTTTACACGACATCTCGCTCTACAAAGCAAAAAAGGACATTTTTTTTGGCGCACAGTGTGATTGGACGGCAGCCACGCACGAATATATAAGTGTATACGCGATTTATTTATTTATTATTTTATCTTTCTCTTTCTCTATCTTTCTTTCTATTTCTCTCTCTCTCTCTCTCTCTCTCTCGTATTTCTTGTCTTTCTTCGTTAATACTTCCTTTTTTCACGACGTTTTATCGCTTCTATTTTTTTTGTCTCTCACTCTCTCACTCTGGTGATGTATACTTACACGAAATATAGTTATTATATATATGATTTTATCGTCGCGTTGGTGCGCCGTCAATCGATGATAAGAATGTGTTGAATTATGTAATAAAAATAAATTTAATGAAAAAAATAATACAACAAAAATTCATAGTTGTTTCATTTCTACACTATCATCCTATTCTGATGACATAACAACAGACGTTGACAATTGTTCAAAGCGTTTGGAAGTTTACTTTGAAATACTTTTCGGCAGCGTAATTCAAGTAAACATTTAAAAATAATTGTTTCTGTCACTTACTTTTTTTAATTTAAAAAACGTTTTTTTAAACTATATACAAATTTATTTTTATTATGCAATGTTAAAAAAAACTGAATTCAAGATTTTGAAAAACGAAAGAATAATATTCCTTCATTTCGATCTTATTTTTCAAAACTAAAGTATACTTCCTTGAAATGAAAAATTTATATCATATTTTAACATTTTTATAACATATTTTAACCAATACTAAATAATCGAATCTAATTCATTCAATCATTTTTAGGAATACTTGCATCAGACCTAAATGTGAAATAAAACACTTTGACATCTTTTTTTGATACAAAATTGATTTTATTTTACTGTTACACCCTACACATTTCCTATCCCATGAATGTTGTACATGTTTTTCAGTGTTTTTCGATTTCGCCAACTCTCGCAATCTGTCTTACCCAATAAACATAGATATAGTAGAAATAAATGTTATTATATTGTATATTTCACCATTAAACCTAACGACAAAGGATAACGCTATAAGCTATAGGTCATTATATACGGTAAAACTTAAAATATGAGAGATTAATATTGTGACACACAAATATTGCGTCAGAGAGAAAGCTAACGTAGCAGTCTTTTGAGATTTGTCGCGTCCGCAAAGTGATCATCGTGTCTTTCAACGAACAAAAACAAATAAAGATATTCCGGTTCGTGTGTTTATACGGTTTTTTGTGTCATATCAAAAATATACGACCAAAGCAACAACGCGCTTTGCGGAGGCTAAGGCTTCCTTCCGAAAGATTACGAAAATGCTTTTGTCAAGGCAAAAAAATAAAACAGCAACAGATCATTGCCTTGCATTGTGCTCCGTTTCTAACAGACATTCGCGTACCAATATTCGAGCATGTTGAATTCCCATCTTGAGGCGTTCTGCAGCACTGCGACTTCCAGCATAAGATAAACGAATATCTCGACCTAACTCCTCGATTATTACCAAAAGTTGAGTGTACTTTCCCTGACCTGGGACAGATGGGAAGTTTATTGTGTTTGATGGACTTGCTTGTGCCACCTGAAAATGACATTGATAATTTTTTTTAGATTCTTAAGTTTATGAGAACTATAGTACAAATAACAAATAGTAATAATAAAATACCTGTACAGTCTGAACATTTTGTAGATTCCTGGGATTTGGCACAGTGATCACAGGTTCAGGAATCCTAGGAATTTCCTGCACCTTTTGCTGTGGGGGAGGAGGTGGTGGAGGTGCTTGCTGTGGAGGATCATTTAGTTTCGTTATGGTTATTTCATTAAGCTTAGCCAGCTCGTTAAGTTTAGCCATTTCAGCCATTTTGGAGTACTCTGGCATCTTGGTGATGTCGTTCTGCATGTTGGCAATTTTAATTATTTCATTCATCTTAGTCTTTTCATTCATTTTTGCGATCTCCTTTGCCATCTCATTAATCTGAGCGATTTCATTAAGTTTTGTAATATCATTGTATTTTGCCATTTCCGTCATTTTCACCATCTCATTCAACTTAGCTATCTCATTCATTCTTTGGACTTCATTGAGTTTTGCCATCTGTTGAAAGAAACAAACTTATTACATCCAATCACAAGAAATACAAATATAAAAATACCTCATTCATTTTAGCCATCTGAGTCATTTTCATCATTTCATTCATTTTGGCTATCTCATTCATCTTGGAAATATCATTGTATTTTGCCATCTCTGACAGCTTGACCATTTCATTCATCTTAGCAAGCTCGGACTGCATCTGCATTTGAATCTTCATATATTCCGTATTCTTGGCGTATTCAGCCATCTTCTCCATCTCGTATCTTTTGGCCATATCCTGTGACATCTTATTCAACTCGCTCATCTTGCTAAACTCAGCTAACTGTGCCATTTGAACAATATGCTCTGGCACCTTACCTCTCTCCATCATCTGCTTGAGCTCGGCAGAGATTTTATTCATGTTGAGTTCAGACATCTCAGCAATGGTAGCAGCATCAGGCATTTTGGAGAGTTCAGCAATTTTAGAAATCTCCCTAGCAAGATTCTCATTGAGGCACCTTTTCTTCTTCGCCCTGTGTCTAGCCATCCTTTGAGCTTCTTGCATCCTCCTGAGCGCAGCTTGTTCATCCGATTCTTTAGCGCGAGAATTTTTCATTCTCTCGGCTTGTAAAAATAGTCTGAGATTACGCTCCTCCAGCGTTTCTGACATATCAACCTATATATATATATATCTTTATATATATATAGATCTATATTTCTCACTACACGCAAACTTTGATCGATTGTCTTGTCACTCGCGTTAAGGTAATTATATTCACTAGCTATTCAATTTAATTAACCGCGAGATAAGAGACTCGATTTGGTTGCGATGCAGCAAGAAGGTTCATTTTGTCGTTCGTTTGAGAGACGCGAGTTATCGACCATAACCCCTTCCTTCTCTAACGTCCAAATAAGACGGCGTCTTGCTCACACGCTTTACGTGTCTTATAGAAAGAACACTTCCGTATCTCTGTGCTCGTCTTTACCCTATTATATATTGTAGATAAACTAGAAGATTAGATATAAATTGTCTTGCGGCTACGGCTACTGCTATACATACTGATATTCGCCTCTTCTGCAACCGAAGACGCTGCGCACAGGGTTAGTGACTTTTACTCTTTTTTTGTTACCTTTCTCTTTATTTTTCTTTCTTCCCGACCGTGTGTACATATATGTATCTGAGCACTGGCGCAGCGAAGTTTCTTAGCGATGCTAATTCAATTCGTCTGAATTGGTTACCTAATTACTTTCTTTACTCGAGTCCACAATGTGAATAATGGTATATTGTGTAGGTAGCTTGCCTGTAAGTGTGTATTATTGTGTCGTGGATATTACATGCACGGATACACACATGCTCATACACACACGCGCACGTACACGTACATGCACATTAATAGTAGATTCTCGTCAATTGATGCAAACGCGTCTACTGCGAAATTAAAATAAATTAGAGTACGCGTTCTTTCTGCTTTTTTTTGTATTGCAAAATAAGGTTATCTTTATTAGGTACGATTCTCATGAATTATTCACATTGATATACAGCTTTTGGAGTACGTTGCAAGTGGATATCTATAAATGTACAAATTTTGACGTGAATGTTTAATCAGGTGTTCACGATGAACGGAAATCAGATTTTATATTCGCGGTGTAATACTCTTACATATAACAAAATAATATTACAATAATGTATAACAAAAATGACTATTTTTAACACGTTTGCCATTGTTAATATTGATCGTAAATCATAAATTTTTATAAGTATCGTACATTTTTAAAACTAATAAAAGGGAATATCATTCTGAGGTAGTAAAATGTTGAAATTTTTATAGATTTCTTAAAAGACAAATTATAAGATACCATTGATTATGCATTGTTGTAAAAACACAACATGTTTCCTTGCAATTTTTTGTTTCTTACAATTCGTCTTTTAATCGATATATTTAACATAACCGACAAATTAATAATTACTAAATTAACATTATTATAGTCACAACAAATTTTCTTATAGAAACAAAACAGTCTTGGTCTTCGTCACTGCCTCAAATTGATTCTCGTCTCCATCAAACAATCCCTGACAAGACCTCTTGCTCTAACAATGCAAGACTTCAATCTCTCCGCTGAACTCCGACTGCCGGCATAGGACAGTCTCAAGTCACGGCCGATCCTCTCGATGATTGCCAGCAACTGGGTGTATTTACTCTCTGTTTCCGGCACTGACTCTTGCAACAAAATTTCCGCTTCTGTAAGTTGTTTTTGGTTGACGAATAATGTTCTAGTGAGAGTATTTTGGAGCAGTGCTCGAGGAATTGCCAAATGCGTGAATTTTACGTTTAACGAACGAACAAATATTTATTTAAACAAATTATCGACCGCAAATTTCCACTCCAGAATAAAAAAAGAGAGCTCTAAATTCGCAAATTACCCGATTCCCTTGTCGAGCCTTGTTGCTGCGACTGCCGTTTGTCCTCCAAAGCTTTCCTCTTGCGTGCTCGAAAGCGTGCCATCCGTTGAGCATCATGAAAGCGCCGTATTATGGTTTCCTCCTCGGTTTCGCGTGCCACCCTACTTGACCGCGAGCGCGACGATGACGAGGAGGATTTGCGGAGACTACTCGAGATTATCTCGCGCTCCTGCGAACCCGACGACCTGTTGCTGCTCTGCGAAAGCTTCATGCCGAACACGGGATTTTAATGGGCGCTTTCATTCGAATGATTTTAAGTGCAAGCTCTACCCACAGAGATTCGCCCGTAGTGATGGGAATTTTGCGAAGTGAAGTCTCGCGAAAGCGAGAGAGAGAAAAATGAAAATACCTGAAGGCTCAATTGGCCAGAGTAAAAATATGTCGCATTGTTGACTTTGCGCGTGAAGTATAACTGCACTGTCGTTCGTACTGACGTCGCGAGAGACAAAACCAAGACACACTAAAAACTCACTTTACCAAAATCTTCGCTCTCGCGCCGCTCCATTGTTATCGGCGCGCTTGATGAGAAGAGAAAAAGGGAGCAAGTGTACGATCGGAAAAGAAATCGTCTAATCTCCAAATATCATCGATGTCAACGCATGCGCGCGTGCGAACGGATTGTTCATTTTTGACAATGGTGGTCCAAGTACTATTAAGCCAGCGCGTTTGCTCGCCCCCCCTCTTGTTAAGTCATCAAGGCGATTCGCTACCGAAATAGCATTGGGCGCGAATCGTTTAATCGTTCGTTCGTTCGCTTTGTGCTTTTCTTCCTCCTCGGTTACAAGTCGATATAATCTTAACTCTTTTTACTTTGCAGTGAGTCATGAACTTGCCAACCGGTGAGTATTACTTCCTGCTTCTTCTCGTCGTAGTACCTGTCTACCTATTCTTCCGATTATGGTCCTGGTTAGGATGGCAGTTGTTTGTCAATAACTGACACTCGCACAATCTTCTTCGTATACGAGAATACGTTATTTATATTTCTATCTATTTTTTTATATATAAAATATGAATACAATATGTATATTTTCTTTAAAAAACATGTTATTCCTTATTAAATAAATATTGATATTAAATAATATCAATAGAAAGTTGATTAAGTCTTTTTGAAGCGCACAAAAAGATATCGGAAAAGAGATGAGACATTAGATTTTGTTGGTGATTGATAACTCGTCGAGGCCCATACGACCGTAGTGCTTCCAGATACGATACCTTGCGACATCCTTACGTGTTATCATACCGATCACCTCGTTTGTGTCATTCACAACTGGTAAGTGACGAAGACCCAGTGCTCTGAAAAGTCGGAAGGCACGCGGTAACGTTGCAGACTGAAAAATAATTTTTGATTGTTACATAATTTTTATAGTTACAAGTTATGCTATAATATTTATAATCAACATACATGTTTTAGTGTATATGGCGATGGATTCATGAACGGTCTAAGATCAATAGTATAAGTTTTTTCCTCATCAGTTATATTAACTTCCTCGATAGTCGGGTATCGAGGATATTCATTTCTGAATATTCTTATGCTGAGATCCTTTTCCCAATGTTCAGAATATTCGTTAAATATTCTATTTTGCAATAAAACTATCAATTGCGACCGTAATATTAAGCCTCGAAGTCTACTATAGCAGTTTATTTCATCCTATAAAAAGTAATTTGCTTAATAAATAGTTAAACACAGTTGAAAAGATATTTGAAAAGCTTACCCGTTCTCCATTGGGAGGATCTACTACAGGAAAACCATTAAATGTCACACATTTCAACATTTCTATAATATGACCTACATTCTCTGTAGTTTTCAGTGTTATCACTGGATGACTCATAATTTCACTAGTGTAAATATTATTAGACAGTGGCGGAGGCTCCCAAGGAAGAAGAGGAACGCCTGTTAACTGTATATGAATGTCGTAAATTCCCTGCAATATAACAATTTTATTAAAAATACGCGCTAATTTTTTTAATTTCATTGACTTGATATATTACCTCAAAAAAGAAATCTCCAACCCATTTAGCCGTAATTAGAACTATAATAATTGGCAGGCCAAAAGATATTCCTTGAGTTGCCTCAATGAGGATACACGTTAAACTAATTGTCATCCTAATTTCCCCACCTAATTGTGCGGCAGCACCGAGGAAAGCGTATTTCCCAGGTACAAAATCCTATGTTCAAATAAATTTTAATTGTAGTATATTTAAGATGATAGGGCTTTTTTAACTTCATTGATTAACACTTACACAAGTAGGGCAAATTTTAGCTAATCCTGATCCAATTAATCTACCCCAAGCAGATCCAATGAGAAGAGATGGAATGAATAAACCACAAGACACTGACAAACCAAAAGTACTGAATGCAAGTATGAAATACAAAATAATAAAGACAGATAAAGTTGTGTCGCTGTGAGAACCTAGAAAATTCATTTCATTTTGTTAAAATCTACTAAATTTTACATATTCCAAATTAACCTATGTAATACCTAATGGGTCATGGAGTAAAGAACGAAGAGTACTTTCTGGAGTTTGAAACCATAATTCAGCAACTGCACTATACTCTCCCTCGCTACAGAACATTCTTACGTGGCTTTCTGTTTTATTAACATTGCCAAGCGATTTACAATCATCAATGAAAAACATCATGAGAAATCCCATAGTGCAACCCATCAAAGCAACAGTTAATGCTTCTACAATTTTCAACCATTTGAGCTTTATGTACTTGATACGGAAAATGGTAATTTTATAATTCATGTAATTGTACAATGAACCAAATAATCCTCCAAGAGCACCCATTACTATAAACAAAGGAATCTCATAAACTTTGTAGAATATAGTTTCAAATTTTCCCAAATTTAGTAGGCCAGGATAAGATAAGTCTCCTAGATGACCATGATAGGCACTGAGTACTACATTTAGCGTGAATGTCGATATCATGCTGGCAAAAAACGTACGCCACGTTAAATTTTGATTGAAAAAGCTTGCTCCTTCTTCGATACTAAACATCACACCACCTGAAATAGAAAATTATTACTAGGTTACAATAAACGTAAAAATATAAAATTCATTTATAGTATGTCTTTCACCAATGGGTGCTCCAAAAGCAGCAGATACGCCAGCTGCTGCTCCACCACTTACAAAATCTCTCTTTTCATGATCTTCCCTAAAATATTTAAAAATTCCTAAATCCTTTTTGAAAGTTGTACTTTTGCCTTGAGAAATGCCAGCTGCAACGACTGCACCAGCATGAATCATAGGGCCTTCCTAAAAAGATAAATTTGATTATGTATAAAATCATATATAGATTCTCAAAAATATATTTTTATTCTTTTTACTTTTCCTCCAGCCAGGCCTCCAACAACTGAAGTGATTACTCCAAAAACTTTTACAACCAAAGTCTTTATCCTTACAACTCTGGGAATTTTCACTCCATTTAAATAACACTTTACTTGTGGAATACCACTGCCAGCAGCTACAGGTTCCACATAAGTTACTAAAAGCGAACCAATTAAAACTGGGACCATATTGAAGGCTGCCCATGCTATGTAAGGAATCCAAAGACAAGCACCTCCATCAGCAATACAATTTTCAACAACTAATGCTTATTGTTAAAGAAACATACACAGTACCATTGGAAAACAGTTTTGCAACTTTATATTCAAAAGGATACGGTACTTTAAATATCCATACTTATGCACTGATAATTCCTCAATAGAAATATCAATAAAGCAGGCAATTAGTGCTGTACAAATACCTATCACGAAAAAAAGGAACCACCTAGCAATGTTCTTTTTGACAACAAATTTGTAGCCCTTGTTTCTCTCTTCATCTTGTAACAAATTGTTCTCACAAGTATCGTAGTCAAGACTCTATAATAAAAAATGAATGACTCATCATTCATTTACATATATTAACAGCTCAGTTCTATAAAAAAGTTGTGCATACACTTACTTCAAAATTACTCAATAAAAAGTTTGTCTCTCCTGGCTGCACCTGATCTGAATTGAATCTGACGGTTTGTCTATTTGACACACTCTGTAAGATATTACGTAGCGAAAAACTGCTTCTTAGATCCAAATTCTACAACAAAAATCAATTGACAGATTAAGAATACAACCTAATGACAAGTGTCATAATATGTGTCATTGTGTTAAACTCACCCGAAACCTTACACTAACGTCATTATGAGAGTACGAAGGGAAATTATTCCTGGGGGATGTCCCATAGACCAAAGGAGGTCGTGGTGACGACCTGATAAGACGATGATTATCATCTTCGTCGCCACTCAAACTGTTGTTACTGACAGTTGCATTGATGAGGACGTTCACATGCGTCGATGGGTCAGTTGTCATCTTTCTCGCCTAATAACTGACATCGTATACATCACATATACATAAACAATACTGATGATTTATCGCTGATAAGTAATGAGCACTGGGGTTTTTACGTCGTGTAACACGCACTAAATAAACGTTCCACCATACACTTCATGATACACGTACTTGTATGTACATTTTAACAATCACGCCAAACGACAGCTACATAGTAGCTACAGGTCACGTGATTGCTCTTTCTCTGTCATCAAATCACGTCTGCTCCGTATTTATGTTTTATTCTATTTTTCTTTGTGTGTTTATTATCATTTCTGATCTTGCCCAAATTTGTTTGTCAAGAAATTGCTCGTAAAGTAGTTCAGTTGTTAAGATCCTGTTTCAATAATGATAATCGTGAAATTAATAAAAAAAGAAATCATAATTTCTAAAAGAAACATTCATTCATGCGCGCAGCAGCATCAACATTTGATGTTACTCGCTTTAACGAATGTGTGATTCATACATTGCAACTGATGCAACACAAGAATAACGAATCACTCTGCAAAATATATATAATACATTGATTGTAAACCTTAATATATAACAATAGCCAGAACGTAGGAAACGTTAAATTTTGGAACAGCTATACTGTGCTTCTCAGTTACCTGCCTTATGTATAATAATATTGGTCGTGCGCACTTGGACGTTGCGCAGTGCATTGTCTGCCGATCGTGTCCGTCACGAAACGAACGCTAATTTAAATAAATTAACAACAAAAACATTAGTTAACAAATCATACAATATAATCACAAAATACAACCTAAAAATATATAAAAAGAATTTTGAATTCATGCTTAAAAGGTTTAAATTTATAATTTCTCAATTCAAAAGTTTAGCCACTGTTTTCAGATTTAAAACTAATTTTATACTACAAAAGTATATATCATTAAACATAACAATACATAATTATTAAAAGAAGTATTGGCATAAAATGATTGCATACATTTTGAAAAATGTCTCATTGGTTTGAAATTTTACTTTTTATTGGATTAATATACAAAAATTATATTTGCATACTCATATAACTTATTACTATTTCAAAAAAGGGAATAATATCAACACTATAAATTCCAATCTCCCAATTGTGCTTTCTACAAATCTTTGGATAGGATCATGGCAAGTAAATTATATTTTGTTGCATACATTTTGTCGATTTTGTACAACTATTTCCACTATTACGTATGGATAGTTTCAATAGCCGGCAAAATAAATTTTTAAGTATTTCATAAAAATAGTTATACCTATAATAAAAATTATTATAGGTTTTTTATAAAATAAGCCACTGCAAGATGCTGCTAATACATACTCTACAGGAAAAATACTATTTCGTAAACGAGAATAAACATGTTCTTCGCTTCGTAGAAAGACAAACGTTAATAAATAAATATATCAATGTAATTCAACAAGATAGAGTGGTTTAAAGATATTGAGAGATAAAAAGAAAATAAATGGGCAATTATAATCAAGTAATTAGATCTCAATTTTATTAAATCCTCATGAAAGCTTTTGACATTACAATTTACAATTAACGGTAATATTTAAAGATAGATTTTCAAAAGTAAAACTTAAAATATGAATAATAATAAAATAATCTATGTTATATATGAATAAGTATAAAATCATCTGTATTTGTAATACAAGTAATGCTAAAATGAATTTTCATTTGGTAAGCAATTACTGTTATTTGTTAACATATATGTATGTATATAATGTAAGTATTCATTAAGAATGGAATTTCGTTTCAAATATTTCAAACTACGTTCGTTAACAGCAAGAAGAAAACCGTCGTGAACTTTAGTTAGTTTTATAACAAAAAATCGTAAAAAATATTTAACTTTAAATAAATAAGAATTTGCTAAAAAAATTTTTATAATAAATTAAAAAATACATCACATTACAGGAATTAAATTTTAACGAACAGCAGAAATTACTTAAAAATGAAAATTTATTTCACGAATACCCTTATTATAAATACAAATGAATATATATTTACACATACATAGTATTTGATATAAGAAAGTGATTTAAACAATTTCTGATTTTCGTTAATATTCGATTTCTGCAATGCGATATGCCTTAAATTTTGTTAGCAAAAAAGCTCACTATTTAATATTATTTATTCAAAGTTTAACATTGGTTAATCAACGTTGGCTTTGTAACAAACACGATCGGTACACAATGCACTGCGCAACGTTCAAGTGCGTATGACCTGCTCGGCAAGTTCTGTGCGCGCATTACATTCAACGTGCAGCGCTCTAAATCGTACGCTCGAATCGCGTTTATTTTCTATCTGGGTGTAATGGCGTCTAATTCTTGATCCTTTGTTCAACTGTCAACTATGACACGAGACTTTTTAGGCATTTATTTATACAAGTTCACTATAACATGCTCGAAAACACTCGCGTCCACATTTTCCTTTACACAAATATTATTTTCACATTTTTGATTCGGCTTTCCGTTGCGTATTTTAGTGTGACTTGACGTCAGAAAAATCGACACTTTTCTGTTTTCAATATGCAATTAATCAATTTTATTCTTTAAACCAACTCGACTATTCAATACGAATACACGCTCGTTCTCTAATTCTATTATTTGCACTTCTCTAAAACTCCCGGACAATTCACACTTTTATTACATGATTTCACATCGAATTTTTCGCTTTAAATAAATTTATTTTTACTCATTCTAATTGGAACTAGAGCGGTGGAAGCACGTTTCCTGGGGCGATAATCTGTTTGACGGATTGGTAAGGTGCTGGACTGATGAATTGAGAAGAGAATATATTTGGCATGAAACGCTCTATTTTATTAAGGCATTCTACACTCCTTACAACTCTAGAGATGCCACGTAGGGCATAGACCACAGATCATACGGTGCATGCACCATCCATGTCAACGCACATACATATATTTACAAACTGTTCAACAACATTCAAAATCCAATGAAATTAATCACATTAATCGTAGAGTAATTAAAAGTATGTTATATTTTCTATACTTCTTTTTGAAATAATAGAATAAAGTAATTTCCTCTTTATGAAAAAATATTTAGACTTACAATCATTCGAACACATTGGAATCAAGTGAAAGTACGAGGATCGTTCAATAAGTTCGTAACTTTAAATAAAAAAACACTATTTATTTAAATAATTCCAATTTATTTTTAAACTTATTCCCCTTCTAAGAGTAAAAGATTTTCATCCAACGAAGAGGTAATTGCTACGACGAAAAAGCATTTTGAGGAGTTTGATAAAAATTACTTTTCAGAGAGCATACAAAAGCTTGAACACCACTATAATAAATGTATAGAGTTGAAAGGGAATTATATTTTGAAAAACAAATTGAAATTATTTATTTAAATAATTTTTTTAAATTTAAAATCACGGATTTACTAAACAACTCTCGTAAATATCTCTTACAGTAATTTGATCTGGTAATCAATAAGAAATTGACATTAATATTAGCATATATATACATCCATCTGTTTCCATATAAAATTAAAATTTATGCATAGATCATTACGTGAATTGATGCAATTTTTCGTTTTTACTATGCGGGTATTAGAATATACTGTCGTTTTGATTAAAGTCAAAAGTCAACTAATGAGGAAGGTACCCCAGGTGTATCTTACCGATTTTCTTAAAATTGTAATATGTGGGAGAGCATTAAAAAATATGTGACACACATTCTTTTATACGTTCCCATGCGCACATTTGAGGGGTGAAAACCACTCTTGAAGTTCATCCCTAAAAATGTTTTTTTCAATTTTCAATTTTTCACTATTCCGAATTTTAGACGAAAATAAAATGTGTATCACTTAATATTAAAAACCGCATATTTGTACATTGTTTTTAGTGATCAGGCTAGTAACTCCTGTTTCTTATTAACGAAAAACTATACTTTTTGACACATTTTTCGCTATAGAAAATATACAATTCGAAATTGATTACATTGAAGATTTTTCACGAATAGAAATCAACAGTAATCTTTTTTATTTTTAAATTCAACTTTTTGAATATAATATTTAAGTAACTTTACTTTTCACTCTATTAAAAGATTTTAGTTTAATGAATTCTTTATTTTATTAAACACTGCATCAAAAATTATAATAATATAGTAATATGCAATATATAATAGTATAATAATATGCAAAAAATCACAATTTCAAGAAAATTGATAAGATTGCACCCCGGGTACCTTTTTTGTAAATTCTAATTTGAATTTTTAAACCTTTGAGCTAATTTGATATCCTAAGTTTTGGGTAATTGGTTTAAATATTTATGTCGTATTCCAAAAGAGAAAAATTTTCAATTGTAGAATAAAATAAAAGACTTATTGGTTCAAAATTTTACTGAATCTTCATACTCTGTAGTGTATTACATATTTTATAGAAACATTATTTAATATTTTTTTTTAGTTCTAATGAAATATGCCAAGATACGTTTGAAAATAAAAAAATTATCGATTGTCTAGATTTTGCACAGCCAAGCAGACTTCATAGTTATGGGTTCGTACCGATGAATGAACATATAAGTATAATTTCTACTGAATCCCAAAAATATGACAACTAGACTTGCAATGAAATCAACGTGCATAATTTATCGAATATATATGCAAACAAATTATGTGCAGTACTTTCGATCCGATTTTTATTCAGTAGTCTGAGCTAAATGAGATAAAAATCAATTATTTTTAAAAAGCAATGGTTTTTCTTTCACTTTAAAAATATTGAACCGAAACATAAAATAAAAAATGTCTAGCCAATACATTTGTAAAATGAAATTTTTAATATTGAAATTGATTTATGAATACAACTTTTTTTACTATTTTTTAATGGCTACACGATTACGCTTGTTAATCAATAACCATTGTATTATCTCTTTTCTACTATTTTAATATTGTTGAACACAGCTTATGACATAAATTTATGGCTCATGACTCAATGAAACTCAATGAAAGTAAGTTTTCCGCTTTACTAAATGACGTGTCAGAAGAAAACCATTTGTAACATTTATACATTTACAATAATTGCTATGGTTTTCCCATTAAATTATTACTTATCATTTATATTTTTGATCTCGGTGGTTAATTTACTGTTATTAATTCAGATTGTATCCTGTCAAGCATGAAATTTAAAACTAAAACTTTAGTAAAAATTAATCAAATATTTTAATTATAATCGACAATATTAGGTGCTATTTTGGCAGATTTTTGCATATGCTAAAGTAGAGACACTTATGCATAAACGATGTGCTTTCCACGTTCGAAATTATATAAAGAAATATTGAATAATTCTAACGTGCAAGGATAATATCACCATCAGTTTGCTCAGACAGAAGATTCTATACGAGGATAGAATAACTTTTACATTTTCGTATTATTAGATATTATTATCAAAATTTCAAAAAATACCGTTCGAATCGATTGCATTTTCAATCCTTTTATTTTCATTTTATAAATAAAGAGATGGAGCTGAAAGTGAAGCTAGTTTTTTTTATTCATCATCCGATTGGTTGAACTGTGGTCAAGTGGATTGATAGCAAAAGTAGTGAATCGGAGTTAATAAATAAATTGAATTATTTTTCATCGATTTATTATCAATTGAGTGAATAAAAAATAAGTAAAATAATTTGTAGGCATTAAAGAAAAAATATAACCTACATTCACTCAACGGCCTAATCAAAATGATAAGGAGAAACAATCTTGATACATTTAAATTACATTTATTTTCAGGACATATAAATTTATTGAATACTAGCGTCAAGTCGTGGAGTCGCGTACATCGAACAAATGGGTTTCTTCCATTTGCTCATCAACTTGCAAAAGCTGAGCATCGTGATAGGATAGAAAAATTAAAGTAGATGGTCAATAATAAACCACGCGAATGAAGCGTAAAATCGGAATGTTGAGAAAAATCTCAATGGTAATACGAGCTAATCAAGACACGCCAAAATTAATTATTATAATTATATAATTATATAATTATTATATTACTATAATTAATTCATTTTCAATATAAACATTAAATATTTTCATTGTTTTCAAGAAAAATTAATGTATTACGTTAATCAATTCAATATAAATTATTTGTATGAAATCGTTTTGCTTTGAATTTCAATGATTAAAAAAACTACAACTGAGGTTAGAGTAGCCGCGATAAAACGAGCTTTTTAAAAGATACTGCTCTATAACTAATTTATACATCATAATATTTACGTGTCCATCATTCAGTAAATTAGATCGTGAATAAATAGCCTACACTCTCAGATTCATCTCTTTTTTTATAGAAGAAAGTTGGTTGCTTTGAAGTTTAACTTCGAATGAAAATAATCAAAAACAAAGAGAATAAAAAATCGATTACTATTTCACATGAAACATAATTTGGCGTAGTAATTTCTTGAAAAACTTGTGTAAAATGAAATTTATAAATTTAATTATAAAGTCAAGAATATGACGATATAAAGATAAAAAATAACAATTACATTGTTTGCTGAAAGTGAACATTTAGAAATTGAGCTTGCGAAAAGCACCGTGCCAAATTAGCTGAAACTGATTTCCAGTATTTTATCAACAAAATACGTTTATTGATATGAGAATACCCTACAAAAAGTTTTTAATCGTAGATTAATATATTAAAAAATATAGAAAATGAAATTATCCGGCATAGCTGGTAATTTGAATAATTGGAAAAAGAAAAAGGAGAAACGAACTTACTGTTAATTCGTTTCTCATTATTTATAGCTAAACACCTAAAAAACTACTTTATTAGATTTGAAATTATAAGTAAATCTATATATATAAATTTAATCAGATTTTTATTTAGCAATTAATATTAACGAAAGTTAAGCATGTGAAAGTATAGAATCGTTATATGTATGAGATGTATTTTAGAATTTTTAAAATATGAGCGCACGACGATTAGTTAGTTGAAGAATTCAGTAGAAGCTAATTCAAATAGCACAATATTAACAGGCTAAAAATCTATTTAAAACTCATTTTTAGCCAACATTCATATTCGTAAAAGTAAATTTAAATCGAATGCATCATTTGCGTACTAAGATGCAATAAAAAAAAATATAACAATCAAATCCGAAAAATTACAACTGGAAATGATTTATAGGTTTAGTTTTCCAGTAGACATTGATTAGAACAGAAAAATATGAATGCGGAATAAATAGATTGGCAATCTATTTTAAAAAGAAGTCTGAATCCCACAAAAAAGTCATTCGCATCGACTACATCCTTCATTTGATACAAAAAAAAATAAAAAGGTATTAAAGCAGATTGACCAATATACAAAATTACAAATGGAATATCTTCTTTTTAGTGTCATGGATATCTTCTTTTTAGTAGGTGCTGAAGTACTGTATGACTTGGAGGTTTGCAGAAAGGGGGAGGACCCGGATGAACAGGTGGTCTATAGCACAATGGAGGTCTGATAAAATAATGAGGTGGTGGCGGTATGGAACATATAGGCAACATCCCAGGAATGCCCATGAATGGTTCGTACACTCGATCTTTACGTTCGATCGACTGGTGTCGGTTAGTCAAATCCGGCGATCTCGAGTAGTGTCTCTCGTACACGGGTGGTGAGACGGATCTTGAACGTCTGTAAGTATCGCTGATCGATGGGCGTTTACCTCGACGCAATACCCCAGAATACTCAGGACTAGCCCGTACACTCGAACGTTGCTCGATCAACTGATGTCGGATAATTGGATCCGGCGATCTGGAGAAGTGTTTGTCGTACTTTGGTGGGGAGACGGATCTTGGACGTCTGTAAGTGTCGCTGGTCGATGGGCGTTTGCACACCGTCTCGACTGGACACAGTTCGTCATAGATTTGGATACTCGGATTGGCATACTTAGCATCTCGGGCGTCCTTGTGACTACGGAAGGATACATAGACAACACGCTCATGTGCGATACGAATAGAAAACTCGCCGAAGTTTTTGTATTTCCGGTTAATGGTTTTTTTTATGCTTTCATCGCTTGCATTAGAGTGAATTCCCGAAACACGTAGCATCTTGTAACAATGCTCGGAGTCTTCTTCGTGAGCTGCTCTGGCGTATTTTTCACGATGAGATTCGGATTCGGAGTACCTGTAAGATTTGAATGTTGTATATGTTTATTGGACCTAGTACGAGTTTAGGTTTGAGTAGTTAAGTTTGATTATTTATCGAGCCCAAACGTATGTACTATAATTTATATTTTCATACATCGATTTTTTAACCATCCATATATGTAAAAGATTGCGATAATAAAAAATTTTCAAATGTTAAACACTCCCAGGTCAATAGAAATTAAATTCAATTTTTATAGAAATGAATGCGTTATAGCTTTAGTAAAAAACGGGCGCAATTTTTCTATCCAATCAAAATATCATTATAACCATTCATTATAAGAAATAAATATTATTTCTCATTACAACGACACATGCACCTGGTGATTTTTTTAACAAATCGTTTTAAGCCTTCCAAGATTTCTCTTGGATGAAAAAATCTAATTCTAAAAAATGTTTAACATTAATGGTTACTCTAGAAAATTACCCATTTCTATTAATACAGCTCTTATTATAAGGGCGTAATTCATTTTGAGAGGGTCCCTTAAAGTATAGATCTATGTTACCGATTGACCTTCAAGGGCTTATATCGCTGTAATGATAAATAATATTTGTTCTTTAACGGATAGTTATAATCTGTTGACTGGATAGAAAAATTGATTTTTACTAACGATTCAACACATTTATTTCTATAAAAATTGTATCAAAATGCTTAGCAGATTCAATTTCTTTTAATCTAGGTGTGTTCAACTTTTGGAATTGTTTTATTGACAAAAACTAAATTGCACGGAATGATTAATGAGTTTTGCTATCCTTGTCAATCACGCGCAGTTTTTGTCTAAATTTTACAGGTTGACTTTCACTGATTTCCCGGTAAGTTCCTTCACGCTTGTTTACCCACTACTGGTTGAAACTGTTCACTTGAAAACAATCCACATTCGCGCAGAGATCTAGAGATAGCCTATAGACAACCGGTTTTATAGCCTATAGCCTATAGACAAGAAAGATAGCCTATAGACAAGAAAACACTCATCAGTTCAACAAAAAAAATAATAACAAGCCAGCAACATGTATGAGCAATCTAAAAAATTCAACCTACAGCTCGTCTGTAGAAGATTTCTTGAAAAAGAATTGAATTGGGTGTCCACAGTGACATCCAGATGCACATACGTACCGTCTGGGCGATGATCTGCTCGACTTGACTTGCGGTGGTGACAAGTCCCGTCTCGACCTGCGCTTCATGTTGTTACGTGTCTTCACTGTGCTTATATTCCTTCAAAATTCTAATCGTCAACGTTGATGCTGGTAGCCACCGTCGACGTTTCCGACGGGACCGTAATTACCACGATGATGATACTGATAACCTTTTTAGATTGTACTTCTGAAGACAAGGAAAATGATGCGTGACTGGTCGAATCTTGTTATTCCTGTTCTTGAATTTTTATGGCTCTGCCTTATTACTTAATAGTAATTTTTATTTGAACCAGTTTCGATCTTTATCTTGCGTAAATCGAATGAAAATAGTAGCAGTAATGGATCTTCAGTTTAAATTTTAACTTTTTCCCATTTTCTAGTTCTTACTCCTTCAGTTTGGATGTAAAGGAAAGGAAAAGAGAAAAAAGAGAGAGAGGACGAATAGAAAGAGATAATGAATTAGGAAAATGACAAATTGGAAGGATTACATACATTCAACTGAAACAATAAATATATGATATTTGAATAATAATATTTATAAAATATTTAATAAAACGTTCTCTGAGTGACAAATTTAGGACATATCTTTAAAACGTGATCAATATTTTCAATAACATTACGAAATGCAGTATAATATTTAGTGTTAAATCAATTTTTTTTAATAAACTATTGTCTAAATCATAGTGATCAGGTCTTATCCTACTTATTATACTAAAATGAAATTTAGATAGCTTATAATTGTTGTATCAAAATCTAGGATTATATGAATAATAATTATTTAAATAAAATAAGCAAGTGTTAAGTCTGAATTTTTATAGAAACTTTTTAAATTGATTATAGCACAAATAAGAAATATCTATGTATAAATCAAAAAAAGAAATATATATTTTAGAAATTCCATTATTCTTCCTAACATTGTTAGCTAACAATAATAAACAACATACTCATACCTTCAAATTTAAAATGAGAAGGGATGGATGTAATTATAAATGGGTAAATTTGTAGATTGAGCTTCAAAAAGTAATTTTTTAATATCAAGAATTAAATAAGAAATATCTTTTGCAAAGACATTAAAATGATTAGCCATAAATACACGTTTAAAATCAAAATAAATGTTGTCTGGAGAACTGATGGCGTGTAAAATAAATTTTATTGCTTCCTTCAAAGCTATTCTTTAGATGTAAAAATGAAGTAGTGACTATTAATTTGTTCTTTACAATAAGTTTATTTTCCCAATTATCTAAAACAGTATATCTTACATAACTACCTGAATCATCTTCGGAAACATCAATACAAATTTCTTTGAAGGTTTTATTGGGATTTTTTTATTTTTGAATTGTTTGTCCTGTATCTAAATTGACAGTAGGATAAAATAAAATTTGATTTAAATTATAAGTATATGGGAAGGGCGAGACCTAATTAACGTTAACGTCTTTGACGACAACTAACGTCTGTGTCCGTGACGTTAGTGAATTTTTTAAATTTATTTAGGATTTCGAAGATAGGATGATCTGAATCAGAAAAATATTTAAAAATATATTTATTAGCTAAATTAAGAGCTTTGATGTTTGAAAGAGGAATACGAAATTCTACGCGAATCACCCTATTGAGAATAGAGATTCGATAACCTAAAGCATTTTATTTACAATTTTTTTAATGAAATAATAAAACTAACTATAATCAGTGATACCTTTCATCATATTTTTATAAACGATTTGTAAAATACTTGGGTGACCACTTTATCAAGTAGTTCTAAGATATTTAATAACGTTTACAACTTTATTACATTTAGAAATCGAATGGTCTACGTAATAATTCCAAAAAAGCTTTTCGTCAAATGCCAAGATAAATAACTTTTTCAGAAACATAAATTTCAGTATCATAAATCTTTATTTTGTAATTTTAAATATTGTCAATTTTATTTTTTGAATAAATAATAATTGAAGTTTTTTCTGGAGAAACAATTAAATGTGTAATTTTATTAAGTTTTAAGATAAACTAATAATGAATCTAGACTATTTGGATATAATTCAATGTATCATTTAATGTAAATTATCACCACAGCAAATAAATACTTTCCCGTCAGCAAATTAAAATACGAGTAGTTCACAATGAGAATCTATATATTTATGAATATCCTTAACGTAAATATTAAAGTTTAAAGAATCTATTGTACAACATTGAGGAAAACCGTGAGACATATAATAAGGATCAGATAAATAATTATTCCTACCTTTAAAAAAGAAAACCGTTGCTGACATGCATTGTTATGATTGGTTGATACGAAAAAAAAAGTGCGAAATTATGGATTTTCGTATATTTTGAAATAGATGTACTGTGAGTCTAAAAGTATATGAAATTTATATTTCATAAGTAAATTCAATTTAGAAATAATCAAAATTACACAATAATCTGCAAAAATGGAAATATATCGTTAATAAATCGTTTTAGTTTAAGAAAATAAGAGATTATGTTTTGAAATTATCAGTATAAATTTATAATTTTATAACCATCTGTGATACTAAAATTAATATTGTCTTAAAATTTGGTTGGAGGGAAGAGAAAGTAAATAGAATAACACGAAAGAAAATGCATTTTTATCTTTTATACACTGTTGATTCACGCAGGTGATAACAGAAACAAGCCTTTATAGAAGGTACAGCGTTTTATTTGCAGCCAACAAAACTAACACTGGAAGCACGTCCTGCAATGAACCGTACAGCATGGCTGTCAGTGGTGATTCTTTGACTATCTGGCATGTCATATGCCATGTATCGACGAGATATTATTCAGCGGAAAATTCAAAACTCAAAATTTTTAATTCAATTTTTTATGGAAAATTCAATATTTGAAATTAAATTAATAATTTAAATTAATTATAAGAACATAGGACTACCGTGTAAAAGGATTTAATTGTTTTTTAAAGTTGAAAAAATTTCTGATATGTGCTATAAGTAAAGAGCGTTTTTTCTATTTTTGATTAGTTGATTACAATCATCCCACCAAACCATTAAACTTCTTAAAATTTTATACTTTGATATACTTCTGTTGTTTTTATCATTTTTATTTATTTATTTATTAATTTTTTTAATAGGTTTACCTAATTCTAATTTTATTAATAAGATCAATAAAAAAATTATATTTTTGTTGAGTAGATTTATCCTTAAAACTGTTATTACTATCTATTTTCTCAATTTTAGTTTCTAAAAAGTATTTTAAATTTGGCCAATCTACACCTTTAATATTTAATAAGAATAATTAATAAATTTTAAAGAATTACAATTTGTATTAATTTCAATAATGATTGGAAAATGATCATAATCAATAGCGTCAAGATAAAATTTCCAAGATGCATTCATAATTAAACCTAATGAAGCCATTGATAAATTTACATATGAAATTCCATTTAGATTATCAGTTAATAACGTAAGAGAACCATCATTTAATAGAATTAAATCTGAATCATTGTAATTACCAATTCTTATTTTATCATTTGGATCTAAATTGTCTCAATTATAATGATAACAGTTAAAATCTCCCACAATTACAACTTTAGTTTTATAATATTTAGAACGATTCTAATTTGATTGAAGAATGATTTTCAATGATTTTCAAATTTTATCATCAAAATTATTATTAGATGGTTTATAAATAAAATTGATTCGTATCTCGAAACAAAATAATATTTAAAGATTTAAATACATTAGGTCTATCAAAAAAACTATCTATTTAAAAAAAATGTTTTTAATATATACACAAATACCACCATCTTAACAAGTTACTCTATCATAATTTTGGCAAAATTTATTCAAGAACATTTTAAATTAGGTTTTGACCATGATTCTAGAATGACAAAAATATCATAATTTTTGGCTATAAATTATGATTCATGTTCTGTTTTAATTATACTCCTAATATTTTTTTGAAATATTTTTAGGTACATGAAATTGTTCATAATTAAGCGTTTGAATTAGAGTTTTTTTAATCATCTGTATTGTTAATTGTATTACTAACATCAAAAATTGATATTTGAAACAGATTAAAACTAAAATTATTTTAAAAACTTTACTCAATTGAACAGCAAATATTATTTGAATCAGAAGAAATATTAAACCACTTAACAAAAGAATTTCAACTAACTTAGTTAAATAATTAGCTACATTAACCAAGACAGTCAGTGCATTAAAATTGTTGCTTGAAGTTGTGTGACTTAATTCAAATTGAGTGCATTCGGTGTTATCTTTTTAACAAAAAGTGCATGTTTTTACATCGTTAGAAGATACCTTTAAAACACAGAGATTATTCAACATGGTATTTGAACTTCTGCGTGATAAACTAGGAAATTCATAATTATTTACCATTGTCAACCTTCCTTATATTTACATGTTCATTTGAAGTGTAAAAATCTAAAAGCACTCAAAACATTGTTTTGACTTCACTTTGAAATTTTTGATTCTATATTTAATAAAGTATTAGCAAATTTTCTAGTAGTGCGTCTATAATTAATAGTCAATAATATAATTCTAGATTCAATATATTCTGGTTTTTAATCAATAATAATTTTTCTATTTAAACCTCAAGCTGATAATATTTTGACATTTCCCTCGATTGAGCCAAAATTAACAATTTCTTCCATTTTAATACAATTGGAATTCTTCTAACAATAATAATTTTAGAATATAAATGAAAAGGATTGTAAACTTTTTAATATTTTTTAGAAAAAAATAGATAAATTCAATAGTTTATTAGCAATTCCTTTGTTTTCTGTTACTATGGCAACCTTGAAATTATGCAGTCTAAGGTTCAGAAATTCCATTATGAAAAATTGGTGTTATTAATTTACCAATAGTATAACATAAAGTTGGATGAATTTCACCTGAAAATCCATCCTAAGAATCCAGTTTAAATCTATATAGAGCCCATACGATACGTACCAGATGGATTTCTAGGAAGATGTTTTCAACAGGAAACACTTTAACAAATTCTAGGTTATAAGTTTTCCTAAAAAATTATTAGATTTATCGAAATCAAGTCCAAGGAGTTCGTAACATTTTCAAATTGTTTTTTTAATAACACTGCAACTCCATTCCATTTTTTACTCTGAGAGACGTGACGATTAAGCACGTAATAAATTCAGAAAATTTTAGTTTTCACCATAGGTGGCCGTATTCGTGTTGTAACGTGCAGAGGACGCTCTAGACATTATATATATGTATATATTCCGGAACTCTGTATGGTCAACGAATATAGTGTGACGAACTAATACGTCATGTGTCGCGAAAAATAAAATAGACAAGGCCAGTCAAATTATACATTTTCGGTACATTATTCTTGACAGCAGATTGCATATTCATTTGACATCACACATTGACATTAGATAAAAACGTACTTGTTTCCAATTCCTATTCATTCAGGGACTGTTGAACAACAATTGAAAATTGCAAAAATGTGTTTTTCGCGTTAAAAACTGAAACTATTGAAAAAAGTCTATACTTCAGTGGAGAAAATTGTAGGAAATTCAATTACCTTCAAAATAATATTTTAGTCGTTTGAATAGGACCGTAACGAGCCCAGAAAAATGAATTGTTGAAAACTACCAGTTTTTCGCCCTCTTTTTAGTTTCTGTTGATTTTGGTGATTGAGAGCCGGCCCATGGGGGTTTTGTATTACACGATGTACATATTATATGTACATAATATGGGCTCTGTTGGATTATTATCTGAAATAGAATTACAAAAATAGCTTCTTTTTTTTTAGCTTTTTTGCATAATTCACTCTTGCTCAGCCAATGCAATTCTTTGAAATTTGAAAAGAGATTTAGAAATTACAATCCAAGAACTATAAATCTTCCATTTATACCCATGGTCTCAATTACGTTGGAATAGGTGAAAATTACGATCAAATGCTGAGCCAAATCTGTCCGCGCATGAAAAGATGCGAGTGGTAAACCAAAAGGAGAAATATATATATAGTAATAGTAAAGCGAAGCACGCTCGGTATTAATCATTTTCTTTTAATATCTCCACAACTACTACTGAATATTTCAATAACTTTTTTTAACTTGACTGTAGAACTATATTAATCCTCTTGTAAAAAAGAGATCAGCTGTTGTAGGCAATTATATATAGGGATATGTTAGGTATACGTTCATGAAAGATAATCGTCGGTTTCCGTAGATGATTAAATGTTTGAAAAGTGAATCAGTATAGTGGCCATAAATTTCATATGAATTGATCACTTTAATCATACTAACCTCAAAATAATGACTGTCTGATATCTCGTAGTTGAGAAATTAATTGAATTTTATTCCATGCGAAAGTTTAACTTTAAATAAACAAAGTTAAGCATAAAATATATAAATTGACAGATTATGACGATCAAATATTGTATAGTTTTGACTTTATTAAGTTACGTAAATTATTAGAAATTTTTTTTGAAAAGACATTATGTGAACGTTCTATACCGATGATTATAGAAAACTATAATGTTTTTAGAACTTACAGTACATTTGTTATCGTGTTTTTTAAACTTTTGATTGATTTTTTAACACAGATAACTTGAGATGAAAAACACTTAAAACTTTGTTAATAACATTTTGAAATCGTGAGTATATAATGGCATATTTATTAATCAATAAATAATATCGTCGGCTCTATCTCATATAAAATCAAAGGAATATCCAATAGAATTTTCGAATGTTCTATTTCGCTAATAAAAACGTGATCTCCATTGGTGCATTAACATGAATACACGGGATAAAAGAAATGCGTAAACACCATTAGTTTAATTAAAATAAATATTTATAATCGCAGAAAATGTTCGCAACGGGAATCGAACCCCGTGACACTTATAACTACCTATGCTATATCACGACACTTAAAATTACTGAGCAACTTTTAATATTTAAGCTCCAGTAAAAAACTTACATCTTTGAAAAATATTTATTAAATAACGTTAATTATCTTAATAACTTATTAATTAATTTTCTAGTTATTAAATAAAATTATGAATCTTTCGTTTGAAATATTAGCAGAAATATTCCAAAATATATTACAAAAATATTTTAAGAAACTTTTCTAAGATATTCAATAAAATATTTCCATTGCAAAGTTTCTGAAACCTTTCGAAATTTTTTTGGAAAATGTTATGCAAAAAATTATTGCAATTTGTCTGAAACATTGAACGGCAAAATTGCACAAATCACGTCTGCAATGTTTCATAGACATTTTATGGGATTTTGCGATAAATATTGCCTAATCATTTTCATGAAATGTGTTGAGTAATATTTCTGTAAAGTTTAATCGAAATATTTCACCGAAAATGTTATAACAAATTTCTGATATATTCACTGCGTTTTTTTCCAAAAATTATTTCAACAATATTTCAGGGAATGATTTGTGAGAATATTGCAACAATGCTTTTGGAATATTTTTATACAATATTGGAAAAAAAAACGTTTCTGATAGTTTACGCTAATGTTTCACTAAACATTTTTATCGACATTCCAAAAATCAACTTTCACGAAATAATTCTTGCCATGTATCTGAAAGGTTCATGCAAAATTTTCATGTTTCAAAACTTTACATGGAATATTTCAGTGAAAAATTTTTACATTACATTAGGTATATTACATGAAACATTTTGATGGAACCTTCATAATTTATTTCACAATCATTTCTACAATATTTTTGCAAGATTTATCTGCAAATTTTATTTATCCGTAATATTTCAGTGAATTTTGCAGTACAATATTTCATACTATCTAGGCTGCCAAACTTAGTAATTTACGAAATGTAATTAAAATATATTTGCTGTCATAATGAAGGTAATGATGACTTTAACGATAACGAGATGAAAGTTCAGATGTCATATAAATCAGACAATAGGTGGATTTACGGCATGTTATTAATACACCCCCGTAGGCCTACTTGAAAGTGAAAGTTGCTAACTGCGTTATGCGACAAATATTACAGTACTGAACTAATAAAGGGAAGTCAAGAAATTCTTATGTCGCGTCATCAAAACAAAAAGGGACTGGTCCGACAAGCATCATTAAGCTAATGCTTCGTACCTGCCTAATTGCTTTTTCCGGACGTTTAAAATACATAGTGTTAATGAGTTTTCAGGTACCAGGCATTGAGGAAAACCAAAATAAAATGATTACAGTGTCTAATAGCCTTTTTCAGATAACGTACCACTTTCTGTTGATCGGACGCCGGACCCAAGCGATCATCCCCTCTCTTACCCTCTCTAAATGGGGCGGGCCAGAATGCACCCGAAGGGTAGCGGGGGAAAATGGGCGTGCAGGACGCAGCAGAGGGAAAAAACGCAGCAGCCGATGATAGAGGAAAATCTCCGACAGTCGTAGACGAGCGCTCTTGAGAACAAGTCACATCGTCTTGATACTTGTTACCTTGATTTTCGTCTGTTACATTTATCCACTTACCATTGTGACGTTGACGCTTGCATCTATAATCGTCGGTATAGTTAATGGTAGCAATTGACAGCTCCCTCTATATCGTGCTACTACATAACTACAGTACGACGTACAGCGTACCTAACAAACATCGCGTGAACATAACCTACGTATAGTGAAACGCTGCGGACGGTGGATCATCTCATCACGCGCGAGGATAAAAAACTTTCAACGTTATTCATTTGGATTTGTGCGCCGTGACGGTTTCCGCTACACTATCCATAAATTCATCTCATCTTCGTTATCCTCTTCAACAGTGGAAAAAATTGTTTATAAAAGCCGACAATGCCGCGAGGTAAGTTTTCAATTTTTTTGCCTGACAAACTTTTGTGCGCCATAGAAATTGTACGCAATTAAAAAAGGTTTTCCGTCGAATTAATTGGTCGCAAATATTTTGTTCAAAGATTGTTAAATGATTTCGTTGAGATATTCTTTCGATACCTTTTGACGCGAATTATAACTTTAGATGTTGGAACTGGTGAGATTTAATTTATTTGTCATCACGTAATATTTTCAAACCCCAGCTGTTAGTTTAAACACATGACTTCTCTATTACAATATTATTCTTTTCTCCGGTGCTTGACCCTCGTACAACACGTCAATGTCACCTGTTAACCTCTATAAACTGTTTTCGCATTTTTGTCATTAAAAAAAAAACAATCAAACGTATGTACATGCTTATTTCATCCGCTTAGATTAATATCTTACATTTATGTATTCCTTTTGGTGTACAATTTAAAATTGATCGGTACTATTCCTCTTGAGGTAACTTGATATTTGTTTATCTCAATTAATAAATCGCTATTAATTTTCATTGAGTGTACTAAATTTTATTATTTTTTCAATTTTAACAATATATCTAATGTTTATGAAAAGCCAATTTCTAGAAAAATTATACACGTTGGTTTTTTTATTTGTTAAGATCTCATTCTCATTATTGGTCTTTACAGGAAAATTTGTAAATCACAAAGGTCGCAACCGACATTTCACTAATCCAGAGGAATTAGAAGAACAACGCCGTCAGGAAGAAGAGAAGAGAAAATGGAGGGTAATTAATGTTTTAACATTTAAAATATTATAAAATAGGTGATTGTGATTTTAATTAATTGTGATTTTTTTAGAAAAACAAAGATGAAGATTCATCAACCGAGGAGGAAGAAGAAGTTGCAAAGCCTTCTGGAAGCAAGAAAGATAATTCTGAATCAGGCAGTGACGACAGTGAGTCTGAATCGGAGTCTGAAGATGAAGTAAATATAAACTTACACTATAAGTTTTCTTTTAAGAATACTTGAACAATGAACTTATGTTGACCTTTTTTACTTTTCCAGGGAAGGTCTAAGAACAAAGGTGTAGAAAGTTTAATTGAAATAGAGAATCCCAACAGAGTACAAAGGAAAGCAAAAAAGTTGTCTCAGCTTAATGAAGTACTTGCCAATGCTAAGCCAGAATTGTCTCGAAGAGAAAGGTTTGTAATTTTACAAGACATTACAATTTTTGAAAACACAGCATTATTTATAATATACTTTTCTAATTTCTTTTTATAGAGAACAACTAGAAAAACAAAAGGCAGCTGCAAATTATCAAAAGTTGCATGCAGCTGGTAAGACGGACGAGGCACGAGCGGACCTAGCTAGGCTAGCCATAATAAAGCAGCAACGTGAAGAGGCGGCTAAGAAGCGAGAACAAGAAAGGAAGGCGAAGGAACTGGCGACGCAGAAACAGAAGGAGATGAGGCTGAAGGCGCTACACGCTAGACGAGCTTAAAATTGCGCATCAATTCTACACTTTTACGCTTTACCACCTTTGAAGATGATGATTTTTAAACTGTGAACGGATAATTTTCATTGAAAAATACATCGTTTTTTCCATTACACACTGAGAAGAAAAAAGGTAAATACGCGAATATGCATGCGAAGTATTATTTTCAATGAAAATTTCTGTCATCCTTAAAACTATATGTAGCTGAAACTTTATACCGAACTTTTTGAAAGAAAAATGTATTGAGATACATAAAAACATGGGTTATATGTATATTTTACTTATTCTGATTATAACAGAAAGCGTGTTAACTAAACCGCACGCTAGACACTTTTATTGTTGCTTCTATCTGCAGTTGTGAATAACAAAATTTTTCTTCAGAAATATATAAGAATAACAATTATTGATAAACTTGAAAGTAAATACATGGCTAGTGATTTCTGACAAGACAATGTACATCAATTACGCTTTATAATTTCGCGTTTGAATTTGAAAAAATCATATTTTGAGGTCTTTCTTTTTTATTACGTAATATATAATTAATGTGATAATTCTATTAGAAACAAATAAAGAGTTCACCTTTGAAAAATGATACAGTGTAAAAAATTATATTATAGCATAAATACAGCAAAAATAGCATCTTGAAAAACTGTTGAAAATTGATAAATAATTCGTTCGTATAATCAAAAGAATTCTGTGTATTGACAATAATCGCGTGTGCGCTGAGTAATACTATAATTGGGTCGGATAGTCGGTTGCTGGACACTTGAGTGAGACGAAGTAGAATACAGAAAACGGCTTATACTTATAGTCGCAATGTATGTATATATATAATCGTCGTAGTATCCCTTTTTATATATATATATATGTATATATAAAGAAATGCTACGGCGCCACCTACAAATGCGCAACGGATCAGCAGCAAAGAGCAAAAGCGAAAGCAGAGCCGCAGTGACCCAGTACTCTCAGTAGCATTCGCACTGCGAAATCGTGCGGGTATATTCGCGTCATCACGATCGACGAATTTTTTCGTCTTCGATGAGTGAACTGCAATTGCATCTTTATTCTCGGCTGTGATCCATCGCGAAGGTACGTTTGTATGTATATGTATATATATATGTATGTCATACGTGGCTAATGTTTTGATTCATCAGCTACGTTTTCTTGAAAAGGGTGGGGGAGAGAGTTTTTTCAGAACAGATGTACGGTATATCCATGTTTGTGCTACCGTGCAAGTTTATGTTTTCCCTTTTTTCTCATTGTTGCAGTAGCTACCTATATATGTACTTCTAACTTTATTGGCTATCATGCAGTTTTGAGAAACTTGCAGGAAAATCAAACGGTTGAATGTACAAGCAATGTTTTTTCATATTCGATTACAGTCGTAGGGTAGACATTAGTTGATTTTTCTTGGGCCATGTAGCGAGGTTATTGCTGACTATAGTTGTGTAATCTGTGTGATGCACTATCGTGCTGCGAATGATTATTGTTATTGAAGACGGTACATTTACTCCACGTTAGATTACAGTATTGATTGAAAACTTATTTAATTATATTATATTCAGAGTTAAGTCAACGGCAAATTATCAATTTATAAAACAAACTGGCATATATGCAATTTGACGCGTGCATTAAAAAGTGATTTGAAAGTTAAGTAACCATTAAATTTGTCCTGGTAATTCAGCTTACTCGTGAAATTTCTGACCTTATCTTAATTATACAATGCCGTTTTTACTTTTATTTAGCTTTATTCATCGAAAATTCAATGAATAGAATTTTTGTAATTTTATTTCATAGTGATTTATTGATATTCATGATACATGTTGTTCAAAAATAAAGATTATGCTTAATAACATGAACATAACTATTATTTAAAAAAATGTTTGTCACAATCAGAGTATGGCACTATAATTTGTACATGTTCATTTATTTCAAACCGCAATGGCTATCTTTAAATTAAAGATTTAGATTAGATTAAATATTTATGATAATGTTGATATTAATACCTGATAATACGTTAAATTATATTGGATACTTATATGCTAGCATGAAATTTTGTTTTGAAAGAAAATTTATTTACTCCAGCTATCCTTAATATTTTTAGCTACATTTGTTAGAATATTTATTCATGGCCTAGAAAAAACTAACAAAAAAATGAAAAAATATTATTTTTTTAAGATTTTCATTCAATGTTGATACATACTAAATAAACAAGAGATATGAATTGAAAAAGATGTGTTTAGGAAAAAGTAAAATGCAATCGGTGAAAACACCCATTGTTCAACTGCAACTTGTTACATAATTGGCAGGAATTATGCTGGTCGACGACGTAATCTACATAGGACTGCTGCTTAGCTGCATTGGTTTTGGTAAGATTTATCGTGGTATAGAGTCGCCTCAGACGCGTCAATGGATTGGCACCGGCTTTGGTTTCATCCTCACGGCCGTTGTTAGTGGATACCATGTTACCCATTACCTATTGTGCACCGTCGTCGTTGCACTGGCTGTTACCAGATTGACGCCAAAGTAAGCCTTTTTCGCGTGTTCTATTCTCACCTTTTATCAAATCACAGGTACACTCAGAAAACAAGAAATGTAAACTTTTGACAATAAGTTACCGTTACAAGTAGTTTATATTGGAAAATTTTTCTCGATTCAAGAAAGCTTATTATTAAAAAATGCACAGCATCATTTAAAACATATTTTTCATGGTATACAATATACGCACAGTATTATTATAAGTCAAAGAAAAGTCATATAAATGCAAATGTTGCCTCTGTTACTATATGATGTAATGTTTTAATTTTACGCATAACTAATATGTAGACTGAAAAATGAAAGCTAACGTTACGCGTTGCAGGATCTGCCATCTAGTGTCCTTTTTCTTCTCGTTTTTCTACCTGCTGTTTATCTTCCGTCTGTCACCGTGGTTCGGCCTATCAACACCGCCTGGCCATGCGAATCTCATTCAGATGATGCTCACGCTAAAACTCGCGGGTCTCGCGTTCGAAGTGAATTCTGCTGCCACAGCCGTTGGCCAGGATGATCCTGAAGGACTCAACTCTGCTGCTTTGGCCAGAGTGGGCTTTATGGACGTCTTTCATTATGCTTTCAGCTATATTGGGGTATTGACCGGTGAGTGAATTACTTTTCTGAGTTTTATATATTTTTGTTATTATCCAGCCGTCGTGTTTACGCGATGCTACATTGAAAAAGTATTAATTTGGAATAAGTGGTGATCTTGCAACTTTCCTATGGAATCAGTATTATGAACTTCTTTTGAAACGGTAGTTTGGTAATTGGAATTTTATAGTGATCTTTTGTTGACGTGACTTCTATCCCATCCGTTCGAATGTTCTTTTAATCTAATAAGCTTTTGTACAATGATTCAATCAAATCAATATTTTAGTTGTGATAGGCGAGGACGATCTTGAAATTGCAGTATTGTTATAATGTGGTATAAAGCTCCGGAAATTGAATGAGCACATCAGAGCTTATACGCTCATGCTTGGCAATGCCATGCATATGGCTCGCTTGATTATTATTAAAAGCGTCTTTCACTAAATAAATTATTGCATCATAATTTTTTAAGAATTTTTGTTTGCCCGTTGTAGGTCCCTACTACCGTTATAGAACATATTGGGACTCGTTGCATCGGCCATTCGCGTTGAAAGCTGACCACTGGGCCCACACGTGTAATAAACTCATCCAGTCTGCCTGCTTTAGCGTCATATTCCTATTATCCAATTACTACTTCCCCGCTAAGGTATAACATCTCTTGTAATGTGTCTTTTGCTTATTGAGTTATTTATTTTTTCGTGCAAGCTCAGTTAATTCAACTGACAAGGTACACCCCAGGTGTACCTCACCGATTTTCTTAATGTTTTTATATGTTGTAGTACATCGAAAAATATTTGACTCGTGTCTTTTCGTGCTAATTCGACGAGTCAAGGGGTGAAAACTACCTCTAAAGTCCACCCCAGAATTTATAAAAACAAAGGAATGCAACCCGTATTGGTGAAAATAATACACAAATACTTGTTTTTGAATAACAAATAAAAAATGTAAAAAAAACCATTTTTAGGGGTGAACTTTAGAGGTGGTTTTCACTCCATATATCGCCGAATTAGCACGAACGAAAAGACCATGTACTACAACATATCAAATAATGAAGAAAATTGGTGAGGTCCACCTGGGGTAATTTCCTCGTGAGTAAAGCAATCTTTATACTAAAATCTTTATACTAAAATCTTTATACTAAAATTTTGAAGTACGCGCTCACTGACGAATTCTCCGAGAGATCGTGGTTGTATAAGTTCGGATATATCTATCCGACTTTTGTCACCTTTCGCATGAGGATGTACATCGGTATGGTGCTGTCCGAGTGCGTTTGTCAAATGGCCGGCTTAGGAGCTTACCCAACCAGCTGCGAGACTATATCTGGATTGGGACCCAAAGACTATAAATCTGCCATTGCACTGTTAGTATTTTTATGATGTTTATAGATTTGCTAGTGGAGATAGAAAATTAATAATTTTATAAACAAAGATTCTCTAGACAGATTTATGCTAAATATTTGCTCAATAAAACTTAAAACTAATAGTAATCGAAATAATTTGCAATGAAATGTTGAAATAGTACATTACATTACTAGGGAGTACAGTAAACAAAGTACGCGACGTGTGATGTTTTCATACAGTTGGTATTTGCCTACTTGTACTCCCGTGTCGTGTATCATTTTCCGTACACCCTCGGAGGGCGCAGTCAATACTTTACGCGTAATATGGAAAATAATTTTAATTCTTGCGAACCATTTAGTAAAAGGGAGTAATTTGATTGCCAACAAATTATTCATAATAAATCAAAAATGATTCCTTTACTGTTTTGTTCGCAGCTCGAACGATCCGTGCTCGATGAAGCCGGAGGATCTCGACTTTGAGACGGTGCACAACATGAACGTGTGGGAAGTGGAAAAGTGTATTCTGGTGCGTGAAGCAATGAAAAAATGGAATACCTGCGTGCAGTACTGGATGGCGGTGTGCGTGTACAAGAGATTCCCTCATAAAGGACTGAGAACTGCGGCGACTCTCACGCTCTCGGCTCTATGGCATGGATATGCACCTGGTTATTATATTTGTATCTGCCAGATCACTTTCTTCCTGCCCATGGAAGACATTTACGTCAAATTTTACAAGAACAGCAGCGACGGAAGCTTGGTGAGTGCTGCGATATTATTCATGTTTCCTCAACAATTCGTGATCGTGATCATGAATCCATTGATATTCGCGAGAATCAAACGAATCAATAATTAATGGAGTTACTATTCTGAGCGTCTTGGAACGATTCTAGCGTTATGTCTCAAATATCCTCGAATTAATGTATCTATAAATATAAATTGCGCGCGCTTTCCGTAGAAATAGAGTATCTAGATCAGGCAATCACGAGTTTCGCGGTTGGAACTAAAACTAAAACAGGACATTTCGTATGAAACGTGGAAAGGTCAATCGTCGCGTACTGCCTTTCCTGTGAACGAATAGCACGAACATCTAGGATTATCGATTAAGCCTGTGAAAGAAACATGAGTCTAAATTTGGGTAGCACTACAGAGGCGTGGAGCTAGCAATTATCCGTCAAAAAAAGCGAAATAATTTTTTTTCTCGTTTATTTGTTACGCTTGAAAACATTTATATATATATATATGTATATAGTTTATTGATTGGTTTGCTTTGTGGTTGCAGATGAAAACAGGGCTGCACTGCTTGCTATGGTTTACTCGCATATCGTGCATGTCCTACCTGGGCCTGTCATTTCAGCTACTGGAGTTCCACGAGAGTTGGACATTTTACAAGCGTTGCTATTTTGCTGGTCATCTCATTGTACTCGTCCTCTATGTGATCGGCAGACTTGCCAAACCGTACGTCCTTCAAGCACAAAAGAAGGACAGCTAGAACGGCCAAAGATTCATTGTCGTGGGACTTTCTTTCTTCAAACGTCTTCTGGCGTCCAGCGTTGGTTCGACTTGAATTCCACACCCACGCAGCTCTATCCGCGAAATATTTTGCATTTGCTCTTGGGGACAGGTAATAAGTGAAATCTCCGAATGCATTTACCGAAAGGGCTTGAGAGCTTTCGATATCAATTTAGTTGACAGACCTTTAGCGTCGAATTAAAATTTATTTCTTCAACTAAAAACTCCGCGATCTTAATGCTCAAATTATTTTACTCAACTCTATAGTCAATATCGAACAAAAATATCTTGCGACTTGTTCAATTCCAAAGACAAAACATTACGTCCGTGAGCGTGCCGTATGTAAATAAGCAATACGACGGAAAAAAGTTTCTTTTATGTTGAGTGAGAAACAAAGGAAATAAAAGGATTGATGTACATAGATACAAGGTATAGATTTGGTAATGTCCGTAAGAAAAAACGAGTACTTATATATTTTGATATTTGCTCAAGTTGTGAATTTTAAATGAACACCATTGCCTTCTTGCAGATTCGGGTGCACAAATGATTATACAAAGAAACCCTAAAACTACGTTCCTGTTGATTTCATCGCGATTTTCATTTTAGTATTTGTTATCGAGTTTATTTGAAATTTGTATGACGAATCGTTTTAGTAATTTCTTTGTGTAAACAATCGCTTGGATGATAAAATAATCACGTAGACTAATAAATGGAGGGATCTTCCAAAAAAAAAAACAAAAAAATCATTGTACATTTAATTATATATATATTCTTGTTATACTTCTTTTATATCAGATTTCCTAATGTTTTGAAAAGTTTTTCATTCTACACTGCCGCTCATGTATTTTTACCCCCCTCCGAGCAAAATTGTTCAAACTTTGAAGTTTCATATGTTTCTTCAAAACTAACGTACAGAGACGAGTGGCAGTGCATCTTTCCAAGAGATTTTAAATGGTATATATTATAAGTACAATCAAATGGTTTTTCTAATTTTTTTAAACGATTATTCATCGATGAAAATTCCGAAATTTTAAATACATTTTTAAACTCTTGCCAATTCTAAGGAAAAAATCGCAGGAAAATTTTAAGCACGGGATTTTCTTCCTCTTTCCAAATCCTATATAATTGATGCAAAAAAAATTAAAAAATTGTCTGAAACATGAGGTGTTTTTTACTTAAAAAAGAATTACATATAGATAAAATTGAGCTAGCACTCTTCAGATAAACAAAATCAATGAAACATCGTATTGAATTATTCAACATAAAAAAAACTGAAAATTTTTTTCCCTGCGATTTTTTCCCTAGAATTGGCAAGAGAGCAAAAGATCTATCTTGGAAAGAGCTTTCAAATGCGCTACCGATCGTCTATGTACGTTAGTTTTGAAGAAACATATGAAACTTCAAAGTTTGATTAATTTTGTTTAGAGGGGGGTAAAAGTTCGTGAGCGGCAGTGTACGTAAAAAAATCATTCTTTCGATTTCAATTATGTAATCACGAAAACGTCAATAACCATGAGGAGTATACAACAAAGAAATTAGACATTTTAATGAATTATAAACAAAAGTAGAGGATAATAATGTAGCAGCTGTATAAGATATATAAAGACGATATTATAGAATACTTAGCTTTCGACAATGAAAATGTTAGCCGCCCAACGATACGCATTGTATATGACATTAAAAAAAAAGAAATTACTTCCAGTCGGTTCTTCGCATCGAAGAAAGGGATAGATTAATACAAAACTATAACACGTACCAAAAGATTTCGCGATCTGAATTGCTATTAGCAAATAAATTAGCGTTCTCACGACTACAAAGGTATAATATCACATTAATTGCCATATGTCAACAATATTATATCAGCGCGAAGAACCACCTCTTAAAGCGCTAGTTTTTAGTGCCATTTGCTTGTAATTTCCGAGCGTGATTCAACGTGATTCAATAAAAATCTATTTCGTTTTCACTGAACTCAAAAAGTTTAATTTTTTTATCTCCCGTTCTATACTTTTCTGTTTTTTCCAGTAGTACATACGCGATATGCTAACGTGTTGAGTGATCTGCAAGTTGAAAATGCATTATGGACGAAACAATGGCCTTTTTGATAAATGGCTCGAGGTGATCATTTTGCGTATGAAAAATGAGAATTAAATTTGTAAGCGTCGGTAATTATATTAAAAGCTGTACTTTGTTGGAAGGGAAGTCAATTGTAATTGCGTAATGAAATCATAAAAAAAAGGGCGTATACTTCGTTAAGAGAAGAGCTCTTCTATTGATTCTTCTTGAGAGATTAATCAAGATTCCCATTGAGTTAAAATGCATTATACATCAATTCCAAATTATTCATAAAATGTTAGTGTTTGAATGTAATAAAGTCACTACAGTAAAAAAAGTAAAAATAAAATGGACTTTAAGTGTGTAAAGATTTGTCATAAAGTGAAGTGAATATCTGTAAAACCTTGATACATACCAAAGACATTGTGAAGATATACTGCAAAAAAAGCATTAGATAAACAAATATATTCAGATATACCAATAAATGGCTAAACAATCGACAAATGTATCGATAGCAGAATGTTAAAAGAGCAGTGTTTATTCATTTATTGGTATCGATGTATTTTTTGATCTCTCTCACAGAAGCTTAAATTTGCATCAGCCACTCGAGCTCTTTGGCAAAAGCTCGAAAAGAACCTCAGTGAAAATTTAAATACCTCTGTAGGCGTCTCGGTCAGTGTGCACACGTAAACTGCTCTCCTGCGCCAATCACATAAGAGCTGCTGCTCTTTGTCACGGCATTGTTATTGAGTTGCAGAGCCACACAGCAAGGCGTGGACGAATTCAATGAAAAGCCGATCATTCAAAGGACAGTGCTCGTGTTTTTGCCCCTCTCTCCCTCTCTCTCGCTCGCTCTTTCTCTCGGTCCGCGCCAAGAACACAGCTTCTTGGCTGCATTGCTGCCTTGTCGACAGTGTGTGTTTGTGTGTGTGTGCGAGAGAGAGCCCTATCCGAGCTGCTGCAGGCGCTGTCCAACGGCAGCAACACACCAGCAGCAGCAACCACCGCCCACCGCAACTCGTCATCGCCATCCCCGAATCACATCAGCTTTATATCTACATCACCCTCGTTTTCTCGCTTCTCTCTCGCGTGCTCGCTCGAACTCGCTCCCTCTCTTTTTCGGCATTTTTCTCTTTTTCCCTCTTTTCTCTCGCCTACAACTCTGCACGAACAGCTAACTCGCTCTCGATCTCGCTCGCTCTCTTTCTGCTTATCACGAACGTCAGCCTATCTGCTTACTCTCTTACTCGCCGCCTGTGGCACCACAGAAACACAGAACACTTTGTTATGATGGCCAATAAGATTTTTCGGATTTTTATATATTATATAAATGTATATTGCACGTTCTTGCAGTGCTTTTGCATTATAATATGACTGTTGGGTAGATAGCAGATGAGGATCTACGGGAAAGGAGAGAGGTGTGCGGCTGCGTGTTCTCCGATCCTTCGCTCAAAGTCATTTGTCAAAATAGTTGCAATGTTCAAATAACTTTGCGCGTGGAGCTGCTATTGTTACGTTTATAGTGTGTTGCGCATTTTTTTTTGTTAACACTAATGCTCGACTTGTGTCTTTCTGTATTCTAAGAGACTGAGTTAATAAATTTTGCCAATCCATTTGTCATATCCTCATTTGGATGTCTTTTTTGTCGATAGTGATGCACATTTCGTACAATCTTCAGCGACGATACTCTGTCTCTGTTGAATACTTTAATCTACAATACTAACTACCATCTCTAAATCAGTATATGACCCTGCATTGCAAAGTATTAAAAAAATCGTTTAAAATATAACTATGCTTTCATTATACGTTTCTTTTTAACGAGAAGTCAAAAAACAAAGTTATGTCTGCACATTATGTAGTTCATCATACTTTATTACAAATGAATGACACACTTACATAAATAAATCTGTTTATGTATGTGTAATTGTTGAATGTTTTTCTTTAAGTTACAAAAGAACGCTGAACTTATATCTAAGAACGCTAAGCATGAGAATAGTTTTGTTGATTGTACTCAAATTATATGAAACAAAGCTTGTTTGTTCAAAGGAAAGGAGTGTCACTGATATACTATTTATAGAAAATTGCATTTGACAAAATCGAGGCAATCATTAAGGCTATTTAAAAATGTGTCAACATTCAAGTGTACTTTAAAATTCATAGTGTACGGCTTTTATATATTTTTAGGTAATGAGTACCATGTCCGCGTGATTTTAGTTGAAAGCGTTGACTATTTAAAGCTTTTGAGAAAATCATTGATAGTTAAACTAATTAGTCCCGTTTAACAATCTTTAATATTGAATGGATAAATTAATTATTTTGACATATAAATTGATATCCATTGATTTGTAAGTAAAAAATAAGCATGTACGAATGCATAACTGCATTGTTATTTTTTTCCAAGGATCACTAACATAATTTACGCGTTCACATCTACTTGTGCTCCAAAGTTGGGCATTACAAGAAAGTAAATGAATTTACATCTAATACACAATTGATATTCAAGTTTTCTTTTTCATTTTTCAAAAATTGTTAAAGTATGAAGCGGCTATGATAACGACTTGAAAACTAAAACGGAACTAAAGTAAGTTGGATAAGACATTTAGTGACAGGATAGAAATAGAATACCTTTTTTTAAATTCAAGTCGGTATACGGTTGGTGGAGCAAGCGACTGTCGAGTGTCGGTAAATTTTGGTTCCAGGATTAATCTCTGCACAAAAAAAGAAATAGGCACAATTAGTTTATTTTCTTCTAATGATAATTACATTAGCATCGCAAACATAAAAATTCAAGCACAACTTAATGGAGTTAATCTAAACATAGAAGAAATATTAAGATCATTAACTGAAAGACAAAAATTTATTATAAAAAATATAGAAATGGGAAACTCACCTCGACTTTGAACGCTGATCTCTCTGACGATCAGCAGACTTGCTACGAGTACGTGACCTTCCACGCGAACTCTTGCTGTCAGAGCGTGATCTTGAGCGACTGTAGCTGCGTTTACGGTCCCGGTCGCGGCTACGACTACGACTGCGTGAACGTGAGCGTGACCTCGACCGTGAGCGCCTGCGGTCGCGGCTACGACTACGACTACGGGAATAAGAACGAGATCTTTTGTGTTTTTCAACGATACAAAAACAGATCATTAGTTGATTTGTCATTTGTACATTACAAATTTGATAATATGAGAAAATGGTGTGAACAAACATATCAAATTGCATAGAGCTCATGCTTACCTTCTGTAACGTCTGCTGCCACGGCTACGGTGCGGTGAAGTTGGCCTTCCATAACGGGCCATCTGCACACGGAGCTCCCTGCCATCCAGCAGACGACCATCCATAGCATCTAGTGCATCCTCTGCATCACGTTTATCATAAAATCTGCAAATTATTCAGTCAATTTTACTCAATGTTATCAATATCATACATATGATAGATTTCTGATTATATTCAAAATGCTAAAGAATGAATAAAGAAATAATTTATTCGACTAAAAAATATTGCTATCATTGTCAGAATAATCCTGTACACATTCTTACTGTAAGATTAATGAATATAGCAATAAGAACATATAAACAAAAGTTTAATAGCTCTAATTTATGCTATCTTTGCTTACAATTCAGAGTAGGTCAATATAAATTTTTGATAAGAATTTTAATCAGATAAGTGTGATTACCTGACAAATGCAAAACCACGGCTCTCTCTGGTAAACCTATCACGAGGGATGTAGATATCACCTACTTCACCACAGCGCTCGAAAACTCTTCTGAGATCCTCTGGTGTGGTACGATAGGTCAAATTGTCCACTTTCAGGGAAACCATCCCATCAATGCGAGGTGGTGGCCTACCATAGCTCATTTTGATAGCTTGTTGAGTCCTTTAATGAACTGAAAAAACAATCTTGATCAGCCTTTACATGTATACCAGCAGTTTGGTTGGCTAGTGTATGTTAAGCGCGTTACGTGCCATCACCAAATTATTCAACGGAAATCCCTAAATCGTCAATCATTGAAATTAATATAAAATATTATTAGAAACGTATAAAAAAATATGAATTTCTACATGCCAGAATATGTTTGAACCACAAGGATTAAAAGAACTTCATTATACAGTTCCAAAATAACTTAGCACACAAGCCGTTTAACCGCAGGCAAAGTAGAACTACGCAGACTAATGTGCGCAAATAAAATGATAACACACACAAATAGACAAACTCACCACTGTAAATATCAGTCGAGTATGGAGACGTCGACTTCCACGAGGCGTAAGTGTCCTCCGGATTTTTTAAGAGCGTTCACGAATTCCAAGCCAATGAAAAATCTGCGAGAAGCAAGCCTCGCCGTCGCTGAGTAAGAGAGAGAGACAAAATGGCGTATGCGAGCTGGACGCGTTTGTGGAGTGCCAGCACAACCGCCGAGAAATTTGACGCGCCGGATGTGGCGCATGGAGGAGAGAAATCACTACGCAAGTCATTTACGAACCGTTCTGGCGCTACATTTTAATTCTTGTTTTGTTGAACATATAATGCGGAACCTTTAAATTTTTAATTACGCTTAGTTTATGAGATAGAAAAAAGCTGCAGCGACAAACATAAAATCTGGAAAATTATAATGTTAATTCACAAAGCCGAAGGTTCATAATACTTATAAATGTGAAATGGAATCTTATTGTAGAAGTAATTAACAATTAAAAAAAATTATTTAGAAGTTTGTAGAAGACAGCTTGACCAAAACTGAACTCAAAGCCGTTTTTAAATATTTCTCTTTTTATAATTTACATTGCAAGCAAATTTTTATTGCAGACAATTAATTGTACAAACAAAGCGTGTGCGTTATGCCTTATTGCGTATGAAATGTCTACATTTCATTTATAATGAAAGAGACAGTATCGTCAAATGTGTTATTTTAACCGTTTTTTGTTTTTTCAACTGTTCATCCGCGACGATTTAAAGAGTTCATTTACATTTTTTATTTTTTAAAAAAATTACGAAACCAATGCCCCGAAATCAATTTACAGTATTTCATATGAATAACTGTCCAATCATAATTCTTTTCATTATTGATAATGTTTATTCAAAGCTAAACTTTATACATTAAAAATATTTTATAAATTTGTACGTCCTACAAATAAATCTAACTAAAGTGCATAAAGATAACTTCATCGTATTATTTTAAGATTAGCTCGTTGAGAGAATGCGGGTGTTTTGTATTTTCAATGCCTACAAATTGACTTACTTATTCATGTGAACGAGCATAAATCGATGTAAAACGCCTCGGTCTATTTTTTAGCACCGATTCTCATCATACAGTAACCTTGACCATTATTCAGCAAATCAGATCACGAATAAACTTCCTCCATACTCTCAGATTGATTTCTCTTTTATAAGAGAATATATGTAAGATCACTTTTTATACAGAACTTTTATATATAGGATCATACGCACTTCGTATACTTTTATTTTCTATTTCATTTCTTATATTGATTATCATATATTTAACGTAAATTACTTTTTTCAAATGTGAATTTTGTAATGTTTTTACAAAACAATATTATAACGGGAAAATACGTTAATAAAATAGTTCCACGTTTCCAAATTCAAGACTTATCATTGTACCGAAAACTGCAACAAATAATTTTTTAATTCTTTTTAACTTTTCAGATTAAATTATTATAAAACGTTTATCCTATGTTTAAAATACCCTACTAAAAATAACACAGATTTTGTACAGAATATGTACGAAATTTGTATACAAGAATATATTCAAAATAATTTGTTCAAACCTTGTACAACACTCGTACCAATTCGTATAAATCTTGTACATATTTTTTCCGAAAAATTTTTTTCGAAAAAAATGTGTGCTAATTTTACACGAGATTGTACAGGATTTGTACAATAAATTTGGTATAGGGTGAGTGTCTCTATTACCCCCCTTCCCACTCCCGGCACCATTAATTTAATTTAATAAGTTTGGGCAATGTATAAGCAAAATAATTAATTTGATATTAATCTGTGCAACCTATTTAATGGATTGAAACTTGTTTCGTCATATAAAAATATCAAATATATTTATTTGACAAGATTATAAAAATAGTTAAACAGTGTTTCTTTTTTTCCATTCCTTTCAGTTGTGTAATCATTTTTAATTGTGCTGTAGTGCATATTATTTGATATTATATTTATATCCTTATTATAACTTTACAAATTGAATACATCAGCTTAAAATACCGGTAATTAAGACACTCATAAAATTTTTTTCTACATATTCTTATATTTTTCAATAAATTTCACAGATATTTTGTACAAAATTGTATATATATTTCCAATGGAGTAAAGATTGCGATGATACATTGTATTTTTATTATTAAACTCATAAATTGAAACTATTGTACACGCTTATTTGCCGCGACATAACAGTATGCATCACGTGACCATATCTCAGCCAATCAAATATCAGATAAAATGCTTCAACGTGATGTCTATTGCGGTGTCGGTCATGCGCACTTGGACGCTACGCAACATATTGTGTGCAGATCTGTCCGTCACAAGGAATAGTTTTGTGACGGACTCGATCGACGCACAATGCGCAACATTCAAGTACGCATGATCATACTTTTGATAAGAAAGAGATGAGAAGAGAAAGAGAATGAAAGATTACAAATGAAATAAAAGATCTTTATAAAAAGAAAGAGGAGAAAGACGATAGAATCCAAAATGGAAGAATGTAAGGTTACGATCAGCTAAACAGACAATGCATTTTTTAATGTTAATAAAATATTAAAAATATTAATAAAAAATGAAAAAATAAATTAGTTTTATAAATAACAGGATTGAAAATGTCTCAGACATATTCTCAAACTAAAATCGATCAGTTCTACAATGTTGTTTATAATAAAAATAACAGATATGGATTACAGAAATCAATAAAGAGTTCACAAAACCAGCCTTGCAACAACAATATTCGTCGCAAGGTGAGTTATTATGGTAAAATTATGTTTTTTCAAAACCACATTAAATATTTCAATCAAACTACCATATTTTCCAGAAGCTAAATCTTTTAGAAAACTGCTCAAAAAAGTGTAACTTTGTTGAAAGTGAAGTGCAAATAATTGCCATGAAAACTCCAACAAAAAGTAGTAATTTAAAGAGAACATCTTCGTTACACCCAGACAGCTCTCCAAAAAAATTTAAGCTTGATAATCAGGTTGAAAATGGAATAATACCTTTAAATAAATGTCAATTAGCATCATTTAAAAAGTCTAGTATGTCTCCAGAATCACCAAAAAAACATAATAGCTTCACTCCTAAAAAAAGTCCAGAAAAAAAAAGCATGTTGAACGATAATAAACCATTATCTCCACGAAAGTTATTTTTTGCCGATAGAATTGATATTCAAATTTTAACACAGGCTATAGAAAGTTTGAATCTGTATAGACAAAATAGCATTAGTTTAAATGAATTTGATCTTGAAAGCATTTATAGAAGTAAAGAATTTAGTTTTATATACAGTGATAATATTACCCAGAATACAGAAAAATTTTTGATCGAAGATATTATTTTTGCTAAAGAGAAATATGCAGATCATTTTCTAATGGTTGTTATGGATGTGTTTGCAAATCCTGTAAATTGTGGTTATTTTTTAAGAAAAGAACTTGACTTGATTTTTTCCATGTTTACATTGTCTCCTGAAGCCCAAATGTTATTTGTGAGGCTCTTAAAAAGAAAATTATCATGGCACAGGTCCCGTCATTTGAAGTATCCTGAAATTGCAGATAATTTAGATCCTTTTTGCCAAGAACTGGCCAAAAATGGATTCTGTAACACTGGTATTTATAATCAATAGAATTTCCAATATTTTAATTAAAGTTTTAGATGTTGCATCATTCTGTATTTTTTAGATTTGGAACTTATTGATATAACAATTTTACTTGATATGCTTCTGTTGGATGAAGTTCGAAGTATTTGCCAAAAATTAAAAATTGATCATCATGGTAATAAACCAATATTGATTGAAAGACTTTCAAAATATGGTAGTACCTCAAAATCTTATTTTTTTGGTGCAAAAAGTCCTAAATCTATTTTAAGATCAGCAACATTGCAAATTCTGCAGCCATGTATATGTTTACCTCAAGATATTATTGACCTATTTAATAGAGTACTAACATTGCTACATCCAGTACAAGATCCTGCTGAAAGTTTTGCTGATCTATTTTTAACTTTGACCAATGTTCACAAAGGGGAATTATTGTACCCATTAGTCCCGAAAGAGCAATTCTTTCCCATATTTAAAAACAGATCTCATTTAATCAAGTAAGATGCAAAAATTTATTGTAAACTATAAATAAATAACAACCTTACATCAATGCATAGATAGATAGATAGATTCAGTAAAGGTCTAATATGTAAAATCTAATTATTTCTTCTTTCAGTTACACTCGTAGTCGAAACGCTCTGAGAGAAGTTTTTGCATGTATTGAAAAGAAAGAATGGAACAAATTGAAAGACTTAGGACGGTTAGCTTTGGAATATATATCAAATAAAGATAATAGGTAAGTAATTAGCAAAATGAGTTATTTGTAAGTTTGTCTGAATCAAGCACTGTTATTTAACACTTATTTATTATTTTACAGTCACATAACTATGGAACTTCCTTTACATATAAAAAAGTTTATGCCAGAATATATATGGCTCAAAGTTTTATCAAAGACTATTGATGCATTTAAAAAATCTCCAGAAACTATATCAGAAGCTATAAATGGACTCAAAATTTTAATTAGTGAAAAGACATTATTGCAAAGTAGTTGTGGTCGTTGGTATAATGAATTAGCACTAATAGAAATGCATCATAAAAAAGACTTAGAAACTAGTGCTGAATTAACTTTGCATGCATTACGGCAAGAAACGTTGTCAGAAGTAGATATATCAGGACTTATAGAAAGATTGAGAAAATTGATGAGAAGAAAGAATGGGTTATGTAAAGAAACAAAAACTGAAATTCAACAAGCTCTGGAAAATTTAGAAAGTCGTGGCTTACTTACAGTAACCATTAAAACCAAAAACATTATGGCTAACATGGCAAATAGGTAAGATCAATACATGAAAATAATATTTTTATAATCTTAAGTAATAATTTATATTTGATTTCAGAGTTAACTCAAGTAGAAAAAGCACTTGGTCTATCAATATAAATGGGAATGACAAGTTTTATGGAAGTGTAGAGATATTAGCACTACAGCACTATACTAGTGAAGAACATTTCCATGAAGGGTTACATTGTGAAGGATCTTTGCCAGTAATTTTATTTACTACACTTTTTTGGGATGAATTGTATAACATTTTTGTACCAGGAGCTTTTGTTTCACATTATCAAGATGCTCCTTTAGATCTTTTCACTGCCGACTTCTTTCCCAACAGAAAAAAAGCTCTTGAGAAAAAAATAGAGTTTTTTAAACAACTTGATCTAGAGTCATTCAGTGATTTAATGAATGAAAGATTTTTAAGCTATAATAAATACCAATCAATAATGTCAACCTCTTTATTTAAAAATGAGAAGCAATTCAAGGTACTCTATAAATAATTTTGATAATAACAATAATAATATAAATCATTGCAGTTCAACAATATTTAAATTGTTACAGGAAGTAGTTACTTGTTTAGGTATTGAGGGAGTAATAGGTATATGTGAAAAATTAGCTTCCAATTTTGTGCTGTGGAGATCAGGATTTCCAGATCTTATTGTATGGAACAAATTAATTCAAAAAGTATGTTTTTTTAATGTAAATATCTTGTTATATTAAATCTCCAAATAAAAAGAATTACTCTGATTTTATGTTTTTATTAAATAGTGCAAAATTATTGAAGTGAAAGGGCCAGGTGATATTTTGTCAGAAAAGCAGAAATTGTGGCTCCAATACTTACAGAAAATTGGAATTGATGTTGAAGTGTGCCATGTTCAAGGTAAAAATTTTTTATTTCTTTTCCTAATTATACATTAAATAATTGATATTTACAATTAAAAAATTACATCTCTAAAACTTCTGGTATCGTTTGTGTACAAGGTCCTTCAAAGTGATATCTGAAAAAATTGAATCATAGATAATTTTTTATAATTGTTAATTACATTAATAATTATAATCTCAGAATTATAAAAATAATTTTGTTTATTTTGTTTGATTACAGCTTTTGCCAGAGGTTCAAAGTGAGATGCTGTTGATCCAAACAGATTTTTGTTTTTTGACTGATATACCTACTGCATGCTAGATAATATAACACTAACCATAGTATTATAAAAAAAATTATAATAAGCATATACAAGAACTTACTGAAAATCTCTCGTGGCAGGAGTTGTTTCAATGTTGAATTCTGCCACAGGAACACCTTTACTAGCCACTTGTGGAGCAAACATTGCTGCAGGATATACAATAGATGAAGTGCCTATTACCAAACAGGCATCGCAAGAATCAACAGCTACATCTTTTATAGAAAAATATTTTAATATTATACGATCATTTATTATCATTGTTTTTTCAATAAATATTTTTATATTTGAATAAATGAGGGATCAACTTACTAACTCTATCCAAAATATGAGTATTTAAGCTTTCGCCAAACCACACAATATCAGGTCTAAGAAGTTCACCACAATTATTCTTTTCACATCTAGGCAAGTCTTGAACTGGAATATCAGAACTTACAAAATCTGGATCAGGTGAACTTTCAATTGAAAAACAATCATTACTCATCTTAAATTGTTTGAATTTTAAACAATTTATATAAATTATTACATTTTGCCTTCCAAAGCTGGACAAATTGGAATTTTATCGTTGTAACAAATATCTTTACACTTTGTACACCTGGTTTTATAGAGAGAACCATGGAGTTCAATGACATCTATTGCTCCAGCTTTTTGATGTAAACCATCAATATTCTGTGTAACAATGATGACATTTCTATTTTCTTTAGCCAAACGACTTTGAAATTGTGCAATAGCTTCATGAGCCTGTTGTAGATATCATTACAATAATTAGAAAACATTACAAATCATTAGATAAAATTATATAAATGTTGATAAATAACAAATCTCTTCAAACTACCTTATTAGGTTGTACTTTACTAACTAAAGTTCTTCGATACTCATAAAATTCCCAGACCAAGGAGGGATTAGCTGCAAATGCTCGTGGTGTTGCTAAGCTAGGAGCTTGATATTTTCTCCAGAAACCACCGGCTCCTCGAAAAGTTGGAACGCCGGATTCGGCTGATATTCCACTACCAGTTAGAATTAATATATTTTTTGCCGTGGATAGAGTTTCTTTGAAAGACTTCATTGCGCTCATTTTCGGTCATCACACGCGTGAGTTGTGCTTCCCTAATGATTTAAAAATACTATGCTTGCTTTGAATATGCTAATAATCGGTGAAGCGCGTAAGTATGCAATATTGCATGTGAGTACTAAATTATGCACTTACTTGAATTGGATTTGTGTACATACATACACACACACACACACACACACACACACACACACACACACGTGCGCATATACATACACGTGTGTGCGTGTATATGCAGTTCAATTGTTATTAAATTTAACTTCAACTGTTATGGCAGAATTCATTGTTTTCGACACACCTCACGCACCTTTCCAAAAAGTGGCGGGGAGGTATGCATCAATCATACATACTTATAGGGAACAAGTACCTTTGTAGCGTTCCACAGAAAGATAATTTTTTTTTTGAAGTAATAATAATAACAATAATATACTAGTTAATGATTACATTAATGGATAAATAGAGAACAAATTTGAGTTATGTATATTAAATTTTTTATACAACAACAATGTCAAAGAATGAACTTATTCAGTCGAAGCTGAACTCAAATAATAACAAATTATTATTAATAAATTGAAACATTATACGTACAAAACTTATAATGAATAGAAAAAACATTGTTTTTCGCATTGACGATGAACATGTAGAAACAACTCATGAATATTTAAATGATTTTATAAATTGTTATTACACCTAGTTTGATTTGTTATTGAAAAACAAACAAGTTTCAGTCTAGTGACGTGCATGTACGTATATAATTCGTATTATTACCACAATTGAATTAAAATCGATTAAATGTGTTCGACATAACAAACTGTGTAGATAATCGTCCTCTTATTCTTCTCCTTCCTCTCATAAAAAAGAGAATCTGCGATAAAATAAAGCTAGTTTATTCGTATTTTGTTTGGCTGAGAGTCTTGTGATCAGCTGTTATGTGATTGCTTTTTTCCCATTTGAAGGGGACAAAACAAATAAATCCGTGGTAGTTTTATATTAAATATGAAATTTAAAAAATGCAGACTTCTGATTAGCAATACTCAAATGATTATTTTTATAAATTTATATTATTTAAAAATTTGTATTTTTACGTAAACGACACAGTTAGTATACTTTTCTAACGTTTTTATAATAATGACTGCTCAAGAATTCGGTCTTTATGCACCTTTATGAAAATTAAGTTACCACATTCATTATTATATATTTTCAATACATCATGCAGTGTGTTAAAAATACACAAAGGAGAAAAGTAACATGTCTCTGTAGTGGAGGTGGCGGGTGAGCAAGTGGGACGTCACATCATCCGTCTCTTCTTTCCTAGGGGAACACTGATGCTTTACAAAACAAGTAAAAGAATAGGCCTTTTTTTCCTTCTTTAAAAAAGTGACGGGCTATTGAGTGAAGCCGGTTCAAAGTGACGTGTTTGCCTCTGCATGCAAAAAAGTGTCATCTAGAAAATCAATGGTGGTTCATGTAGAAAGTACCCACTGGGACGTTCGGACACAATGTACGTGTAGTGCGAGTGTATAGTGTTATTGTTGAAATGTTCATGGTCCACTTCAATTTTTAAATAAATGTGTTAAGGGCTAGATTTCATTGACTGTACAAGATTTATAATCATTCATAGTCACCATTATACATAATTTATTGCCTCAAAGAATCTCCCATGTACTTGTCTTTGATAAATTCACAAACGGAAAATTGCATATAAGTCTGCGCCTTTAGCGAGTATTTATAAGTTGGGTATTGTATGTACAATGTACATCCACAGTCGAAGTCGAAGGATATTATTCATGATATCGACTGAAGTATTTGTAGAAAAGGCGTATAATCATCCACGTTTAATACAAACGTGAAAACCTGATAATTTAAAGACAAGTCAACAATACATTTGAAGATCTTGTACCTCTCAAATTTATGTTGTTGTGAGAATCTGGACTCAGTTTAGTCAATAGAAACATTAATATTAAGTGCCTGGAGGTTAAAAATGATACAATGTAATTTTCGCAGAAACCTGTAATGGCTGTATTATCTACCTTGAACATTCAGTTATTTAATTTATAAAAATCGTAAGCTATCTAATTTTTGTTGTGCGATGATCAAACTAGATTTCTTCTTTCAAATAAATACTTCTAATACGTACGACAGAACAAGCTGTTGCGATGGCGTAACTGCATGAAATGAGATGCACGACTATTTCAAAGTGAAGGAAATTTAAGTATAAACACTATTCCTAATGTGAACTGTAAACTCTTAAAAACAAATGACATTTTTATGTATGATTGGATTATTTGCAAGATTATTGTAAGAAAGACTAAATAATTCAATAGATTTCTGCCAACCAGCTTTAATGTTCTACGGACACTTTTTGCTTCAGCGAAATCTGTAACGATGCATATTACGACCAATCATAAGCCAATTTGTTTTCTTCTTTTTTGTTCGTATTCCGGTAAACAATTTCCGCGTTACGAGTACGTATAAAAGAATAATGCATTTTGAAAATCTAGTCAGTTTTACAGAATTTTATTACTCGATCGAGTGATCTCTATGACAGTTGCGATGTGGCTCGTAATTTTTATGTAAGAATGAAAAAATAAATATATTTTTTTAAAACGGATACCGCAAATAATCTTATTAATTTTTAGAATTGGTGTACTCGTCAGTGTAACATTGACAAATCCGATACTAAATGAACCAAACGCAAAAGTTTGCGAAACAGAAGAGTGCAAAGTAGCAGGTATGTATACTTATAGAAATGGAGATTAAAAATTTAGTATTTAGTAGTTGCAAAAGGAAACTGTAGAATCGTTGTATTTTGTTGTAAATGTTTGTACTTTGTTTTTTTTTTTTAATTTCGACTCATTAGATGTCCTCGAATCAATATGTTTTTTTACATTTTTAGCGAGATACTCATTATTGAAATACATACCTTTGCTAAATTATGAAATCATAAAAATATATGTAATTATTTATTTATGATTAAATAAATCTGTCATGCGTTGGTAAATTTATTCATAGAAATAAAAAGCAAATTGTAAAATTTGTTTTAGCCACAATCATCAACAACTCGATGAAAAAAACCGTCGATCCTTGCGATGATTTCTACGGCTACGTATGCGGCAACTGGGAGACAAACTTTCCTCGGCCGGAGGATAAGGCAGTGTGGAATCTCGACAAAATGACCGAAAATATAGCTATCTTAGAAAGCCGAGGTTAATATAAAAAATCGCTGATAACTCACACACGAAATAAATAACATTTATGTCCCTCAAACAGAAGTGTTAGAGGAAGACGAAAACGACGACGATTTTTCCCCCTTAAAATACGAGAAATGGTGGTATAGATCGTGCATGGATTCAGGTAAGAGCGATTTGTCAATAACGATTCTGTTTAGCAATCTATCGATTACCTTTGCGGAAACTTTGTCTTTGAAATGCATATGCACACAGAAAAAATCGAGGAAAATGGAATCAGATCGTTAGAGGAAGTACTTGATTACTTTGGCGGTTGGCCAATTGCCATGAGCATGAGCGATTGGAATGACGACAATCACGATTGGCAGAGCGTTCACGAGTTTTACACAACGCTCAAAGATCTTTCCTCTCTGTTCGATATCCGCGTCGCGTCGGACAACAGGAACTCCAGTAGATACGTCATTGAAGTAATTTTTTTTTTCGTTGACTATTGTTATCAATTTGGGCGGAACGAAGAACGCAAACTATTTTTTTTATAGTTGAACAAACCAGGTGAAACGTTATACGAAAATGCGATGAGTGATGGCAATGAAAAAGTTGTGACAGATAGTTACTTTGAACTCATTAGAAACGTTGCTCTGATATTCATGCAAGAAAGAAATGTAACACTCGTCGAAGAGCAACTCACTAATGATATCGAAAACATGATCGTTTTCGAAAAGCATTTAATACTCGTAAGTGTTTACATGCGACACTTTGGTATTTTTGTCGCGATAATGAATTTCGATTTCGTAGCTCAAACAATTCAGCACTGAAAGTGATGACATGGAACCATCGCGTGTCTACATTACCATCGACGAGTTGCAAAAGTACTACGACAAAATAGGCGATATGAAATTTACTTCACAGGTACTAAATTACAAAAGAATCTTTAATATAATGAACATTCATATGTTATATCATTCGATTAGATAAGTTGGTACCGCGCAATCACTTACCTTTTCAAATCCATTGAAAACGTGACGATCGATTCGTCCGAGGAAATTGGAGTCGAAGACAAATATTATCTACGCAAATTGTCGCATTTGCTCAGTGAGACGCCCAACCGCGTCATAGGTAAACGCAAAGACGTTAAAAGTTATGAAATTGTATGAAAATAATTCAATTATCTATTTTATTAATCAGTCAACTACATTCACTGGAAATTCATTGGGTCGTCATTAAACTACGCGAACAAAGAAATGCATAACGTATTTGCGATGTTCCTTCGATCTATAGCTAAGCCAGACGAAACCGTCAAAGTGCAGGAAAGGTTCGTACTTTAATTGCGTTAAGTTTCTGTATTAAAAATCGCATATATAAATTGCAGATGGCAAGAGTGCATCAACGACATGAAACTCGGTATTGGATATAGGTACGAGTACGTGAAGCGACACTTTTCTGAAGAAACGCGCAAAATGGTAAACAACGTCTCATTCGGTAAAATCAATAGTCTCGAACAAATAAAAAAAATATCGAATCGTATAGGTATACGATATAGCAAGCGAGATGCGAGGCCAAATGCTCGACGAAATGGAACATTCCACGTGGTTGGACGACGAGACTCGCGAGTCAGCAATGGTGAAGTTGCACGCTCTCAAGTGGTACATCGGCAATCCCAATTACTTCTCGAAAAAGGACTTTCTCGAGCATTTGTACGATGGCGTAAGTCGAGAAATGCTTGACAATCAGAACTGTCGACACTTGATATTTTCTATTTTTTTTTTTTATACTTTTAGCTGACAATAACGACGAGTTACTTCGAGAACGTGCAAAACGCGCGGGAATTCTTTATGAGCCGCAATTTGAAGCGGCTGAGACATGGGCGTAACTTGAAGAAATAGTAAGTCATTGGAAAATATAATTTCTTTTGCACCGATCACTCGCTGGTTGCTTTTTTCAGCGTGAAAGTGGATCCATTACTTGCTAAATCCGTGTACCATCCATCCAGGAATGTATTAAGTATGTTTTATTATAAAATCAAATTATTTTAGTCAGTTGATTTCATAATTTCTTTTCCAGTCTTAACTGCTGCTCAACTGTCTGTACCATTGCTACATGCTTCCGTACCATTGTAAGTATATGCTAGAATGTATATATACATAATTTAAACATGATTACTGTATCAGGTCTGTGAATTACGGCTACCTTGCACCAACAATGGGTCAACTAATAGCAAGGACTTTAGAAAAAGAAGGTAAAATTCAATAACATTGTTCGTGTACAATATAAAGTTTTATATTTTTGTGATAGTGTTTTTGTACTCAAGATTAGTAATATTGCTCTCTGTTTCTTTTTCAAACTATTAATGATTTTTCTCCAAACCCATTCAAATTAATAAATGTTAAATAAAGAATTGTTAATTTTGATCAATATTTATGTTTGAATTAAAGGAATTTTCTGAGTACGAATTTAAATGGCTAGTTTTTTGTGATGGCTTTTTTTTTTAACATTGTCCATTCCTCAATTCCAGCAGAGTTTTTTACTACGTCCAACGCCTAAGAATATTAATCAAGGTATAATTTTCAGTGAACACGGACGTATACTTCACACCGTGGTCGAACGATTTCGGTGGCACGTACAAAACCTACGAAACTAAAACCAACTGTTTGCTACGACAGTACAACAATTACTCGGTAAGTGTAAAACGGCGTACAGCAAAAAGTGAATTGCAAAGCACACATTGAGCGCATTGTAGGTAGGTTCGTCGACCATCGATGAGAATATGTATGATGCGATCGGCCTGAAAGTAGCCTACCAGGCATTTCAAAATAGCTTCGAGAACGAAAACATCGAGAAGCTACCGGACTTGGAAGAATTGAGCGACGAACAGCTGTTTTTCGTTGCTTATACTCTCGTAAGTCGTCGAATTTTTTAAAAAATTCGATATAATTCTGACATTGTTTATTTTTAATTTCGCAGAAATATTGCCAACTGGCGTCACCGAAATATCAGGCCGAGCACGAGCCTACGTATTTCACACCGAATGATTATCGAGTTATTGGGCCGTTGTCGAATTCGAAAGATTTTGCCAAGGCTTTCAGTTGCCCGGTTAACAGTCCAATGAATCCCGAGAATAAATGCACTTTGTAGTGATTTCATCGATTTGAGTTGCAAATGTCAAAAACAAGTTCCAGCTAATCATAAATGAATGCACTCCAACTTCAACAATAAACAGCGTGAAAAATTATCTATCACGATATTACGATATCAATAGAAAAATCGCGATAAAAATACAGATATATTTGTAATCTAACTTAATTCGGCGACGAGGAAGTGGAAAATATTTACGGGAGATATGCTTCTCAGAAATACGCAAAAAAATTTTCACTTGAGGCATCCCCTAAAAAATACCTTTAAACCCTCTCAATATCGTCGACAAAAAATACCTCGAGGTGAATAATTTTTGGCTAATAACATGCTAAAAATAAAAAATTTTAATGTGTACATACCATGGTACACACATAAGGGTGGTTTTAAGAGGTTAAATAAGTACGACTTAGTTTTGACATATATGTATATCAATGTAGTGTCCGTATGAAGCAATCAATATAGTTATTAAATTGAATTAATTTTTGTTAAATATTTTTATTACTTATCAACGTTGCGAACTTTAGATTGATTAAATTTTCTAAGTAATGAAAGTTCATTTGTCAAACTTCATCTTTATTTTAAAGGACTTCACTCCAACCATACATCTAACAAGTACATTTTCAATCTCTTCAACTGTCATTTACAAATGAAAATAGACTTGGTTGAGAATGTCGACTGCAGTCTGCAGTAAAGTGAAAAGAGAGACGACTGCGAGTGACATTCGTATTGATTACTACTCGTATTTCGCACTGCTATTGGCCTACATCCAAAAATGTTGTAGAAACTAACGCGTCGATTGAAAACTTTCGCTGGAAATATTATAATGAAATGAAATACGACGTGATACGAAAAAATATCATTTGTTACAAAAGCTTCACTTAATGAATATATCATATATTAAGTACGCTGACGAAATAATATTCAATCGTATGAATTATTAAATATTAATCATAACACTTTGCATCGTGACTAAGGTAAATTTATAAAATATAACGATGAAACTGCGTTCAATCAAAGTACGCTTTAAGGTCGTAATCATCGTCTTGGCAGTCTGTATCTCTCACACGTTCGTCGACATGACTGATTACCTAGTCTATTTCTTACTAACACTTCTTATCTACGTTATATCCTGTATTCCTGCACTGTTCTTGACGATGTACTCGCGATATATCAATTACACGATCATCACCATGTACAACACCGATAAAAAAGCCAAGTATATTGCGGCTCTATAAGCTTTGGCAAAACACTCTCAGTGGATATGTGATTTAAAGTTGGCGATGAATTTCAACTACTTTGCCGATCGCAAGACATTCGTTGATGAAATAATCGATCCACTTTTTGAAAAGAATTTGAATTTTTGAAACGGCGGTTTTCGGTTGAAAATTCAATTGAAGAAATAATGATTTTAGCTCTGAAAACTCTTGTGAAAGTGATGAGCCATTGGTGATAACTTACGCAATGAACGATTATTTTTAAGAGATTATTTTCCAACTCGTAATTTGTTATTTGAACAACCTACTTTTGCTGCAAGTGTCGCTTAGTTCTAGTACGTACCAGCTAGTTTTGTTTACTCGTCTATTATTAATTTTTAATTTGAGTTAGAAACATAAAATCTATGGAAGGGCAAAGAAAAAGAAAATATTAAAAACGTATCTCTTTACCGAATTCTTTCCATTTCGTAATTTAACTTAAATTTCAAAGATAGACGAAGCTACAGTTTCTCAAATACGTGAAACAATTTTCACGTCACTAAGGAGTCTTAAAATGCGTTCAACGCTGTTCGCATAATGGTTTTGATGAGAAACGCGAGACGTCGCAACGCAGTTGGCGCCTGTTCATTCATCCTATTGTACGTCATGAAAATTGACGTCAAGTAACTTTGCTTCTCGAACAACTAAAGACAAAACATTGTCAACCGAATAGTCGAAGCGATTTGCGTTGCACGTATACGTGAATTAAAAGATATGTAACAATGTTCTTGTTGTGGATATTTTTCGCAGCACTTTCTTCGTCGTTTGCTTCTGTCAGTATAAGTAAGTTGCAATAACGAAAAAAATAATTATCTGTTAATAAATCCATAATAAATATTGTTAGACGTTCATGAAGACTGTGGAGTTACATCCAAGTGGTTGACATGTCTTGATCACTGTGAAGGTAAGTCAATAATCTTAAAGTTCACTTCTAAAAGTAACAACGTTTTTTCTCAGACCACGATATATATCGATCGGGTCGCGCCCCATGGGCAGAGATTAGCTGCAGCTCTAAGTGTACAAAAGAATTAGCCGAAGCGTTCGAGCAAGAAACCGATTTGCCATCGAATCCTAAATTCAATACGGAAAAAGAAAAGTGCCTGAGGAGATGTTGGTGTAAGTGTTAACTTTTCTACGAGACAGTTCAAATCGATATCGGAAGAATATATTTCTTTCATGCGTATGCAGGTGATAATACAGATACCAGATTTGGATTAAAAGGAACGCCTTGTCATCTCGCTTGCAGATACGTTATGTGAAATTTAAACTAAAATTTTAATAAATTCTATTTCGAATGTAATTCTCACTTTTTATTTTATTAACACTACATGAAACAAGTTGTTAAGTTTGCTACATTCTTTGAAAAATTGCTTAAATTAAGAATAATACAGATTTTATTAGAACAAATTATTCAAGTGTATGCAGCAAATTCAAGAGTTCCTTTTCTAGTGAGCAAAATTTGTAATACATTCAGCAAATTATTATCATACGACGTACCACCTTCAGTACACACAACACCAACAATCCAATCAACAATCTGTCCACACTTTTATCTCATATTTGAATTCCTCGCGCGTACAGTTAATAAAGCAGGCGCTGTAAGCGATATCGTCATACTCGCTGCGCCGCATTAATAAAATTGAACTCAAGGTCGACGCAGAGCATCTCTTGCTTGCATTATATTTTCAGTCTGCGTCGCACGCTCGACCGTCCAACACGATGTACATCATAATATTCGTCGCAGCATCAATTCGCCTCGTTTATTTCCTGTACAAGTGTTACCTAACAACCCATTACTTTGCGGAATGGGGTATACCACAGGTACACGAACTGCCGTATGCTGGCTCGGCACTGTTGACTTTCAACCCTTGCCTATGTTGTCATATCAATTATGCTCTCATCGACATTTATAATAACACCTATCAACAAGCTAAGTGTTTGGATACTTTTATGTTTGGTCAACCCTTCATCTAGATATGTGATTTGGTGAAGAATTTCGATCACTTTGCCGATCGCAAGACGCTCGGCGATAAAAAAGCCAATCCATTTTTTCGAGAGAATTTGAATTTTTTAAGCGGAGATTGGTTAGAAAGACACTTAGTCCGGCGTTCACGTCGAGTAAGATGAGGCAAATGTTTGTACTGATGAGTAAGTGTGCTGACAATTTCGCCAACGAGTTTGTTCAGAGATTCGATGCTGCTGCTAAAATTGACATGAAAGACACGGTTAGCAAGTACACTTGTGACGTCATCGCTACTTGCGCATTTGGGATTGAAATTAACAGTCCGAATAATCAGTTTTACAAACATGGACAAAAAAGTACCAGTTTCAAGGTGATATGATGATGAGTTACTGCTTTGTTTAGAGGAAAATAAAGTCTTATTATATCTATGTCTTTATGAATGTATAGCTTTGAATGGATACTTGATTTTTAGACGTTCGTTCATTGAGAGTACACGTTCTATGTGAAATATTATTTTTTCACGCGTTGATAAACACGAATATTTACATAAAAAATTCTTAAATGACAAACAAATATTTTTTTAAATAATAATGCAATAAATTTGGAAAAATTAAGCCTTAATTTAACCACGTACTTGGTGAATCAAGGACTTATTTTATAATTTTAAGAAGAGAGATTTCTTAGTGGGCTTTTCAAAGTAAGAAGAATGCGATCCAAAATACTGACCCTGATTTTTCAATTTCTATCATAATGCTTTACCAATTAGGACAAATTAAGTTTGGAACATTAAATACTCTAATATTCGATTATTAAATCAAAAAACAAAAGAAAGACAATTATTTACTACAAAAAGTCGACTATTTCAAAGTTACGATAAGAAAAATTAAATTTTGTTTCAAAAAAGTTAAGAATTTTTTTCAGCATCCTTTTAAACCTTGAAAGTATCATGTATTGAATAAAATGATCGGTAACTAGAATAATAATTTTTAGGGAACAACGATGCTGAAGCTGATCTTCGAAATGCTCTTCCCAAAACTCAGCCGTAAACTCGGCCTACGCATTATTTGCAAAGAGACAACTTCTTCGTGCGTATAATCGACGAGACAAAAACCCACGAAGCTTGTGGTATCGAGCACCCAGACATGTTACAACTGATGATGGAAGCGAGAAAAACCAGTAGCAGCAAGTTCGACATACTCGAGATGACAGCACAAGCATTTATCTTCTTCCTCGCGGGCTTCGAAGCCACCACAATGCGAACTTGTCTGATGCTTCAAGAAATCGCCGCGCATCCCGATGTCCAAGCTAAAGTTCAGGCCGAAGTGAGTTCTGTCGTGAAAAACGGTGAAGCGTCGTACGAGGATGTCAACAGTAACATATCTTACGTCGATGCTGTGTTAAGTAAAACTTTGAGGGTCCACACCGTTGCACACGTTAATCGATTTTGCGGCAAGGAATTCGAATTGCCGCCTTCGTTGCCCGATGTCAAAGTGTCTGTTTGCGGAATCCATGTGGATCCTGATGTCTACGAGAATCTGGATAGATTTATCGGTAAGAAAATTATGACCGCCGATCTGATGAATTTGGGCTTTAGTTTGGAACCGAGTATGTGCATTGACAATAGATTTGCTATTCTGGAGGTTAAGACTTTGCTCGTGCATTTGTTGGTTGAATGTACTTTGGAGCCTTGCGCAAGGACCTGCCTGTGCCCAAAGGAGGAGTTTGATTGAAAATCATGAAAGAAGATTAAAATTGTGCTTTTACGTCTGTCGTGTGTTTTTTCTCTATCTTTAAATATTTTCAAAAAACGCACTTTGAAAGCTTGAAAATATTCGTCAATGATTTTGGTGCATTTCAGAGTGTATGAAATCGATCTGATGAGAGATAGATTTCTTTAGCTTTATCATTCGATTTTAATGAAAAAAATATTGTATATATTAATTATAACAGTAGTAAACATCGATCTACAGTAATTTCTAATAAAAATCTTGAAAATTACACCTGAATCGTGCACAGAATGTAGAAAACTATTACCGGGCGCTCGAACCAAGCTCTCATAAAAAAACCAACGACTTCGTTAAAGTTCACCCTTAGTTGTACGTCATTTGAAAAATTCTAGCGCGAAAGAGCAGCTTGAAAATCAGTGGAACACAAAGATTGGCCGGTGCTCCCCAAGAGCCGTCTAAAACTCCAACAATTGCACCTTCCGTTTATGAAACTTCTGCCGCTCACGACTGCACAATTTCGGAGTATATGTAACGCTCTCCTGGTATAATACATAACGTATAAGTCTAATTCACCATGTTGTCTATATACATACACATACACGTCTCGGTTATGCAGCGGCAAAGTTTTCTGCGAACAAGTAACACGGCTAAGTGGAGTAGGAAAACGAGACTCTCTTATTCTCTTCTCTCTCCTCTGTGTCGGCAGTAATTGTCTACGCTCCGCGACATACTTCACACTCTTCGCGCAAGCTTTTTTTCTTCTTTTATGGTGCTGTTGGACAAATTGGGGTTTTGTTGTTGCGGTTGAATCGCACTTTCCTCGGAATCCGAAGAAAGTATTTTTTGGGCAACTCGGAAGTACCTTCGACATTTGAATTATCGTGGGAATGTGTGTTTTGAAAACAAAATATAAGGTAGAGTGTCGTTTGGATTACGAAGTCACAAGATTAATCACTTTGAAAAGGGAAGAAAAAAAAATACTGCAAAGTTGCGCAGTTTACTCGGTCGAGCCTGAACACAATTGAGACTAAACAACGGCACTCTCTTGCAGCGTATGCCTTTTATGCCACGCTCACCTCGTACGTACGTGTTTTTTTGATGGATGCAGAAACAATTTTCTCCGGGGATAACTCAATCTTCTCTCTCTCTCTCTCTCTCTCTCTCTCGCGCGCGCGCGCGCGCGTGTAATTATTCAGATTACGAAATCTAAAAGAAATAACAACAACGCGCACGTAAATTTTCAATTGGGCTCATTAATTTATTTTAGTTGGACGCGCTCGATAAAAGGTGCGTCCATCATCATCATCATCATCATCATCAAGAGTGCAACAATCTTCCAAGGTGACGAGAGAGAAGAGAGATGAGAGAAAGGTAAGGTGCAACCGCACAAGGGCAACGCTCCCGAGGGAGAGAAGACGCTCGTCCGAGCGAGTATAGTAGCAGCAACGTCTCGCTTCTATGCACACTCTTCAGGAAATATTGATGAGATGAGGCGTGCTTTTAAAAAACGCACGGTTGATGACCTTTTTTTCTTTAAGATCGCGCGGCCATTGCCAGGGTTATATAGATGAAACGCAGTGAGATGTCATTCTGGAAGGAAAAGCTAGCGGCTACGGTCTGCTCCACTGTGCGAAATCGGAATTTTGGCATTTTTCGTTCCGCTCGCGACGATTTCTAGTTATCACGGCCAAAATTTCCGAATCGAGTAACGAGATTACATTCATTTGCAGATCGCTCAGTTTCCCTTGATTTAACGCGAAATATTACGAAAAAATTGTTTTTATCAAGAGGTGCAGTGCCATTAGAAAAATTTCTTTTCGCAGTGCGCGACTACTTAATTGAATGATTGAAAAAAAAAAGACTCGTTAGATTCGCCGCATACTCATGTCGAAGAACTGCTCAAGAGCTCTCTTCTTATCTAAAGGAAGCATCTGCGAGCGCTTCCTGTCGTCGATGCTATCGTTGTTAACGTCCCATAATATCGTGCGTGTTTACCCGATGTACTATATATAATGCTTTTGAATAATCAAAGATCCATAATCCATTAAAAGCTGCATGTAAGTCGATCACCACACACACGCACACGCATACCACCTAACAATCAATAATATTCCGCGAAAATTCCTATATATGCAAAAGAACAATGACGGCATTGTAATACTTAGCGGGAGCTCTCGTTACGCTTGGCTCAACACACATGTACTGATGTACATCGTCCATTGCGTATGTACGGAGTTTCACGCGCGGATGGATTTTCAATCGAGAGTAGTGGATATGCTAACGAGTCTTCGCGCGGATATTGAGATGCCGTAAATAACCCGATGAAACTTTCGATCTTCGAATTAATGGAGCGTGACGCGAAAAAATTTTCCGCTCGCAAGTAGGCGCGAGAAAAAAACAAAAAGAGCGCTTCCCTCTGCCGTCCATTCAAAAAGCAAGAATGAGAGCGGCGTTGCCCTGCAATTACCGAAAGCGAAATCGAGCAACCCCTCCAAAAAAGGAATGCATGTGCCTAGCATGTGCCTAGCATGTGTGCTGTCTCCTTGTCTCGCTCGCGCGCATCGTCGGTCGGTGCCGCCCGGGGAATCCCCACCACCTTCTCTCTCTCTCTCTCACGCGCCCCAGCATTTCTCTTCGATGCCGCGGAGTGAAAGAGCCAGGCGGCCAGGCCGTCAGTCGGTGCGCGACAGCAGTCGCGAGCATATACCCGGTGTTACCCGAAGTCTCGTGCACACACACGCACACACACACACGCGCGCGCGCGCGCGTTAACAGTGCACAGGTGTCGACTCATTCGCACGCAGTGTTTTCAACGAGCACGCCTGTCATACATGGGTTATGGATAGCAGCATGTCGACCGCGGCCTACGTTCATCATCGGTACGTACAGTCAAAAAGCAGCGTTCGGTCAGCGCTACCGACGACGACGACGACGACGACGCGCGCAGCACATAACCGCCCCAACGGATCGATATGTTAGCGGCAACGGAGTCACTGCACTCGTTTTCAAGGATTTGCCAGACACCTCGATATATACTACTTACCTTCGTTCGTCTCTGTGGGCGTCTGCGAGTGTGCGCGTGTACGATAAAAAAAAAATGATAGGGGCGGTAACCGCATGTACGGAGCTTCGAGTTGATCGCCGTTTTTGACGACGAGGCAGGCACATAAGTCAGCCGAATCTCGCGACGTCGCGTCGCATTCCCGGAAGGAATACTACGCGACATAGCCAGCGGACACGGCGTTCCCACTTGTCGCCGATTCGCGCTCGAAAGATTCCTCGCGTCGTCCTGAGATTAGCTCGCGCTCCATCAATCGCGTTTCCTTTGCCATCCTTGACGCGCGTCGAGCGAGCCTGGAAGAAAACGCGACTCGTTTTAATTATCGAGGGGAAAACAGAGGGGAAAAAAAGGTGGGTGGACGCGCGCACATCGCCGCGTACGCTGGAAGACGGCTATTCGAACTGGCTGATATTTCGTTTTTTCTCTCTCTCTCTCTCTCTCTCTCTCTCTCTTTCGTTCGCGCAAAAAGGACGCGCGCGCAAGGCGTGCGCTCGCGAGCGAGAGAAAGAGCCGGTTTTTCCTTGAACCTGCACCGGCGGCAGCCATTGACCGCTTCCTGCGCGCACCGCGCTGTATATACTTTTGTATCTCTCCTCGCATAGCTTGTTACGCGCGCGCACACGCGTATCGCGCGAAATACTCGGACGCCGGATTTTCGTTGCGCTTTTTGCGCAAAAGCCCGGTGCGCGTGCGAGCTCTCAGCTGTTACGTGTGCCGCGACGTCGGGCTTTCTTGCCGGTAGTTTTTCGAGCGCAGCCACAGCGTCCGACGGGAAATCCACGTCTACGCGTGGACTTCTTCAATGCGGAGAAACGCGTCGGCGATGCCTAATAGCAATTTTCGGTGCGATTATCGATTCGGTCGAATGCTACGGCAACAGACAACTGCGTACGTGTGTGTGCGTGCGTGTGCCTACGTGCACCCCCGTGAAACGATCCCTTGCGTAAGATAGGAATAACCGAAGGGGAGAGACTCGCCGTTCTGCTTTCTTGTTCGAGGGTAGGTAATGCTAAGAGGGCTCTTTCGCTTTTGCACACCAGAAGAGAAAGAGAGAGTCCTCGTGTAATTTTACGCCGGTAGTGTGGGTTAAAAATGTTTGCGCGCGGGTTTATTAGGTGAATAGGGCGAAGCGCGCTGCTCGTTTTGCTTCGGGTCGCTGGATGCTTCTCTACTTCCCTCGCGCGAAAGAGCAAAAGATTGAGACATCCTGCGAACGAACCTCTGATCGTTTGACACTTCGATATCATGTTTTACCTGGCACGCGTGATTCAAAATACCGTCGTCATCCATCCTGTTACGTCAAAGAAATAGAAAGGACTTGTAGTTCCCTATTGTCTTATCAGTGATGCATCGCCTAACACATCGTCCTAATCTTATCCACGCGCGCGCGCGTGATTCGAGCAACGATTTGACATTTATAACGAGCCTCGTCGCTCGATCCGGCGAACTCAAAGAAAAGAAAAAAAGCAAAGGAAAAAAAGAGAGTCGCGCACGCAGTGGCACGACTCTTCTTATCTCTCTTCACCCAGTTTCGTCTTTCATTCGCGTAAAGCCTCGCCAGCAAACTCACGACAAAGCGGCGCGCATACGTGCATCGTTAAAATCCTAATTTTTCCTCGTCGCTGAATAAAATCAAAACGCGCCGTGGGCAAAAACCCCCTTGACGCGCGGGAAGGTTTGCACGGCGACAAGTACAAGTAGGCGTGCTTTGTTTTTGCGCGCGCGCGCGCGCGCAAGAGGTGAAAAGGAACGAAAGAAAAAGAAGCGACCTCCTCAATACAGTTAAAAGCTCTCCTTCTAATGGGATACCGCTATATATAGGCCGCGCGAGAAGAGAGAGAGAGAGAGAGAGAGAGAGCGGCGAATGCACACACGATGCAAAAGCACACTTCCGGGACTGCACGCGTCCGATGGATTCGATGTTTCTTGAACGGTGCGATTCCTAGTGGGAACGTCGCTGGATCATCGCGCGCTGGCAAGCGTTTCTCGGCTTTCGCTTCGCGAGAGGAGAACGGCCGCGATAATCTTGCCGGCGCGGACGGGCATCGTCGCCGCAGCCGAGAATGCCACCGCCGGTAAACGGACGAAGGTCCGGAGGTATGCGCCCCCGGAGAGCGCCAGGTGACAATCTGCCGGCTAGCTGCGCTCGCCGGCCAGTGGTTCGCACCGTCTCGCGCGCTATCCCAGATCTTTTTTTGCCCGCGCGAGAGCCACGACGGGACGAAAGCCGCTTGGCTCGGCTGCACTGCCTCGCCGGTCATCTCCCGTGTCCCCTCGCTGCCGAATTATTCAGCTCTCGCTGACTCGCAGTGCTGATCCGGGGCTCGCTCGAGTTCGCTTGCGGACGATTGTCGCACGTCGTCGAATTTTCAGTTGAAACGATCTATCGCCACTTTAAATTTTACAATGAGATAAGCGCTTTTATCAAAGCCAAGTGATTCTTTTAACATTTCAAAGGCACCATTTTAGGTCTGACGCTTTAAACAACGCAATTGGTTCACGTTTGGCGACCTTAAACGTGGATATATACGAAGTTTGGTCGAATGCGTACGTAATGATCCACTGACTCATGCTCCGTTGCATCTCATTGAAAAAGACTTTTTTTCCTGGCTTCCAGAATTTTTAATTTGCATTTGAATATCGTCACAGCGGTGGCATTCAAATTTCACGCCAACACGAAGCAAAGGACAAATCCACTGTCCAGGACAGTGACTGAATCAAAGCCAGGAAAATTGTAAACAGAGCAATTGCGGAAACACACGCGCGCAGAGTATTAAATGACTCTTCGTTTCTTATTACACGACCGGCGAGGGATTAATAAGTGCCTTCCCACTCGAGGACAGATCGAGAGACTTTCACTTCGTTCGTCCGTCCATCCTCCGATCAATATATGTGTGAAGGCTTCGGCGTATGTGTGTCGCAAAGAGTGGACCAATGTTCCGAATTTCGTTCAACGCCCTTTCTCTCTCGCTCGGATGTATTGGGAAAGAAAAAGATTGCACGAAATGCTCTCCTTTGTTGCGCATAACTATTCCGTGAGAGAAACATCGTCGGTGCCCTTTTATGCGGAAAATTGGCTGGCGAGAAGGATACGTCGTTAACTTTTACAGCCTTGCCGAATGCCTTTGCTGCCTTTGCAAATTCGAAGTGTAAAGATAATGCGTAGTCCGAAGATTTGAAGAACTGTCCGAACGATTGGCCAAAAAGAGAGGATCGTTGCTCAACTCTCCTCTCCGAGAATGCCGCAATTCGTAAACTGCCCGGCAGATAAACGCGATAATTCTTTTTTTTTTTTTTCACGACTTTTCGAGATGAAAAGCATGCGGCGGGAAGAGCAGAGGAAAACTCGTAACCCGCGCGGAATTCGACGTTTTGTCTTGGCGCTGCGGTCGCGCGCGCGCAAACAGACTTTCACGTTAATCAGGGTGCCGTTGGACCGCAGACTTTTCGAAATATCCGCGCGGTGAGGTATTGTCGAATAAATTTTAATGGAATATTTTCTTAACGTTGACGTTGTGTTTCGGCATGCAACTGACTTATTCGCGCGTTTCTCGGAACATCCGTGTCTGCGCACCTTCTGGTCTACCGACGCGAATAGGACGCCAGTTTGTCGAATCTTGATTGGATATTACATCTGATAAGTAAAAAACGATCAACACCTACCGTTCGAAGGTCCATCAGCCTGACGATACACTCAGATAATACTAATCCTACATAACTGTAACTACGTCAACCTCAAAAGAACAATTTTTGACGCACACTCGCGCTTCGAATGTACAATCAGTCGAGTAGAAAAAAAGCACCGCTGAAAAAGAAAAATTACGTCTCTCCGAAGATGCATAACGGTAATCTACAACGCGTACGTGAGAGAATTTTGGCACGATTAGGATATATAAGAAAGATACCTTGCCTTCGTAGATTTCCCATTACCGCACACAGTCGCATGCACGTGTAGTAATTACGCTGTCAACTTGCGCGCGAATCGCACTATTGTCCGTGCCGTCGCAGTGCGAAGATGCGCGGTCAAGAATTGAAAAATGACGGTCTTCTAACGTGCGTTACGTCGAAAAAATGAGAAAGACGCGTTTCATCCGACGGATACGGGACTTCCGGTGAACATTGACCGAGCGACACGACCCTGATAACTCGACCGTAACATTGGACATTCCTGTACCCTGCTCACACCTGCACGGATACCTACGCGCTATTGTGCGCGCGTGAGCAGCGGAGAAAAGTGTAATTCGATTGACTGCATATGATAAAACAAGTTTGTAATTAGATCACCTTGGTACATGAAAACGAGCATCGTCTAATTGGCCGGCAGTGATAAATTCGAGTTGCGTTAATGAATCTTGATTTATGCATTCCAGCCGATCGTTGTTGTTGCTGTTTGGCAAGGAAAGAAATAAATACGTATAACGCGGGCGAATTGAGCAAACTCGCGTGCAGTGGCTTTATGTGCGATCGTTAAATTCAGACGAACGAAAATTGATTTTCCCGAGAGAACGGCGATCGTAAATATTGCCGTAAAACAGCGGCGAAAGCAGCAGAGCAGAAAAACAACAACAATCGTAGCGCGTAGATTATCCGCGCGCCGGCTCGATCGTTCTTGGTCCGCGACTTTGAGATTCGCGTACTTGCCCAAAAACCAATGGAAAACATCGCTCGCGGCGACTCCAACGTGCCCGAGAACGGAGGAAAAGGAAAACGAACGGAGCGCCCGGCGCGCGAGCGAACGTCCTTAAAAACAGCGCGCGCATTATCGCGCGTGTAGTCTAACGGTAGAGGCGACGAGCCTTTATAGCACAGGAAAACGTT